AAAATTATTATCTAACAATAATTTTCTATAAATGTAGCGCAAATGTAAAATCAATTAGATATAAAAGTTAATTAATCAAAAATCCCTTATACGGATAACTAATCGTAAAGTATATGTGAATAAAATTGTGTATGTGAGAGTGAGTGGTCGCGTGCGGGGGAGTAGCCCTAAGGATTTATTTCCTATATGCGGCAGTTTTGGTTAAATGTCTTCAAAAGGACCTCACCCTACTCGGGAAACTTAACGGCCGAAAGATTAGCGGATGTCAGTCTCGGAGAAAAATTTTTGATCTTCAAGGTCGATATACTATACATATATATATATAGATTGCCTATTTCAGTAATAGGGGGAGAGAATATTGCGGGCAGGAGGTCTAATAATTTTTCTCTCTTCCGCTCAAATTTCATCGGCCTTGTTCGCTTCCGATTTTTCGATTTCTCAACAAAAGCTAACAAATTGGGTGCGTGCGGGTGTGAAGAATTTTTACATTGAAATTTTCTCTCTCCTGGAAATAAATGATTGTATCGTTCTTTTTTTTTTCTTTATATATATATAGAAAAGAAAAACTCGAAGAAGAAGAAGATATCGAATCAAAAGTCGTCTTTCAATATTTTCCAATTTCTTTCAATTCTACCCTGCGGGACGACGATTATTGCTAATCGATTTTATACTTGAATAAACATCTAAGAAACGATTTTACAAGGCAAATTATAATCTCTTGATGTTTTTATATATACATTTAAGAATAATTTTTCCAAATTTGACGTAATTTGTATTAATGATCATTTTGGATATTTTTTTTTTGAAATTAAATTTCTATTTCTTTTCTATTAGTAAGAAAAAATTGTATTATAATTTGAAAATCAAATTTCAATTAGTGAGAATTCGTTCATTAATTTAAATTAGTTAACAAATTCTCACTAATTAAAATTTAGATCTAAAGGTATATATATGAAATATAATAAATAAATAATATTAAAGGAAATTTTTTAAAACAAATTTTTTTTTTCCTTAAAAAGTTGAATTTTAATTTTTAGGGTATCAAATTTCTGGTGAACTCTCTACCATTAATATGAGTCTCCTTTACCATTATTATTTTCGATAAAGACTGGAGTTTAGTCCAACACAAAGGCATTTGAATTTGGCCCACTTTGAGCGGTGGTGCAACAACCATTTTTCATAAATCCATTCATACAGTCACCCCCGAATTCGTTTAACCCTTTCACCTCGAATTTACCTCAATTCAACTCAATTCACACGCCAATCGTTCATCCAAACCAAAATCTACAGATTTGACAACTGGCAAACATCCCATTCTACTATTCCATTAAAACCATTTTTTTACATTTTTTTTTTTTTTTGCTTCAATAAACAAATAACGTTTACTATACAAAAATTATTATATTATTTAATAAATAAATTGAAAAATTCCATTTTTGCTTTAAAATTAATATTTGAAACGAATAATAAAATAAATAATAATCAATAATACTTATATATTATATAAAATTTAATTCCAAAAAGTTAAAGGATTTTTTGAAAAATGAAATGTCAAAATTTTCCTAGTTTTAAACAAATATCCGGAGCTTTAAAATTTTTGTGTCTCAGTATATATATTTAAAAAGTAACAATTTTCACACATTTGGGGAAAACCTGAATAAACTTCTTAAATTTTAAGCTTCCCCTTCAAAATTGAAAAATGAGAACTTAATGGATTTTAAAATTTTCAAAATGTTTTCAATTTATTAAAAAATAAATAAAATAATAATTATTTAATAATAAATAATTTGTTTTGTTAGTTATTACATTAAACTAAACATTTAGAAAAAAAAAAAAAATTTCCCTCCAATTTGAAAAATATTTCATTTTCTCCGGTCAAAAAAAATAAAATAAATTTTACCGCCACTTTATCACTGTAATTTTTGAATCCGCCTCTGATAGACCTATCGACATTTTTCCTCTATTGAATTTTTCTGAATGAATGACAGCGAGCCATGCGACAAATTTTGTGGTTTGTAAACTTTAAGTGTTATAAAAAGAAAAAAAATGCTGGTCATCAGAAGCAATTTTTCGTCTAAACTGAGAAACATCTTGAGTTGCATTCTTAACAAAAGAGCTCAAAGAAAATGTATAGGATTGGCCCGCATTTTGATGGAATAAGAATAAGGATGGTCGACTTGTGGCGCGTGCTACTGACTCCTCAAGGATTTATTTCTTCCCTATGTAGGTATATGTATATATATATATATATATATATGTATAAGTTTCAAAGAAGGAATACAAAACCTATATATGGAGTTTCCTTCCTGTGGTATATAACCACCGGAAGATTTGCGTGTCGCATTTCAAAAGCCCGCACGACCTCTCTGTCACGCTTTTTATATTCACAATCCATACACAAATTTTCACTAGTAAAAAAAAAAAATTACCCAGCATCCACAAAAATAAAAAATTGACCCCTTCGCGTTGATTACGATTATTGCTTATATAAAAAATTTTACAACTGCCGATTCTTTGAGAATATAACAATAATAATAATAATAATAATAATAATAATAATATAATAAAAATAATAATAATAATAATATAATAAAAATGTAGGAAAAAAATAGGCTCACTATAGGTTTACTGTAGTCTTAAATAGGTCTAATAAAAGTCCGAAATAGTTTTAAAATAGGTACAAAGTAAATTTAGTTTAGGTTAAATATAGTTTCAAGTTAGGTGCAATGTAGATTCAAAGAAGGTCTAATAAAGGTTCAAAGTAGGTCCAATGTAGAGTCAAAGTAGAAGTAATATAGGTTCAATATAGGTTTAATATATCTAAGTTCAATAAATGTTCAAAGTAGATTCAACATAAATATTATATTGGTCAATGTAAGTTTAGTGTAGGTCAAATAAAATTTCAAATTAGGTCCAATGTAGGTTTAATGAAAAGTCAAAGTAGGTTCAATATAGGGTTAAAGTAGATCTAATTTAAGTAGGTTCAATCTAGGTTCAATGTAGAGTCAAGTAAGTCAAATATAGGTTTATTCAAGGTTCAATGTAGTGTTAAAGTAGTTCTAATATAGGTTCAATAAAGGTTCAAAGTAGGATTAATGTAGCGTCAAAGTAGGTCTAATATAGGTTCAATATAGGTTTAAAGTAGGTTCAACATAAATATTATATTGGACAAAATAGGTGTAAAACAGTAGTGTCTATGTAGAGCTAAAGTAGGTCTAATGTAGTTTAAATATAGGTTGAATGTAGGTACAATGAAGGTTCAAAGTAGGTTCTATATAGGGTTAAAATAGGTCTAATTAAAGTAGGTCCCATCTAGGTTCAATGTAGAGTTAAGTAGGTCAAATATAGGTTCAATATAGGTTTATTCAAGGTTCAATGTAGTATTAAAGTAGTTCTAATATAGGTTCAATAAAGGTTCAATAAAGTTTCATTAAAGGTTCAAAGTAGGTTTAATGTAGCGTCAAAATAGGCCCAATGTAGGTTTAATGAAGATTTAAAGTAGGTTCAACATAAATATTATACTGGACAAATTAGGTGTAAAACAGTAGTGTCTATGTAGAGCCAAAGTAGGTCGAATGTAGTTTAAATATAGGTTGAATGTTGGTACAATGAAGGTTCAAAGTAGGTTCTATATAAGGTCAAAATAGGTCTAATTAAATTAGGTTCCATCTAGGTTCAGTGTAGAGTCAAGTAGGTAAAATATAGGTTCAATAAAGGTTTATTCAAGATTCAATGTAGTATTAAAGTAGTTCTAATATAGGTTCAATGAAGGTTCAAAGTAGGATTAATGTAGCATAAAAGTAGGTCTAATATAGGTTCAATGAAGATTTAAAGTAGGTTCAACATAAATATTATATTGAACAAATTAGGTGTAAAATAGTAGTTTTTATATGTAGAGTCAAAGTAGGTCTAATGTAGTTTAAATATAGGTTGAATGTAGGTTCAATAAACGTTCAAATTAGGTTCATTTTAGGGTTAAAGTAGGTCTAATATAGGTTCAATGAAGGTTCAATGTAGGTTTAATGTAGAGTCAAAGTAGGTCAATAAAGGGTCATATAGTTTCAATTCAATTCGGTCACTTGTAAAAAAAAAAAGACAACATAAGTTACCCTAAAAAAGTGTAACAATTTTTTTTATGAAGCGTGATTCTTACTTTTTTGACTTTTTTTCGTATATGTATCTGTCTTAACATGTTTTTTAGCAGCTGACAGAGAAAACCACAAAGTTTCATTGTAAAAAAATATGTAATACAAAGTCACCCAATACCCTATTTTTTTTTTTTTTTAAATGGTTCTTTTAAATATAAAATTACAGTCTTTCTCATAACAATTTTGTGACATTTGCGGTTTACAGAGATCCGAATGTTTACTATGTTTAAAAAAGTTTTTTACTTTATATAATGGAACTTAAATTAATTACAAAAACTACTATTTTTTATTTACCATAATTTTCTTATTCAATTTCTATTAACCAAAATTTATTTGTTAAAAAATTTTAATTTAAAGAAATGTAAAGGGTTTTTTTTGTATACAATAAAATCAAAGAGATATATATTTTATCTATATGCGTCGCACATATGGAAAAATTTGTAAGTGCGTTAGAATAAAATTTATGTGATGTATAGAGTGGCCCCCCCTATTTCACCCTATTTATCTCTTTTGCTCTCATTTCCCATTTTTCCTAGACAGGCAGATGACATAGAGTCGCTCTTTTTCTATATATATGTGAATTTATGGAATTACCGGACAGTGTTGCAAAAAAAGGATATATATATATATGACAGTAGTCACCCACTATATATACGGGGCTATTGACTATTTACTGCACGTTCACCTGGGGTTGAGTGGAGTGCCTGAAAAGATCAGGTATGTATAGAAAAAGAGTGGGGAATCGCAATGACTCTAGTGCTGCACCCTTACGTTTATAGGTCCTTTCCTCTAACATATAAGGCCCCAGTCACTCACCCCTCCACATCAGTATCGAACTAACCGCTCGTTCGTTCGGTCGTTATATATATATTTTTCTCTTTCCCTTGTTATCGCACACGCGACACTTTATTTTTTCCTCCCAAAAAATTTATTTTTAACAAATTATTTTTCCATTTTTAAATATTTTATTTATTTTATTACTAATCAATAATTAATTTTGCAAAAAAAAAAAATTGAAGTTTTTGAACTTGTCTCTATTGACATTGTGACAATGATTATTATTGGTGGTAATGTGTTTAAAAGTGAAAAAAAAATTGTGAACTAAAAAAACTTAAAAATTGAAAAAAGGGATTTTTTTACATATGCCTGTTAGTAGCTGAGGAAGGAATTATTTTTTTGAAAAAGTGAGTAAAATTTTAAATCAAATATGTGTGTGTGGTGTAAAATGTGACTTTTATTTTGTAAGTGACGAGAATCAAGTGGAAGGATAATACTTTTTGAAATTAAATAATAAGAACTGTATAGCAAGCATTTAATCTGCGATTATTTTTTGTCGTTCCTAAAAACGCGGTAGAGTTATTCAAAAACCGGTTTTCCTGAAAGGTCTAGACCTTAGGTTGGCGGTTCTAAAATCGTTTTCGTTTTTGTCTCAAGAAAGAAAGAGAGAGAGAGAAAGAGAGAAACTTCCATTCTCTAAATTGGAGTCAAACCTTTTCTATTTTTAACCAAGGAAACTATTTTTCGATTACAGTAAAACCTCTTTATATAAGCGAATGTCATTTTTGCAATTTCATTTTTCTCAAAAAATTTATAATAATAAATAAATAGAAAATTTGTGATTGAATGAATTCAATTGTAATTGAATATTTTCAATTACAATTTAAAATGTATGTGAAGTATAATTAGAATGTGATTCTCGAGGATTTATGGAGGGATTGAATGTTCATGTAGGGGGTGAGACATACAATATAACCCGATGAAAGGCAATATAAATAATCGTTTGTACGTGCGAGAATATATAAGGAAATCGATCATATATATATGGCGAGTATAAAAAAATATAAGAGTCATTAACCCTCGCAATTGCAAAAATAAAATAGAGGTTTTCGTATGAGCGCCTATAGTTAATAAATTATACTTTAAAGTATTGTATTAACCCTCTCTCTATATTGCAAAACTAAAGGGGGAATTTCCTGCCCACAATCGCACAACGAATCAACCTCGGGGGTTACTGGTTATGAGGTGTACATTATATTTTTCTTTTTTTTAATGTTCATAAATTTTTTTTTAAAACCCAAAATTACGTTCTTTTCTAAATACAATGTATACATTTATCTTCTATCAGCGAGCGAAAATTGGTGTCATCACACACCTTACCCTTTTTAATATTTTTACAGTTGAACCTTTATTATAATTGGACTTTTTTGAAACTTCAAAAACAATTTATTTTCATAAAATAATTTATTAGCATTAAATATACTGCGTTATTTTTATTAAATAATTTAGTTTACTTGAATTAATAAAATAAATTTATTTGTAATAAATATACAGTAGAACCTTGATATAAAAAATAAATCACGCATATATTTTACAAACATTTGTCATATCAAAGAATTAAAATTTTTTTCCATACTTCAAAAATTACGAGAAGCAATTGTCATTTAAACGACTCTAATTGAAAAAAAATTGAGAAAGGTTCAATTGAAGAGGTTCAACTGTATAACCCTTTCTGCCGCGCATAAATACGAAAGCTGTATATTTAATCAGATTCTATTGTTTCAAAATAACTGTATTGTATCGCAGGTAAATTTTCTTTCTTATAAATTTTTTATCCGGGTACCCTGAATTAATTGGAAGCGTGAGAGTGTGCTAGGCTAGAGGAGCCCTATACACTAGAATTATTTTCGAGATATTTTTTTTTCCATGCAAATAAACGTGACGGTGCATCGAATTTTAATAATTATTTTTCATTCTTATTTCATCATAGAGCAAAAGAGAGAGAGGAAAGAGGAATTCACACGCCCCACTGTTAAAAATCGAATTTCCTTTTAAATATATGCGTTTCCAATCAGGAAGGAAAGGATTTTTAATCTGATTATAATTTTTCAGACACGTGACGAACCATAATCTTTAAAAAAAATATATATGCAATATGCTTAAGACTTAAAAAATTAAAACAAATTTTTCCAAAAGGGTTAATAATATTAGATACGGATTAGGAAAAATTATTTTTTGGGGGTGATAAATTGTGCGGGGGGGATTAAATTATTAAATAATAATAATTATTATTAATATTTAAATAATATAATGATTCAAAAATTATTGTAATGCTTTTTTTTTAAAAAAACGATGGTTGGAAAAAAAATTGTTTGACTATAAATATCGGGAAATTTTGTATTGAGGGTTTTAATTTTTTTTTTCCTTTATAGGGAGTTTGATGGGGTGTAACTGAACAATCAATATATCGTCAAAATGTCCACGTGCCATCTTTTTTTTTTTTTTTCATGGACAGAGAAACATTGCCGATAAAATTGTTATGCGTGATCAATATAAGGGTGGTTCAATTTTTTTTTGGAAATTTCCCCCCCTAAAGTTTTCCCTTTTTTGAAAGAAAGATCTATTACACACGTTTCAGAAAGGAAAATAAAGGGATTACCTGAACGGGCTCAATATGTGTGCAAACAAATTTCTAATTCCACAAATCATTTCGCCCTCATATAATATTTTATTTATATATTGTGCTTTCAAATCAATAATATATATATATTTATACATGATTAGGGTCGAACAAAATTTATTCTTTTAAAAATTAATTTCAAAAATGAAAAACTATTTTCCATTCAGTTTCAAATTACTGATTTCTTTTTATAAAACAATATTTTTATATAATAATTAAATTATAGTGAAAAAAAAAATTTATTTGAATCAAATAAATTTTTTTTTCAGTGTAGAGAAAAATTCAAAATTAATATTAAAGAGAGCAATTTATGATGTATGGAATCAAGATTGTGTTAATAATAATAATAATAAATGAGCCATCGCAAAGCGTTTAAACTCGACTTAATACGAAAATAAAGCCTTTCACTCGACTCAAATAAAATGAGGTATATCGATTTCCGCTTGACTGCGAAAAAAAAGGAAGACGAAAAAATTTCGTGTAGAAAAGAGAGAGAGAGAAAGAGACAGACTCAATGGATGAATACAAGAGTACGCGCACGCGACTCCCAAGTACATCTGTCCGTGAAAGAATCAGAGTTGTACGTATACACATATATACATATACTTATGAAGAAAAGAGAAAGAAAAGAGAAAAAAAATGTTAAAAAGAACTAGACTCTAGAGAAAAAGGACCTGTGCACGGAGAGAAAAATCAGGGCTTTGTAGCACGGAAGTAGTTCGTGAATTTTTCGCCCGGCGCCTTTCTTCCCCGTAAAGTATGAATTCGTACGCTTTCTGCGCGACGAATATCTATGCTACAAGTCCAAGTCAGATGTGCCTTGGTAGCAAGAAACCGTGCTGCATTCGTAGCGACGCCACGCGAATAACGCAAGCACTAGCAAGGTGCTTCTTTTCCACGAGTTCCGCCCTATTTCGGTAAGAAGAGCTTCTTGCAAATACACTTTCGTGGGTACTTGTGTATAATATTATTATAATATTATTTTATTTACTTTTATCATAATATTATTATATTATTCAATAATTAAATTTATCAGACTTCTTTTACCCATTATAGTTTATTTATTAAAAACAATTTTGAAGTTATATGCTTTAAATGGCTTTAAATTGAATTTTTAAAATACGTTTTCTGAAACGTTTGCACGAAAGTGTATTTGCAAGAAGCTCTTCTTACCGAAATAGGGCGGAACTCGTGGAAAAGAAGCACCTTGCTAGTGCTTGCGTTATTCGCGTGGCGTCGCTACGAATGCAGCACGGTTTCTTGCTACCAAGGCACATCTGACTTGGACTTGTAGCATAGATATTCGTCGCGCAGAAAGCGTACGAATTCATACTTTACGGGGAAGAAAGGCGCCGGGCGAAAAATTCACGAACTACTTCCGTGCTACAAAGCCCTGATTTTTCTCTCCGTGTGGGTCTTAGAGTTTCCTGCCGGGCTAACTGAACGGGAATCCCCCGTTGCCTTATGTTAGTATATATATATGTGTGTGTGTGTGTATGTATGTTTCGGGGTCCAGCGAATTCGACAATTTTTGGGGTTCCTTTAAATACCCAGACGTTGCCCGGCAGGACTCGTTCTTTACATTGTTTGTTCTTTATTTTTAAGAGTTCCTCCAAAAAAAATATCCAATCACTTACACATTACAAATCATTCCTAACAAGAAGGATTACTTTAAAAAGAAATATCTAAACTGTCCGGAACTTATGTGCATTTCTGGTCAAATTTACTCCGGAAATAGAAAAAATTATTATACTAAAAAATTTTACTCCGAAAATAGTAGATTTACAAAGCGAAATTTACCAGAAATTCCAATTTACTTCAAAAGTATAGTAAAAGTTATACTTTATATTTGTTTCCATTTTTCCAATTGAAATTCAAGTTTGATTATTACTTGTTTAACATTCAATTCTATTTAAATTAATTTTAACCTTTTTATCAATTATATTATATGAAATTTAATTTGCAAATTATTTTTTTCAATTCCCCTTTTCTTTTTTTATATTTAATATTAATATATTTTATAAATTAATTTCAATGTGCTTAGATTTTCTTTTTTTTTGGCATGGGAACGGGGAATGCCAGGACAGGTGTGATCTAAATAACGCGTTAAGCTGTCTCCAGTTCTTTTCTCATTCGTTTGCGAAGTTCTTCTTTCCTTCGGTTTATATTCTCCCCTTGCAAAAAAAAAAAAAAAAAATTTTTTTTGAACCCTTACACCAATGGCGTAATCAAGGGACAAACCCCTTCACATGTAAAGAAAGAGAAAGAGAGAGAGAGAAAAGAGAGGATTTAGGAGTCCCAAGAGGTATATATAAATTTATCAAATGAAGTATGTGAGTGAGTGAAATTGTCGCTTTTTTTATATATATATATATATTAAAGTGAGAAGTGGCGAAGCATTTTTCATCTCACTAAAACAAGGGGTTACTTGACAAATTGGACTAGCCTATTATCCGAGGTTCATTCTCTTGAAATTTCGTACAAGTCTTTTCGTATATAAAAGTAGTTTACAAGTCACGTAATTTAAAAATGTTCCTTCATATATTTTCTTTTATTCACTTATATAAAAAATTATTACTTTTTATATTAAAATTATTATTTTATTATTATTATTATTTTTACTATTATTACTATTATTATTATCATTATTATATAAGGAAATTTTCGATTCAAATAAATGAAATTTTATATTTTTCAATTTAAGATATAAATTGAAAGGACATATTTTTTTTAAACTAATAAATAGCAAAATAAATTAATTTAATTATATTTCAATAATTGAAACTTGAAAGGAAAAAATCTTTTTCCCCTTTAAAAAAAAATAAAAAAATTTTCCAATAAAATAAATTATTTACCTTAATAACGAAGTTTCATCTTCCAATAAAATAAATTATGTACCTTAATAACGAAGTTTCAGCATCAAGAAGATCCTTTCAAACTAAATAGCCCTCGGAGATCCCTACTTTCAAGTTAAATTTCCATTTGGAAAATGTGAAAAATAACCGTAAAAATAGACCGAGTTCTAAAAAGTCTAAATTTATGAAGAATTGTGTCCTTCCATGATGTCCTGTTTTACTTTTGTCCTCATCTTTGAAGTACACATTGACACCGCAAGTCATCGAGAATAGAATCTGCAAAAAGAAAATTAAAATTCATTTTATAAGATTTATATAAATATATAATTGAAAAAAGAACTTTTAATCAAATTAAAACTAACCTACAAACTCACCCCTTTTGCAATAAAATAAAAAAAAAAAAAAGTATCGCGCCCTCCCCCCTCCATTATTATACGCCACTGATTCTCGAAAGAACCTTTAATAATTGTTCTCCCCCCTCCTTTTTTTACCCCTCCCTCACTTTTCTTTTCTTACGTCACAATTGCTGTCATATGGGTCCATTTTAGAAAACGGCACACTACGAAAGGTGCTTGGGATCAATCTTATATAAATCAGAATTTTAGGCCATATGAGACAAGTCGAGACGAGTGCTGTATTACCATTGGATGATGAAAAAAAATTGTGTGTGTTAGAGAGAGAGAGAGAGGGGAGAAGACCCAAGAAAAGGGGCATAAGAATTGATCCCCTCCACCCTAGTAAATTCTTTGAATAGAAAATTTTCGGGGGTTCTTTTGCAATTCCTCGACTCGATGTATATATATATGAAAGTGCAAATCCATTTCTTATACATGTATGAGTTTTGCTCACCTGCCCCCCCCTCCCCCTCTATGGCCCCTAAAAACTCCAAAGTGTCTGAGAAGTCTAAGCATATCCAACTCCTCGAAATTACTACAAGGCCCTCCTCATCGACGACCCATCCATCCGCCTTCTTTTACCGAAGCTGTCTTTTAAAACTCTATTATCTGGGTCTTATATACCGTCCCAAAAAAGGTTAATTCGATTTGAAAAAAGTTTGATGATTTCGAAATAGAACTCGGTATTTGATTATTGAGAGTGGTTTCAAGAGACTTGCCCTCATATAGGGAAAGGAATGAAAAGGGACTCAAAATTAATAACCAGTAATTAATAATAGTAATAATAATAGTAATAATAATAGTAATAATAATAGTAATAATAATAGTAATAATAATAGAGAGGAATAAAGACGAGGTCAAAAATAAAAAATTGAAACAATAAAGAAGGAAAGAAAATAATACAATTAAACCTTTTCAAGTGGGACAGTACACAGGAAAAACAAAGTGTTATTTTAACACCAGAAATAACACACGCAACAAATTTTACCCTAAATCTGGGTTAAATCTTATATGGGTTTTAGCATTGGAGAAAATTACCCGCAACAAAAATAACACCACCTTTTTTCTGTGTAGGATTTATCAAAAAAAAAGGGGAATTAAAAAGAAAACCCCTTATTTAAAATTTAAAATAAATGTTCCATGTACATATTTTACACTAATATTCAAGTCAGGAGGTCTCACTGTATAAAAGAAAAAAATTTACGACTATCTAATTCATAAAACGAAACCCAAATATATATATATATATCTCATCCATTAATTATGCTGACCATTCGTGTCCCATTCAGGTAAGATGTATGTTACATAAATTTCCGCACATTCACATATGCGAATTGAATATATACAAAGAGAGTCCAGGAAGTGTATAGGAAGATTTTCAACTTAGACAATCCTTGATACCATAGTGTTATGACCCTATTTTATTTACTCGTATATTCAACAATGGGCCAGGTCAGCATATGTATCATATATATATATATATATGAAGGGATATATGCACTTTACATATAGTGTCTAACTATCGAGGTGTAAGTGTAACATGTAAAAGTGTAAGAGTTTTTAAAGAAGGTATATATAGGGTCCCAACCGTCGATCTATTTCACTTTCTCTCTCACTCACATTTTTCTTTCTTTCTTTCTTTTTTTTTTATCGTTAATCAATGCTATGCGCTATGTTACTGAGGCACAAAAACTGTTTATAAGGGTGTACATCTTGAGCCAGAATTTGTGACCTTGTAGGTCATACCTGTACGTATCAAAAGACTCAACGGTCGTTCCCGTTTTTATTCGCTTTCTCTACGCTTGATTTTACCTGAAGTCTTCTAACAATACACGAGCAATGATTACTTACGACACTTTTATAATGTCACTCAAGAGTGTTTCTTACGCGTGTACATGATACCTCCCCAATTTATCGCCGTTAAAAAGTGTATCGACCGCGATTCAACCTTTTTTTTTACGAATCAAAAAGTCTAATCACCCCGTCACTTTTCTTCTTTTCATAGAAATTTTAGTCTTTTTTTTCAAATCAATTTTTTTAAATTCATATTTTTTATTATAATTTTTTTATATTTGAAAAGTTTAATATAGTGAAAAATTTAACTGAAACAATTACAAGTTTTTGCTATTTTAGCGAAATCTTTCGCTATTCCATGTAAATCTTTTTTCCGTGTAACAAGTAAATAATTATTATTTGAATTTTGAATTTATAAGATTAACAAAAAAATAGAACTTTTTTTATTGTTTAACAATATTTCTTAGTTTAAAATGTTTGTTCATTCATAAATCATTTAATAAAGGATAATAATTAATTTAAAAAAAAGTAATGATGTTTCAGAGAAAAAAAAATGAACGGAAAAAAAGAACAGGAAATAATTAAGAAAAAAAATGGTAAATTTAGAAGAGAAAAAAAAATCCCCAAAAAAAAGCAATCATTCAGAATTCCTAATCCTGGAAAGCTAAAAAAAAAGCAGCACCGCCCATTTCAAGAGGTTCGACTGTACATCGCCTAACAATGTCAGAAAAAAAAAACGCTAACAAGAAAGTTCGATATTTCTAAACCTGAAAGGCCTCGAAAAACCAGTCCCACCGAAAATTACCCTTTTTAAAAACGAACGAGAGCCACGAGTTTATGACAGAATTATGAAAGGGGATGTATATATATGACGTAAAAAAAAACCAGTTGGACTCTTTTAAAGCGTCGTGAGAAGAAATTACTGGTTTCGCAAAGTCCAGTTGTGTTTAGACCAAAAAATTGCTTCATTCAGAAAGTATATCGAAAAACGTATATATATTTTATAGTATAAAGTCATAAAAAGAGAAAAAAATTCTCTAAGATACATATTCTTTATACCCCTCTTTCTAGTTCACGCTGACCCTAACAAATAAGATATGGAAAAAAAAGTTTGCAATAAGTAAAATGAAAATGAGTGAAAACATGAATATAAGAAGTGACACATTTTTTTTTTACTATTATGAAAAGAATAAGGGGACTCACTATTCTTATACTATCACTCGAAAAAATTTTTTTTTTTTCTTTTTTGCCCTTTGATGTCCACTTGGACGAATTTTCAATGTCGTGTCCGAAATAAAATACAAAGAGTGGTCAATCGACTATGAATTTAACGACTGAGGCGTTATGATTTCCCTCTGATGTATAAATGGCTGTTTTATATAGTCCGTTGGCAGATTTTGCGCGATTTATTTCATTTTTAAAATCATAAATTATTTCTCCCTAAACTTTTTTATTTTTGAACATTAAAAAAAAAAATTATAAAAAAAAAATTGTTTATTAATTATTACATTTAATCTCTTTCTCTTTCTATTATCCAATGTACAAGAAAAAGCTTCTTTCTTTTAATGTTTTATGTAAATGAAACACTCATTTAGAATCATCTCTCAAAAACACCTGCCCTTCACATCCTCGAAACCCTTAACTTCTACTTCTAGAAAAAAATTATTCACTAAAGGACTAAATCCCACTGACTATATTCTCCTTCTCTTATATTCTTGATTCAATATTTGCTTATTTAAATATTTGAAGAGTCAATTGAGACATTTTAATCAATCACACGCCGTCAAAAATATAATACATATAGTTCAAAATAAAGAGATTAAATGCTTCAGCAAAAAATATAACAGATCGAATTGAATTATATAGTTAAAAATAAATAATAAAAAATCAGTCACTGATTCCATGTAGTGTAAGCATAACAATAAACTCAAAATTTTAGATTTTTTTAATTCAATGAATTAAGTAAAAAAAAAATCTCAAAAAAAAACTCACAGTTTTTGAAGATTCCCTTACGGAAATGAATAGATCTTTATACGTCTTTTCAGTTTTTCAATTATTATATGCACTTCTTGCACTTGCAGTTGTTTATCATCATTATTGATAGATCACACACTGAAAAATAAAAATAATTAAATTATATTACAAATATCTGCGAAAAATAAAGAAACAATTGTTTGAGGTTAATTTTCAATGAAATTAAAGATATAAACGAATACCATGGGGGTTAAAAGTGGTTAACAACATATAATAAATTTAAATCCATATTGCGATAATTTGAGGGGAACCCTTTTTTTCGAGATCGTATTTCAATTGCATACTTGATATTATAGAGAGAGAAAAAAAAAAAACTACACACACGGTACCATTTTGTGAATACAATAAAATGCGGCCGATCGAATAGCTCAAGTGTTCTATCGTTTACTGCAATCGCGTTCACGATCGCGATAAGATTGTCGAACCCCTTTTTCGTTGCACGTAGAATTCCACACTAACCATTAAAGGTGATATACTATTTATCCATGGTGTACCATTACCCATTACGTCTTCATTCCAAGATAATCTTTCATCTTTTATATAGGTATAAATTTTTATCTACGACGTCAGGTGCAATTTGAACTTGGCCCTCGACATTCCATTCTTGCAGGTCAACTCGAACCTGACCTCGTTGATAAAAATAAATATAAATTCAATAAGAAAAATAGATTTTAAAATAAAAACATAATTTTTACAAAAGAAAAACCAAATTATTTTAAATAAATAAAAGAAAAAAATATTAAATTAAAATATAAAAAAATTTATACATATTACAAAACGAAATTGAAAGAATTATTTATGAATATAAAAAAAAAATTTTAAATAGAAGAAAACATGTCGAATATTTCTAAAAGGGCAATCTGTAATTTATTTGTTATGATTATAAATTGGAATATTATGGATATTTTGACATCCACCTGTTATTAGATAGTTAATTAACCCCCCAAAAGAATGGTGTTCATGCGAGAACTTATATATATATTTTCGAGTCGTTCATTTCTCCTGGAGGGTTTAGGTTCCCCTTCTTTTAGTCGTCGCACATATAACGAATTAAGTGAGGGTAATCATCGACTTTCAAGAATCAACCGATTCGTGACGTCTGCACATATATACGTATAGGCATTCAAAAAGTCCCTCAAGACACTCAAAAAGGTGTTGGAAAGGAAATTAATTTTAAACGACTTTAAAACCTGACTATATACATATATATATATATTATACATTTAATTGTTTTTCCTGCATATACAAAAAAAATAACTTCCTTTCTCAACTGACATTCACAAAATTATTTACCGGAAAAATAGTTATTTCCTCAAAATTTTCCAGATTTTTCATTCATTTTTTTTTTTCTTTAATTTTTAAATTCTCTAACAAGGGAAAAATTTTCTACTAATTTTTTAGTTATTTTTCATTAAAACATTGGTAAACAAAATAGAAATTAAATAAACATATTTTGCTAATTGGGGAAAATTTCTGCTAAATCTCCTTATAGGATTGAAAATTATCATTTTGATCCCTAGGTTTTAAATAGAACGTTTTACTCCCTAGAATCTTTTTTTCAAATGTCAAAGTCGATGCAATTTTCCGCATAGAGGTAAAATTTTGCATCAACTTAGACATACCCTTAAAGGTTTTATTCTAGTGAAGTAAAATGTCCTATTTAAAGCCTAGGGAATAAAAATGATAATTTTCAACCCTAGAGAGTTAAATCTCAAATTTCAAGCCTAGGGAATAAAATGTACATTTCAACCCATTAAAATGGCAATTTTAATTCTCTTTTTTTTCTAAAATCGAAAAATAATTTTTTTTTTACGTAAAACATTATTAAAAATGTAAATTCAAAAATAATATAATTTTTCCTAAGTAAAAAAAAATTATTTAATTTTGTAAAATAAGGGACAAAAAATCAAAATTAATTTAACCTTTCTCAAATGTTAACGATTGCGTTATCGGGTGCTTATTAAATTTTGATTTTTCATATCATTCCGACATCAAATTTGGAATAAAACTCATGGATTCTGACACATTTTTTTATGCTCTTTCAATTGGTAATGATTAAAATTTAAACAAACTTTAATAAGCGACCGATAACGCGATCGTTAACGTTAAAGAAGTCATAACTTCTTCAATATTTTGATTTTTCATATCTTTCCAACATCAAATTTGGAATAAAACTCATGGATTCTGACACATTTTTTTATGCTCTTTCAATTGGTAGTGATTAAAATTTGAACAAACTTTAATAAATTGGTTTTTGTAACCGTTAAACAATTAACGTTACGTTCTTCAGCTCAATTTTAAAAAATTATTTCTTTAAAAATTGTTTATATAAACGTTGCGTACTTCAGGTTCGTACAAAAACTTCACGCAGGGGTATTTAAATGCGCGGGCGACGAAGCGAAACCCCTTCAAAAAAAAAAAAAAAAAAATGCGAGTGCAAAAGAGGCGCGCGAAATTTTGAAAAAATAAAATCTGTCCCAGTTGGGGGTCACTGCTAAAAAAAAAAAGAAGAGACCCCTGAATGATTGCGCGATGGGGTGGAAATGAAGTTGATTGTGTGCATCCGCGAAATTTCGGGCAACCTGAAAATTGCATTCAGGGAGTTAGGTCGCGAGAAAAAGCAGCAGCAGCAGCAGTAGCAGCAGGTTTTATAACTTTTAACGGTTCCTCTAGGGGGGGGGGGGGGACCCACTGCATTGTGAAGTGGGGTATAAAAATGCATTCATTTGCATACAGGCTGTTGCTAGTACGCGCACGCGTTCTTGTCCCGTAAAGCGCGTACTTTTTTCCCTATATATCCTCGTATTTATTTCACAAATACACGCACACTAATTTTTTATATATATATGTATGTCTCGTACTTATGTCGACTGTCGGGGCACCTGCCCATATGGTTGATCGTCAAGTATATATATATATATACGAGGAAAGACCCATCTGGTCAAAGAACTTATACGAGGTCGTATATACACGAAGGTATATAGCGCCCAAAAAGCTTTATCGAGGTCTCATCTTGGGTGTTTTTTTTTCTTTTCTTCTTTATAGTATGAAACTGACCTTCAGTACGTGTACTTTATAATTTATTTTGCGGTGTCCCACAAAGTTTCAAGGTTTTTAGGTCAATTTGTCCTTTGAAATTTTTTTTTTCCCTCAACGATCATTTTTCTCGAGAATTGTAAAAAAAAAAGGATTCTTTAGAATAAAACTGACAAATTTACAAATTTTAGCGAAAGTGAAATTCTATTGAGATATTAACATTTTTAGTTTCTTATACACGTTCGGCGCCGTGCGGCTAACGCAATTAAATTTTTTTTTTTTTTATAGAAATAAAATTAAAATTAAATAATTACGATTTAATTTTATTAATTAATTAAAATATCAACTATAGCAAATTCAATAATGATGATTTAATTCTTTATTAATTAAAATGTAAACTGAAAAAAATTTATTTGATTCAAACAATCGATTACTTAACTATTATAAGATAAATATTTTCTTGAACCGAATAATTTTTATTTGAGTCAATTAAATTTTATAAGCTTCAAATATAGAAAATATTGGTCAAAATAGTGTTTATTTAATTCAAATAAAAATTATTTGGTTCAAGTAAATATTTATTTCATAATAGTCAAGTTACTGATTAATTGAATTAAATAAATTTTTTTTGCAATGTAAAATAATAATTAAATTATTAATTAAATCAATTAATTAATCAATTAATTTAATAAATTAAATATTATTAATAATATTTAATTAAACAATTAATTATTGATAATATATTATATTACTAATAATTGTTATAATAATTAATAATATATTGTTTTATTAAATATTAATAATTATTTAATTAAATATTTTAAAAAGCAGTAATAATATTAAATATAGAAATATAAATAATACAAATGAGAATAATGAACATAAATATTAATTTGATAATTGTTCCTATTTTTTGCTGATTAAGGTAATTAATTGCAGTACAATTTTATAAAGATCTATGTCAATGACACAGTAGTTTTTTCCATTTCATTGAATAAGTGCATGGCTAATAAAAGTATTTTATAAGTGTAATTATACAAAGAGGGTCGGCATAATTAATTAAAAGGGCGTTTACAAGCATTGTATTTAATGCAATTTATAGTTCTGCAAAACATTTTACTTGTACTTTTAATTAGAAATTCTTATTAAATGGAAAAAATTTTTATGTAAAGAAATTATATTGTTATTTAATCTTCACTTGTAGTTTTATAATTATTTACATTTAACTTTTCAACAAAGAATTTTATTGTCACTATTCTTAACTCTTTTTTTTTATTTTCATGTAATTTTATTTTAAAAAAAAATAAAAAATACCTTACTTCCTACTTTGAATAATTATAATTATTTCAGTATGTGCGTAGAAAATAAATTTCGTCTCTATTTTTGCATAATAATAAAAAAATATCCGCACTATTTTCATACTATCGAGAGTGTTATTTGAGGTTATGTACAAAAATGTCAAAAATTGACTGCGTGAAATTAGTAAAAATAAAGTCCGACAATGCAAGAAAAAAAAAAATTATTTTCCCTCCACAGCTACCAACAAAAAAAACTGAAAATATTTCCTCATTCCCATTTTAATGGACTTATTTTATTTTTCGTAATTTAAAAAAAAAATAACACATATAAAGTCAATGTTATAAAAAATTACAATTCAATATGAAAAAAAAAATATTTAAAAATTTACCTTTTAACACCTTTTTAAGCTCCAAGAACAACTTGCACCGACTACCTTCCGAAAATGTCATTTCAGCTTTTGAATTGGTTAAAATCGTATCGATGTTTTACTCATCACCAATTAATTCATCACACACTACTGGAAAACAAAAAATAAAAAAAATTTAATTTTAATTTCATTATTTAATCTTTTCATTTTGTCGTTATGTAGACTAAATTCTGTGGCTATTACAAAAACAATTACCAAAGTAAAAAGAAAAAGTACTACCAACATAAAATTAACAAAATTTGCAAGCGACATTTTTTAATGGCCGCCATCTTGGATTTTTTATCCATCATATTTGGCTGGCAAAATATTCTCAAATTTTATCATCCAAATGATCATTTTTACTTTAGAATAAGAAAATAATATGAAATTAACAAGAATATGACAAAAATTAGACTGATTAATTGATTTATTCGTTGGATTGGAATGTGAAAATGCCACATTCCTTGTCTGACAAAAATTTTTCCCAATTTACATATTTTAATTGATATATTTCATGGAAAATAACATTTCATTTGATTTATACGACTAAATGATATAAAATAATAAAAAGTTGATAATTCTTACCAATAATTGTGAATTTCATCGATGATAATCGGGAGCTGCAACAATACAATGTACACACTGCGACAATCCACCACGGAATGAATTTTCACTAATCGCGCTCTCTGATTGGTTGATGAAAAATTCGCCCGACAAATTTATCTAGCCCTTTTTTTCTAATTCTAGATAGCGATTGGTGGACAAGTTTATTAACAAAAAAAAATGGCGCTTATTTTTTAAAAAATATATCACGTAATCGATTTTCGGCGTCTGTAAATATAACCTCAAAAGTTGTGACTAAAGTATTAAAATATGTGGTTTTTAATATTTATTTAATTAATATTTGCAAATTGAGATCAATTATAAGGTTTACAATGCAATTATTATTATTATTTATCTATTGCAAATGGAAAAATGTAAGTAAATTGGATAAATAGAGTAAAACAAACTAAATTCAGATTAAAGTATTAAGATTTTGAAGATTTAATAATTGAAATATTCTTGTTATTCAAAAATGAAGTAGTTAAGATAAAAATTGAGGTGTTTGGGGAATATTATAATAAGAACAGCTTATACTTTTTTTTTTGGAAGGTGATGACATGTGTCATTACATGTAATGTTTATGTATTAAAATAATTTTTTTCTTTTTATCACGTGTTGAATACTCTGCGGTCGGTGGCATTTAAGGTCTATTTAACCAATCCAATGTCAAAGAGACGAGACTAAGTGTTAAATTGCAAAAGCAACTCAGGTGTTCTGGGTGTTTCACCTGTTTTTTGTATTTCCCGTATGCCACGACAGGTGTATATATACCATTTTGACGTTGCCATAAGAGTTTCAGTCTTCCTGTTTCTTATTCTTCCTTTTTTTTCCAAGGTTTGTAATTATCCTTTCTTAGTATATAGAGAAAACATTGTCTACCTGGGACGGAGTATTGTTATCGTTGCTTTGCGTTTTCTTCTACTTCTATATCTTTAAAAGCCGCACCCCTTTCTTTTCCTGGGAAATGTCGTTGACAATTTCACATAATTGCCATGATCGTTATACTATATCTAATCTCAGAGTCGACCTAATTTTTTGTTTTATCAGATTAAAAACAATAATCTCTGAGAAAAAAATTGTCCCTCTGTTCACACCAAAATCACTTTCCGTTCATTTGTTTTTTTTTCCAGACACTATTTTTTTAAACTAATGAAATAATATTTTAATTATTATTATTATGAAATAATTTCTTAAAATTTTTTCTCTTTTTTTTCATTGCAGATAAACTTTGTTTGATAAACTGTCGTTCAATTTAGAAAAAAGGGGATCTTTTTTAGAACTGAAAAAAATTTACCCTTTTTTTTGTTGGATTTTTTTAATAAATCATTTTTTTAAAATACTTTTTATAGAGTTTTTTTTTTATTTGCTCAGCTTTGTTTTTTCTCCTCTTTTCTAAATGGATAATTTTACAGGCGATTGAATTTCTTAAAATTAAAAAAAAAATACATAATAGAATAAATAAAAATTCTTATATTTTTTTTTTCTCTCTTTATTTTATAGAAATGCTAAAGTGGACGGTATCGAGATCTTTGTCTACGGCCAGTTCTACCCCCCATGGACCACCTAATATTAATAAGACGTCCCGCAGACCTTTTCGTGATCTCTCCAATACTCCACCAGCCGCTGGCTCTAAAACGAAAAGCAACATTCCCAATGCTCAAAATCCTTCTGCAGGAATTAAACCCACACCTGGACGTAGACGACGATGTCGCAGTCATGGTAGCGATCTAAGAGGGTACTTTCAGGTAAGTAAATAAATAAAAATCCCACCGTTCTTCAAAAAAGAATAATAATATTCGAAAAATTTTTTTCACAGAAATATAGTTTATTTTCTCTTTAAACACTTTAGAAAAAAATGTTTTTTCAAAATTAAATTAATTTTTATAATAGATATAATTATAAATTTTATTTTACTAAGAATCTATTTATTTTGTTTTTTTAGGCAACGAAGACGAGTTTCAGATCAACGAAGCGACAATCGCTTCTTCATGATTTACAGCAGAAATCCTCGGAGCCAACTGAAAGTTTTTATCTAAGTACGCCAAGAGTAGACGCTGATATTCCACTCACTTTGTTTCCAAGTAGTGAGTCACGAAGCAGCAACAACAACAACAATGAGACAGCTTTAACTTTAGCATTAGATCCACCATCACCATTAACGACAACAAGTTCAAGAAACTTTCCAAGTAGCAATGAACTGCCACAGAATATCGTTAACGAGGCACGTGCCAATCGACAATCTCATGTGTCTGATTTCTTTCAAAAAATTGCAATTGCCGCAAGTCCTGAGGATATTATGGAAGCTGATTCAGTGCCATTATGTAAACGGCGAATATTTACACAAAATTGCGATAGTAAAACAACAACTATTTCTTCGGAATTTGCTCGTGTTTCTTGTATACCAAAATTAGCAAGAATTACAAAACTTCATTCAAGATGTCGAACACCGTATCATACAAAAAATATACAAAATAAAAGTCCATTTAAAATAATTAAGGAGAGTATTCACACGCCTCTAGCTGGCAAATTATCGGATTTGAAACTTGATCAGGATTTACCAAAGTTTGAAAATGTGAATAATACCGTTACTGAAATCATGAATAGGTAAATTTTTATTTATTATTAATTAAATTATTATTAACGTGGAATATTTTTAATTTTAAATGTAATTAATTTTTTAGAAGCAGGAAAAAAATATACATTTTTAATATTTTTATATTATTATTTTTTAATTACTAGGATGTCAGGGAACTTTTTAAAAATTTGTCAAAAAATGAATTATTTATTATTTTTAATTATTATTAGAAATAATAAAAATATTGACATAAATAAATAATAAATAATTTATTGACATAAATTTGTCAAAAATGAATTATTTATTATTTTTAATAATAATTATTTTTAATTATTATTAGAAATAATAAAAATATTGGCATAAATAAATAATAAATAATTTATTGACATAAATTTGTCAAAACTGAATTATTTATTATTTTTAATAATAATTATTTTTAATTATTATTAGAAATAATAAAAATATTGACATAAAATTCCATTTAATTTTCTCTCGTCTTTTTTTTTTGTCCCCCGAAGATTTTGAATATGAAATTGTTACGTCTGAAGGAATTCACATAATAGTGACCTTGGAATCCTAACGGAGGGTAAAAATTGTGAGATATAGACACTTGCATAAGCACGTGGTATGTCTTTTTCTAACTTGAGGATTGAATTTTTTTTGAAAGAGATAAAGAGAGAGGGGGACAGGATTGTCTAGCATATGATTCTATGTGTATAGGGTCTCTTAGATTTTATGCGAAGGAGCGAAGGGTGATGCCCTGGGGACGAATCGAGAAAATAAAAGAGCTAAAGCTTTAAATTGGAGCAGGTTGAAAAAAGATGGATATACGGAACACCCGTCTCTTTTAAAGCGCGCCGGTTCTAAAGAATAGAATACAATGTACATTCAAACATATATATACACATATATATTCTAGTTTCTTCATTCTGCAAAGGGAGCAAAATCCGATAATACTACAACTATTGCAAATCGTTCCCTCGTGAGAAAAACTCGGCTTCTATTACCTTATACTTTTTTTTTACAGGAGAGGAGAATTTTAATTATTTTCATACACATAACGGATTTTTTTCTTTAAAAAAAAAAAAAAAATAGATAATTAATTTTGTTTTTATTTTTAGGGAACAAAAAAGAAATTGCGGTGGCAAAACAGTGGCGGAAATTCTTCTTAAAGACACTGAGGAGAGGAGAAAAATTCTTGAGGGAAAATCAAATTCACCGGAACATATTTATGAAATGATTGTGGAACGTGATGATGATATTGCAGCAACACACAGTGATAGTTCAATATCGTCAGCTAGTCAACTATTGGAAAATCCATCGCCACTATCGTGGGCCCTTCAATCGCCGTCAAAAGATTTTGAAGGTGAATTTACATTACGTAGACAACGTGGAATACGTCGTAAACGACATCAGCAAAAGGAGATGGAAATTGAAAAAAATTCTTCATCCGAAAGTAAACGAGCTAAAAAACAAGGTGATTCATTGAATCAAAATGAATCCACGACACAAATAAATGAGGAAATAGAAGAAATTATTGAGGATCCATTAATGGAGGCTGTGAATCGTAATGTAAAAAGATGTCCCCTTGAAACGGATCTTGATTCAACTTTAGATGATAAATTTGCCGGTGGTTCGACGACAACATTTTGTGTTGATATTCAAAGTCAATTACTCGATGATTCAAGGAGAAAGGCCAGTAGTTTTTGGGATCTTGAAAGTCCTAAATCATCACTTTTAGATGATCTTCATAGTACTAAATCATTTTTAAATTCCGTTGAGAATACACCTGAGGCGCCATTAGTTGCAACTGTTAGAAGATGTTTGAAATATAGTCCCGAAATTGATCCACCTAAATCAAATTCAAAGGGATCGATTCAAATTGAACACTCCGTCCAGGATGAGCAAATTCATCTTAAGGGTAAATTTTTTATTTTTATTAGAATATTTTAAAATAAATTTTTTTTTAATTGCCAAAAAGAAAATAATACTGAAAAGTTTTTTTATAAATATTAATATTAAATATTTTTTTTTTAGCAAAGATCGAAATTATCAGAAAACAATTACGATTTCCAATCAGAAATAACAAAAATAGGAACTTTTTCGAAATATTTCTCGGCTAAATATATATTTAATTAATATTAAAAAAACAATGAAATCAAAGGGGTTGTCTATCACTCCCTACATCCCTGAATCTGGCACGAGAGACATGCGCCAATTCCCTTCTTCAAGGGGTTTTACTTGTCATCCCGTGAAGCCGTGTGCCAGTAACCCACAGACCCTTTTGGCATTTCGATTTCGGGTTAGTAAGCCTATTAAAATTGATTGAGGCTTTTATGCTAATATAAACAACCACGATTGATTACCTCCTCCCACCATCTTAAAATCTACCTACCACCCCCCCAAAAAAAAAACTTTTTAATCAATTCCTTTTAGCCTTGAACTTTTCTATATTTGTTTTTTTTTCGATAATTTATTCTCGAATTCACACGAAAAAAAATAAAATAATAAAAGTGTATTCTTTTTTTCTAATCAAAAATTACAATCGATAGCAAAAGGACATTCGGGGTTTTTATTATATATTCACTAGTGCCTTTATAAGTGAAGTGAGGTCGTTTAGTTTACAAGGAAGTAAATGCCGCATTGGTCAGCCAGACTCGGCTCAAGTGGTGCGTGTAGAATTTTAGTCGGACCGGAAAGTTTATACTACTTAAAGGAAATAATAAATTTTTATCTCGATTTAATTACTATAAAATAATTGCTTTATTTAGAACTAAATTACAATTTAGATTTTTGTTTTTTATTTATAAAATTAAAAAAAAATATATTTTTTATATATATTTATCAAAAATATTTTCATAAAAATAGTAAAAGTTTTAGAAATTTTTTTTTTTTTTTTTTCAAAGCTTAATGGCTCATTTTATTATCGTGAATAATCAATTTTTATTTTGAAAAATATTCAGCTATCGTTTAAAATTTTTTTATTACAATTCTCAATTTTTATTGCGTAATAAATCCCCAAAGTAATAAAGATATGGTTTCATACAGTTCCATACATTATCGAAGATAAATAAAAAAAAATAAAAATTGTCTTTTGAATAAAAATACAATGAGTGTTAATTTACTCAAAAAAAATTAAAAAGTAAAATTTAAATAAAACATGAAAAAGAAACGCGATTTTTTGCATAAAAAAATTGATACGTTAAATGCAAATAAAAAAACTAAATTTACAAGTACTTTCCAGTATATTTTTGAATAATCCATACACGTAGAAAAAAGAATAAAAAAAACAAAACTAAAGAAAATAAAAAAAAATACAAAAAAAGTAAATTGAAAGTATAATTTTAAAAAATTAAAAATAAATATTGAAAATAGAAAAAAAATCGAAAAATGTAAATAGAAATAAATAAATGCAAATAAAAAAAGAAAATAAAACAAAACAATTTTTTTTAAATTAAACAAATTTATTCGTGATTACTTTTCTATTTTTACAATAATAAGTTTTTAAAACAACTAAGTTTAAACTCGTGATAAAAGAAAGTTTGTTTCTCTTTGTTTGCAAACACTAATATTTTAAATCCAAATAGTTTTATCGCAAGTTTTCTTTTTATATATTTTTTACAGTCCCTTCAGTTTTCTAAATAGTTCCGCCTTTCAGTATTATTGCTAAAATAATTTGTGTATAAAAAAAAATTAATTTTCGTTTTTATAAAATAATATCTAATATAAAAGAAAAAAAATATTTTTTTGTGTTATTTAAAAAGAATTTAATTTTTTTAGTGATACGGTGTAAGGATCTAAGGAGAACTTACGAGGGTCCCATCTACGCTTATGTGAAGGCGACCCTCAAAAATTCTAGTGGAGTGGGTTTAGTGCACAAAAGAACAGCAGTTCACAGGGCGACATCAAATCCATTTTTTCACGAAACTCTAATTTTACCCTGTCCAATAAGCAATAATAATTGTTCAAGTAAATCTACCTCTTTGGATATCGCTGTTTGGCACAGGGATCGACGAGCAAGGTGTGTATAAATTTTCTTTAATTAAAAATTATTAATGTATTAAAAAAAAAAATAGAATATAGAAATAGAAAAATAGAAAATTAAAAATAGAAATATAGAAAATACAAATATAAAAATATAGAAATATAGAAACCAGAAGTAGAGAATTTAGAATTTTTTTTTTTTTTTTATTTCTTAAAATTGTCTTTCAATTGTTTTCTTAACGAATGAATTTTTAAAAAATTTAATTAAGCAAAAAAAAATTTATTAATAAATAACGAGACTACTTTATTAGTTGAAATATAACTTTCTTGTTTAATTTCTATAGTTTCCGCAATAATTTACTTCATATCCGTATATATGTACATATATATTAGAGTAATTATAGTTATGTCTCAAGTTTACTTTGGTCAAAACGTAAGTTAGTGCACACATTATTTAAATCGATCGTTTGTTCCAAGGATAGTTAGAAACTATTAAATACTATTTCATTTAACCACTTTATAAAGACCTTGCACTTGGCACTCGATTTCTCCCCCAAGATAAGATTTTAATCGTTTTCTATATAAATTGTTTCTAAAAATATTTTATTTCTCCATTTCAAAATTCAATATCAAATAAAATAAATTTCAAAATAGTTTTCAATATGTCTATAACCGGGAATTTTTTTCATGCTTTTTAATGTTCAAAAAATATTTTTATCAAAATTTTTTGTACTTATAAATTAATAACGCGAATTGTAATTCGCTTTTTCCTTCTTTTTATTTTTAATTATTATTAATAATTAAATTATTATTATCAATAATATTTTTTTTAAAAGGAAAAAAAAATTTTTTTTCTTGTAAATAATTGAAGAAAAATTGTTTATTCGATAAAATTTGCATTTGAAAAATTTTTTCTAAATAATAAATTTGATTTATCATTTTGATATAAGATATATAGCTATATATGTCGCAGAAAAGGAATAATTTCTGGGCATTCCGGGAAGCTTGCGGTAGGAGGGGAATCGATTCTTGGGAGACTTGCGCACGTCTAGTACCACGTGCACGATTTACGTGTATTTTATACCGCGTGCGCGTCACAAAATTTTAACACATACAAAAAAAAAAAAAAAAAAAAAATTATGTATAGAAAAAGGGGTTGAATGCAAGAGAGACATTGATACATATTATATATATATATAAAGTTATTTCTTTGTATTTTACAGACGCAGCGAGCTGCTAGGCTGCATGACTCTACCCCTGCCCCTGTCCCAGGACAAGGTGAGAATATTAGTTATTCACGTGCATCGTGCATTTATTATAAATTCGTGCACTTCCTCTCTTTGTGTAGCAGTGGCGTTAAAATTCCAAAAAGGAACACTTCATGTTTCTCTGCAGTGATTTGCATATTGTTAAGAAATTTTTTCTAAATTCTCAAAATTTTCCACTTCTTCTTCTTCTTCTTCTTTAATTCATCAGGTAATTCCGAAAAGGAAATTTTATCATTTGACAATTTTTTTTCTGTAATTAAAATAAAAATTTTTATTCATTTTTACAAAAATTACTAAAATTCTAAAAAAAAACTCAATAATTTGAATTTTTTATCCTGAAATTAAAATTTATAAAGTGAAACTTGTTGATTAAATAACTCGAAACTTTTTATTATTATTGTTTCCAATTAAAAATTTTTTTCTAAAAAAATTAATTTTTTTTCTAAATTCGTGACTAATTTTAACTGGGTTTATTTTAATTTATATTCTAAAAATAAAAATAAATTTCCATTGTTCACAGATTAAAGAAAGATTAAAATCCCCTTTCGTAAATAAAAAATAATTAAAAAAAGAAAAAGTTAAAAGTCTTCTATTTTTATGTAAAAGCAATCAATATGTGTTTGTTTAGCTGACAATTAGTAAACTTCTAAAGGGATTTCATAAGTCTTCTTTTAAGGTCAAAGTTAAGTGGATTGATATATTCCAGTCAGGTTTGGTGTCTCCATTCGATTAAACTTACTTAATTCCTACTTTTCAATCGTGTCGACTGTTTATTTTCAAAAAAAAAAAAAGAAAAAAATTTTTTATGAGAAAAAATTTAAAAGTGCTTTCTATTTACAATTGTTAGGAAAGAAGTCACAAAAAAAAGGGCGAGGAAACTCGAGAGTCCGAAGTGAATAATTATTCTCTTCGTCTGAGATAAAAAAAAAAGAGAGAGAATTTTGTCTTACTCCGAAATGATTGTGGTCGCTATCTACTGCGCTGCTTTTTTCGTTGCGGGACTGATGTTGAAGATTTTTACCTTTTGCTGAAGTGAGACTGGGGAAAAAGAAAAAAAAAAAACCTCTTTTGCTAATGAGACTTGATAGTTTCCCTTCCACGGAGCCATCGACTCAAGCAAGTGTCGAAAAGTAAAATATTTCGAAGACTGAAAAAAGAAATTATCTTTTTTGTCTTATAAAATTTTTGCATGCATTTTTCCACTTTTTTTGAGAATTTTTTTTTTTCACTGCTTTATCAGTGCTTCTTTAATGTATATATTTATATCAAGAATCGATAATAAAATATTTTATATAGATTCTATTTTCGACAAGTGTGAAAGTGATATTAATAAATAATAAATCGTGGAGAATCTTCTTCTTACTTTCAGTTTTGTAATGTTATTTTATTTTTCACTTTCTTTTATTCGATTTTCTAGTGTTTGCTTTTCTTTTCTTGGAATTTTTAATACCGCCAGCACATCGAGAAAGTTCACTATAATTAAATTGTTTTTTGAAATTACATTTTTAAATTGCTTAGTGTGTACAGCGGATGTTGAATATTTTTTTCAAAAATTGCTGAACACTCTTTTTTTTCGAGAGGAACAATTTATAAAATTTAGTTTTTTTGAATTTTAGGAAGCAACATGGCACCCCTTGGAAGCAGGTTCTGGACGAAATACGAGCACCCCATATGCAGGAATAACTCAAGAGTGCGGTGTATCACCTCCTTTATCAAAAAATGGAGAGTCAGATAACAATAATTCAAATGGAGAGGATCTCACATACCTTCGACATTTGGAACTCGAGCCAATTGATCCAGTCACGGGACTTCCACTTCATCCTGGTTTTACAGCAAGAGGTGGAAGAACGCCTTGTACCACAACCAGAAGACTAACAAGGCCGAGTACCGGAAATCCGGTATGTTTAAATCGAAAAATGTTTTTTTTTTTTAAAAAAAAGTATACAAAATAGAATTTATTTATTTACACGGAGAAAAAAGAATTTTTTTTTTTAAATAAATAATAAAATAGAAATAGAAAAAAAAAAATTCTACTCCTTTAAAAAATACGATTGGATAGAATAATTGTGATAAAATATGTCCTTTGGCATAAAATAGAAATTTAAATGTAATTTTTTGTTCTTTTTTTGAATTTTCAGATTCCATGGGGTTTTTCATTGTCATGGGGACGACCGCCACGTGTGGAGCGCGTCGACACGGGAAGTCCAGCAGAAAGATCAGGATTAAGGCCCGGCGATCATGTGGTTTTTGTGGAGACAACAAATGTTGTGACACTACCACGAGAGGAAATTTTGAATCTAATTCAAGCGTCGACAAATCAATTAATATTCGAAGTCTACAGAAAAGGAGGCGTTCAATCCACAATAAATCGACCCAGTTCAGTGAACATTCATGCGCCGGCTAGTCAACAGCATTCCGTCACATTTACAGCCGAGGTCGGTACCGGTGTCCTCGTGTAATTTCCCTTAAAAATTGTCCTTATTTAAAAAAAAAAAACAAATTCGCCTCATCAAAATCATTATTTTTTTTAAAAAATCAAGCACTAGAATTTATTGTTTCTTTTTTTTTCATCTTTTCTTACACGCGATTTACAAATACGCGTTTGTCAGAGCTTATAATTATTATAATTATATTATTATTATTATTAATATTATTGTATTTTTTATTTCATGTGAAGTTATATTTATGTATTTACGTTATACGTTGTGTGTTTCATTTTGTAAATAATTTTTCGCCTTTTGTACACACTATTATTATATTATATTATCATAGCGTGAAACGCTGGATTAATTATTCCCCCGGGGGAAAAAATTGATCGTTTTTATTATTACCGAAGTGAGATTATGTTTTGTATCTTTAAGTTTCTTTTGTTGGCAACAAGTTTTTGTTTTAAATCATAAATCATTGCGCATCATTTTTTTTTATAATCCTTTCTCCATTCCTTGGCTTGATTGTGTCATTTTTTTTTGTCCGAAAGAATTGAAAAATTCAATTTTTTTTTTTTTTTTTTTTCAACAAGAGACTTGAGAGGAAATTTGAATGTGTGAATAATTTCATTAAATAGTTTTTTATTTTCATGGATGCGGGGGTACAAAAATTATTTAATGAAATTCTTCCCTTCTAGGAAAAAAATAAAATTCGGTTTTTTTTTCTTTCTCTCTCTTTTTGCTAGAAGGATTTGTTGTATGTATATTATTTGAGAAAAATGTTGAATCGATTAATGAGTTTGTTTGGTGAAAAAAGGTATTGAAGAAATCGGCAATTGTCAATTTTTTATTGAGGAAGTTACCAAAAAAAAGGATTCGTGGCTCGAGAACACTTGGGCCAGTAGAACGAGTTAATTATTCGCCAGTAATTGCAACGGTAATATTTCATATTCATATATGATAAAGCACAAAAAAAAAGTGTAACTCCAAATCTTAATGACAATCGCACTTTTTGTATATATATAATTATAATCTCAATTTTCACCAAAAAAGATTTTTTCAATCGATTTTCAGAAAAATCAAATTAATTTGTTACTAATTGAATTTTGAAATTAAATAAAAATTAGAAATTCGAAAATATAATTTTGAAAATTAGAAAAAAAATTTATTTGCTTTTAAAAATAATTGATTACAAAGAAAATCGAAATTAACAAAAGAAAAGTGTGATTGAAATAAATATGTGTCTTTCTCCAGTAATTTCATATTATAAATATATACGTATTAATTATATAAATATTATATAAAAAAGTATCTTAATTTTAAATTTAATCGAATTAATTAATCCAATGTTGATTAATTAATTTAGTTTTAAATTTTGAACTTTCCAATCGGGAAGCAAAACAATATTGAAGATATCTACAAAAATTCCAGTGAAGAGCCGCTATAGGAAATATTTAAATTGTTGTTCTGTGTGTTTGCACTCGAAATTTTTTTTTTTTTTATTTCGAAAATCTGTATGTGTGAAATGTCCTCAATTTGAGAAGACTCTCAAGATAATTAATTTTTAATTTAAAAAATAAATGAAAACATTTTAAATTAATTCGTCAAATGAGCAAATTTCGCTTTAATAAAAAAAAAAATTGAGGGTTTTCTTAAAACATTTTTCAGGTCTTGATATTCACTTGGAGATCAACATTGGTGTTTTTTCTTTCAATGGTTCCAAAAAAAATCTCAATAAAATTTCCAATTAAATTCTAAAGAAAATTAATGTAAGATATGCTATTGATAAAATAATTCTGGATATTTTCTATTGAAATTTTGTTCTATTAAAAAAAAATATATTTTCAAGTATTCTTTTTTTTTATTGTATCAATTGCAAAGCAATAAAAATAAATTGGATATTTTTTATTGAGATACTCTTTTTAATGAATCATTATTATCTTTGTTTTTTTTTTGTTTCTTTACTCTTAAGGTGTTACCAAACATTACACCTGATGCTCCGCCTGAAGAAGAATTGAAAGTAAGAGAATCACGTTATTGTTCATCATTGAAGAGTGGTCAAACGAGATTTCTCACACCTTTAGCTGAGCAAAGAGATGTTTTATCATCAACTGATCATATGATACTTTTTCAAAATCTCGAAGAATTGCTCAAAATTTCTGAAGAATTAAAAAATGATGGCGCAACTATTGACAGTTATTTGTCACGTATACCGAGGATAATTGCCTCCTATAGACGATATCTTAGTGGACTTCAACGAGCATGTTGCCTTTTAGTTGCACTTAGACGAAATTCTTCATTTGCTAAATTAGTCGTCGAACCCACCGTTCCACGAAGAAGAAATCCTGATCTCACTGGAGTATTGCTTCTTCCACTAGAACATTACAGGTGCATTTTTTATTTGCAATTTATTTAAATCTAAATTTAATTATTGATACAAAAGTAAATTTGAAATTAGAATAATTTTTTTCGCACATTACAGGTGCTTTATTATATAATTTCAAGAATTTATTTAATATTATTTATTTTTGATACAAAAAATTATTATTTACCTTTTTGAGAAACAATTCTTTTTTTTTGCAGAGAGATGACGAGATTACTGGGTCTCGCTTGTCCGAGGAATTGTCAACAGGCGAGGGATTTATTGCAAGGTTACAGAGAAGCAACATCAAACGCAGGAGTTATGGAACCACCAAGAGATTCTGGAAAACCTTTATTGAGTTTACAGGAAATGGAATCGAGACTTGTTTTTGCAAGATGTAAACCATTTTCCCTCGCCACACCAGGAAGACAATGGTTCGAAATTTTTTCGATTTAAATTCTTATTCTGGAAATTTAAAAATTTGAATTTTTTCTTTAATTTATTTGTAATAATAAATAAATAAATAATTTTATTTTGTAATTGATTTTTTAGGCTCTTTGGTGGCGCGTTGACGAAAGTAGAAAGTCGAGCATCATTGCAATCAACTTGGGCTCTTCTTTTAACTGATATTCTCGTATTTGCAAGAGTTTCACGTGATAGAGTTTTATTTGTCACAGAGGAACCTCTTCATCTATCGAATATTGCGGAAGCTTGTTTCAACGTTCGTAAACGACCCACGGAATTTCGATTGCAAATTGCATTGGCCCAAAATGAAAATGGTCACGTTGAAACAATTCACACGGGTGGTTGCAGTCCTCACAGTCGTCCAAGAAGAAGAGTTTTAATCCTTCGAGCACCAACTCCCGAATTAAAGGCTGTCTGGCACAATTTACTACAACGGCAAATGTAATTATTTTGCATCTTTTTTTTTTTTTCTTCTTTTTTTTACATATTAATGGAAAAATTGTTCCATTTGCAGAATTTACGTAAATACCTGCTGTGATGATGCTTCTCTTGTAGATAGTCCGGAAGAAAATCAAAACGATAATTTTAATTCCAAAAATGCAACGAATGAGGTAAATGAATGAAAATTAGAAAATTTTGGATTTTTTCTAATTTTCCAAATTTATTTTCAGTATCATGAAGAATTACAGCATGAAGATGAGAAAGAAAAATTCGAGGATAGTCTTGATATTATCAAGGATTCAAATCATCTTGCTCAATGGGTACAAAATTCCCATCAAATTCCATCACCGGATCAAGAAATATCGCTCGAGGAATGGACAGCTGAGGAATTAGCCGCACGAACACCTAGGGAAAATATTGAACGAACTTTAGAATACAATGCTGAAGAAACTACTACTGTCAATTCTGATGTTGAACAACAAAGTACAACATCTAGTGCAAGTTTAAGTACCGTTAAATCTAGTACCGTATCAAAGAAAAATGGATCTTATCAAACGACTATTAGCATCTGTAGAAGATGTCACAAGTAATGGAAAATTCTCACTATTTTTTTTTTTTTACCTTTACATTAAAATCGATTTCAAATTGAATTTTATATTTTATCAAAAAATTCAGTTTGGAATCGAAATACTTTTTTTTGAAATCAGAATTAATTGATACTCACTTGTAAAATAAGAGTTTATCGTTTTAGATCCGGATGTCCAACACCACCATTGATTCGTGATCCTTTTTCGCCGATTCCACCGAAAATTTCCGTATTGCCACCGACTCCTGATATTTGTACGAGGCACAAAACGCGAAATGGTTTAGTCGACAATCAAGGACGTGATAGTCCTGCTAGTGCATCAGCCGATGGAAATACCGAGGAAGGAAGTGAAGATGATCTCGACGCCGATGGAGAACCACCTTACAGGTTTTTTTTTTTTTTTACCAATCTGAAAAAGAAAAAAGAATTTTTTTTTAATCCGTTAAATTCTGACCCTATAATTAAATTTACAAATTTCTTGGAATATTTAAACATCATTTATTTCAGAATCAGTATTTCTTGTTTTTAGAGCATTGCGAAGATTTGGAACATTAAGTAGTTTGGATCAAGACGATGAAATTGAAGAGCCAACTGAGGAGGAATCACAGGAACAAGAATCGCCAACTGGTTTTAAAGCGTGGACAATGAAAGCGAGTAATTATGTTGTTAGTAAAATGACATTATTGGAACATTTTGGTGATCAATTTTTACAACCACCGCAACCACCGGAGAGAACGGAATTTTCATTAGATGGACAAAATGATGAGGAGGGCACAACATCGGGTGGTACATCAGGTGATGATATTTGGGGTACACCAACATCCGGCGGTCCTGATGATGAAAGTTTTACTGCTAGTCCGGTAAGAGAGACATCATCTTACCAGATTCGTCAATTATCGAAGGTACGGGCTGATTTATTGGCGCAGCCTTCGTTTATTATAATAAACATTTTTTTTTTTTTTTTCACGAAATATTTGCCATTGCTTTTTATTTGCTTTTTCTTCTAGTTGAATTTCCATTTTTGAAAATTGGAATCTAAAAAAAATAATTAATATTGGAATTGTGAAAATTTTTGAAATTCAACTAGCGGAATTTTTTTTAATTAAAAAAAAAGCTAAGAAATAAAAAATGAGCTATTTTCGCTTTTAATTATAAATTTTTTTGGCGAAATTCAACTATAATTGCTTACAAAAATGCAGAATTGAATTTGAAAATATTGCACTTTTTTTTTTAATTAAAAATTAATCGCTTTTGCTTTTTTACTTCAAGTTTACTTCAAGCATGTGAAACTTCAATTTCATTTATTGCATAATAATTATCACTACAATATTAATTAATTGAAGTTAATTAAATTCAAATAATAAATTATATTCAATTAATTTTTCTATCTCTTTTTCTGAAAGAAAAATTAAAATTCATCTGCAATTTTCTTATTGAAACTGATACATTTAAATTAAATAATATTTAGTTTCTGTAAACAAATTTTTGCAAATTGTAGAGATCACAGTGACAATCTGTGATATCTGAAATTGCAAAATTTGCCTATATTTAACTAAATTACTAAATGAAAAAAAAACTAGTGCACGTTTCAGATAATCGAAGATCACAACAGCCTGTACCTTCAATGAAAGTAAATAAAAAAAAAATTAGTCATTAACAGGCTTCACAGCTTTTTTCGAAACTTATTATTTATTTGTTTTATGTTCTTTGGATACTTATTGTAAATATTTATAATTCTTTAATTTTTTTTTTTAAATATAAACATTTCGGAGAAAAGGATTTTTAATAAAATTTCCATTTTTCCTTAATGAATATTAAAATTTCAATTTCTCTTAGACGTTAAAATTTTTATAATTGTAAGATAATTTTTTTGTAATTATTAATAAAATTTTGTACTCACAAATAAAAATAGACTGTGATGCCTGTAATTTTAAGCTTCGCACGCATCTGCATGATCATGCTTGCCCTCTGTTTGCCAAGAATCACTAGCCCGAGATGTGCCTGACTTCCATAGCCGCCGATCAATGGTACTGGTGCCTTTGGTGAGGATAATTTTGCAATGTCAAATGATGATAACGATGAATTGGACAGCGATGATTGTCTTCTACCTGAATTAAATATGGATCAACTTTTGGGTAGTGCAAGTTTAGGATCGTTAAAAGGCTGTTTCTTGGGTAGAAGACGCCTTGAGCCATTACCTGAAGAAGAGGATTCATCAGCAAGTGGAAAACAACAAGTTGGATGGTGGTGACAGAGGTTTCCAAAAACGACTTCAAAAATTGTTGATTCAACAATTGAAGAAAGAGGTCGTAATTTTGCTCGTTTAACACAAGAAGATGAGGAATTTCGTCGTAAAATTCTTGATCTTCATCGTAAATTATCTGATGTTGATGAAGATACAATTTCATCAAGATCACCTGATTCATTGAGACGTTCAGATAATAAAATTGAACGTTTACGTGAATTAGAAATGGTTGCAAAACGTGCTGAGGAAACATTTGATAAAAATTCAATAGAAAGAGAACGTTTTCGTGAAAGTCAATCAGATACAATAACAAAACAATTGAGATTTGTTGATCAAGATGATTCGGATGAAAAAGAAATTGAAGACACATCTGGATTGACATTTTTAAATCGTTTAAGAATACGTAGACGAAGTGTTAAATTATTAAGTTTTTTGAGTGGTAAAACTTGTGATAAAGCACAAGAGGAACGTGCCAATAGATTATTGAAAATGTACTCTTCGGATAAAGGATCCAAGGGGCCGAATACAATTTCCATTCATCATACGTCCAGAGATAGAAGATTTTGGCGACTACGTAATCGTAGAAGATCAAGTTCTGCGTGAGAGAAAAAAAAAAAAATCTTTTCCCAACTGTCTCTCTTTTTCTCTATTTTAAAAAAACACCAGGATCGTTCTTTCTAGAGCGTAGCGCGTGCCAATAGCGGAAGATAGTCTAGTAACCTGGGTCTAGACTCTTCTTTAGCCTTTCACGTTTCGAATTTTTCACATTTTCGCAAAGGCACTAAAAAAAAGAAAGAAGAAATTAAATATTTGAATTTAAAAAAATAAATAAAACCATTTACATACCTTTGGAGCCTTGACGAAAATGTTGAAAATCGTACGAAAATTATTGTAATGAGATTTAAATTTGTTGTAAAGAAAAATTCGTCCAAGACGATTAGAGTCTCGTTTTCCGATGATGCGTCAGGATCAAATTCAAATATTGTCCAGTGCTCATGGCACAATCGGTTTTTTTCTGCAGTCAACGTACAAAGCTGCAAAGCGGCCTATAGTAAGAAAAAAAAAAAACCTTTTTCAAAATATTATTCTTCGAGCTTGTTTCACTCGCTAAAATCGAGTTACTCGTTAATTCACTTTTAAATGTTTCTTATATTGTAAATTTAAAAAATAGGTCCGCACGACTGATCCAACGCGGCACTCATCTTCCACTTGAAAATTGATCCCTTTTCAATGGTTTAAGCAACTCATTACATTTAAAGAATAAAAAAAATAATTCTTATTATTGTTGGTAGGTTGTAAAAATGACCCGGTTGCAACTGGAAATATGAATAAATTACATTATTTGTTCAAACTGTTCTCTCTCGTTTTTATTTTCTCACCTCTGTTAAAAAAAAAAAAAGAAATTAAATTTCTAATTTATAAAATCAAAAAAAAAATTTATTTAACTTACAAAACAATTTTTTATTAAATATGAAATGTAAATTTTTCTCTACAATTTTCTTTTATTTTCTAATTATCACTATTATTATTATAAACCGAACCATGTGCTTCAATTGGATTTAGCCATTTTAATCGTAAATATTTTTTCATTGTTTTTAAATCAAATCTCTTGACATTTGTTTTAAAATTATCAAATGCATCTAAACGATTTTGATCCATTCTTGGAAAGATTAGTAATTTTCCATTTTCATGTAGATAAGTTTCTTTATTTGTTAAAAGATCATTTGGTAATTTTTCTGGCAATTCTATTGGTGTTACTTTAATTAGATGTTTAATTTTCATCAATAATTGACATGTGTCCGGTGTATTCTTCATAATTGCAATTTTTTCATTGTACTGAAAAAAAAGGAAAATTCAATTAGAATTTTTTTCTTCTGTTTATTGAATTATATTATAGTTTTAGAATTTTGATTTTCTTACAAATTGGCCAAACTTTAAATCATCAAGAATTCTTTTGTCCCAGTATGGCTGTCCTTTATAAGGTTTCACTTTTTCTATCATTAATAATTTTGATGGCTTTATTGGAGGATCTTGATGATCAAGTACACTAAAAAAAAAAAAGAAACTAAATTAATAATTTCTGTATTTATTAAAAATTATTAACGTTGATTTGATATAAAATTAGAAATTAAAAAATGTGAAATAAAAAGCAGTTTTTATAAAAAATGAATCAAAATAGAAAATGAAAAATATTATAAAAATAAAAATAGAAGGAAATTATTATTAAAAATAAGAAAAAAAACATTATTAAACAAATGAAAATTAATTAAAGAAATAATAATTATGTTCTCTTACCGTGGATAGTATGTAACTTTGTTGTATTGTACAGCATCTTTTTGCCAGATTTTTTTGACACCTTTGGAACCATACTTTGACTTTATGTTATATTTATACGTATGTTTAGAATATTTATATAATTTATCCATTTTTTATCTTGAGACAATAATAAAGTTAATTAGTTTCTAGTTTTTAAATACAACGAAAATATAAGTGACTTTTTTTTGCACAAAAAACTTATAGACACCAAAATATTCTATCGAATAATTACGAGATAATTTTACAGTACTTACTGATAAATTTCAATAATTGTTAATTAAAATCCTTTTTTATTATTCTTTAATTACTTATTTATTTAATTCAATTCATTTCGTGATTATACCATTTTGAGGTTATGTCAACCGCATTGTTGTTGTCACAATACGCATGCGCGCTAAGCGAAGAAACCGGAAATGTGAGTATAATTTGAATTATTTCAAAATTTTTTATTAAAAATTATTGTTTTCTTATTTTTTTCTGAATTCTTTTTAATCAATCATTTTAAAAAAATAGAAAAATAATGTCATAAAATACATTAATTTTATTTTATAAACTCATTGTATTCTTACTGTCAAATGTTTATTTATAATTATTGAATTTTATAAATAAATAATTCTAAATTAAAAATCAAATGTCGATTAATCGAACAATTAGATAATTTTTTTTGCTAACTTCATATCAAAGCCAAAGCCAACTTCACATTCTTATCAATTTATAACGTTTATAACGGTCGTTTATAACAAGTATGTGCGTGCCTATTAAATTGTTAATTTTCTTAATTATTCTACATTTTATTCAAGTTATAAAAGTGTTTCACATAAAGAATACTCAATTTCGAACAAAAGATAATAGTTTTTTTCCATCGACTTATAATATAACTGATTGGATTGATAAATTTCATTTGCAGCATTGCGTCTTTGTTGAAATCGGCGAAAGCTTTTGTGCTGTAAGTATAAATTTGATTAATTTTTCTATTTTGTGAATTTATATTTTTTGGTGGGGTGTCTGGATATAGTTTTTTTTGAATAGTTATTCATTGAAGTGAAAAATTCATCAAAAATGTCAGGAAATTCGGAAATTGAATTTTTCCTTGGGATTTGTGATTGCGAAACATTGCGTTCCTGGACATTGTGTTCGCCCGAATTGCAAAAAATTCGTAAAAAAGATTGTATTTTCTCTGAAGCCACTCCAAATGCGAACACAAGTGCTCGGGTTCATCGAAGAGTTTGTGATATTAATTTTCTGAAATATCAAAAAATTTGTAAATGTTCTCTTTCTTTGGCCGATCAAAAGCTTCACAAGACGGAAGGTAATTTTTAAATTTAAATAAATGGGAGCCTTTTTAAATAAGATTAAAGTGGTAATATTTTTTTTATAATTGTTGCATTTTTTTTTATTTTGAGGTTATAAAGTACTGATTTTTTTATTTTTAAAGAAAAAATACAATCTTTAATAGTTATATTATTTTTGCAAAAAATATTTTGAGGTTATAATTAATTTTTTTTTTTTGAGAATTCTAGTTAATTCAAGGTATAATTAATTATTGGCATTTTTTTTATTATAATTTGGAAAATAACTTTTGAGTCTCAATTTAAATTTACAATTATAATTATTAATTAATTATTAGATTCTTTATTTCTATTAGTATAGTATTTGTAAAATATTAAATTTGAAAAGGTTTTCCAACATGTTTTCTGGATCCTTTGCCAATATCAATTTGTTTTCCAAGAGGAGTTTGTGGAGTTGCTAATTGCTCTGTAAAAACAATAATGGGAATTTATTCTCCTCATTGTGACCCTAATTGTCGTCAAAAACAACCAGTGGGTACAATAATTTGAAAAAAAGAACAAAATATTGGAATAACTTCTTTATATTCTTTTAAAAAATTAAATATTAAAAGTTATTAAATAAAAAAATAAAGTAAAAAAAAAAGATGAAATAAAATAAGTCACAAGGAGACGATTTAAAGAAAAATTAGAAAATATATTAATTTTTTCTTTTTTTTGTAGTTTTGTGAAGAACTTGGTCCTTGGACTTCTGTAGCACCAAAAATCACATCTTCCTGGAGTGAATGGTCGAATCCAGAATGTAACGTTTCGTGTGGTGAAGGAACTCTTGTTTCAAAGGCATTTTGGTAATAAAACAAATTTCAATAAATTTTTCTCTATAGTAAATTTCAAAAATTATAAATTATCCTTTTTTTTCGTAGGAATAATTTTTAATTTTGTGTTTATTTTATACAAAATATAATTTTTAAAAATTTATTTTTTCAAATAATAAAAATTAAAAGAAAAAATAATTTTGTTATAAAATTGATTTGAAAATTTTTTCAGTGGGAATAATAATATTGATTGTATTGGACCTGAACCTTTTTGGTAAGTAAAAAAATGAAATCTTATTTTTTTTCCTCTAAATTAAAAAAAAAAATTAATTTTCTTTACAGTTGCTCCAGTACAATTGAATCGTGTGAATGTAAAGTGACTATCGAAAATGGAATCATGAAGGCAAGACGATTTACAGAGCCTTGTACTCGTTCTATTTCATGTCCTATTGTTTTGAGACGAAGAGGCTTTCTTCCTGAAAATCAATTGAAGAGAAGTGAAAGTTATGATATTGACGAATATAAGGGAAAAATTGTCGGTATTTATTTAATTTTTTTCAATAATTTATTTTCTTTATGATTTTTGAAAATTCTTATTTCTTTCTTATAAAAGTATTTATAAATTCAAATTAGTAGAAAAGTATTTATAATTTAATTTTGAAAATTCTTTTTCATTTTTAATTAAAAAAAAAAAATTTAGTTCTAATTCAAATACGTAAAGTTAATTAATTTAATTTAACAATTATGAAGAAGCATTCCACCTATCTCGTCGACGACTTTTAGGAAATTTGTATTACAACGACGAGGAAGAGGATAATTACGAAATAATGAACAATGACGATAACGAGGAATTTAAGAATGAGGAAAGTAATAAACGAATGGCAGTAATCGATGACGATTTTGATGATGACAATGACTACGATTCTTTCACTAAAAATACTTCCGATAATATTGAAAACGAAGAAGAGGAGGATAATGATAATGATAACGCAATGTCTTCAACGATCGCAGAAAACAATGATTATGGTGAGAAATATTTAATTTATTTTTCGATAAAAATATTTTTAAATTTGTTTCAAAGAACCAAAAATCACAATCGAAATAGAATTAAAAAAAAAATATTTTAGAATTCGATAATTTCTTACAGAAACAATCTATGAAGACAAATCTAGTGCTTCTTTACTTAGATCGCGAATTTTATATCTTGTTTTTATTTTCGTTGTTGAAAAATTTTTTAATTTTAAATAGAGAATAATTTTAAAAAATTGGAATATTTGTTAAAAATCGCAAGTAAATATTTACGTGTGGTAATGTGTACGCTTGATGGTCATTGCGCGTAGATATATATAGGTATATATGTTTCGTAATACGATATCCCGCAAGGAATGCTCAACGATACCTTTAAACGCAAAGCCGACATGCGTTCAGAACTTGACCCCTCTTCGTCAAAGAAAGCGTGCGGTGTCAGTGACCTTCCTCAAAAAAAGCTTCTTTTCAATTCTCAACACCCGTTATAAATTGCGAACTCTCATTTATCAAAATGAAAAATATTCCTAATTCTCTAATTTCCTGAAACTCATTTTTTTGTTCCCTACAAAATGAGCTTTTTTTTTTTTTGTTCTTTCTGCATCCGGAAGTGGATACAATTTTCAAAACATTATTTTTTTATTGTAAAAAATACTTCACATAGAGTAATTGTGTTGTCAGTTTAAGGATCCTTTGTTTTTGCTTGGTACAAAAAAATTATTGATAATTAAAGCCTCTTTTATGTATATATAATTATTTATAAGTTTCCATCAACGTGGGTGTTTTCTTTGGAGGAACGTGCGACATTAAACCTGTTTTACTTAAATTATTCCAAATTGATAAGCCTTAAATTGTTCAAGTCAATAAATAAAACTGGTTTATAAATTCGAGACCTGTTAATGAATTATATGAACGTCTTTAAAGTACAATACTTTTATTGTGTTTTGCAATTGCATGCACGTTCGTTCTGCATATTTATTCTTTAGTAAAGTATATCAAAATCTAATTTATCAATAAAAAAAAAAAATCATTTTCAGATGCTAGTAATAATTATTTTTAAAGTGTATTTAATTAAAATTTTATTTAAATTCAATTGTTTTAATTATTTAATTTAATTAAAATTTTAATTACTTTTTATAAAAAAAAGAAATTTTTAAAATCCCTATAAAATTAATTTTTTAATAATAATTATATATATTAAATTTATTTAAAATTCTATTTTTTAAAAACTAATAGAATTATTTAAATGATTTTGAAAAATTTTCGAATATGAATTTGAAAATTTTTTGAATAATTAATTTTGTTAATATAAAAATAAATTTTTAATAACGCCATGATTTTTTTAATCGATAAAATAGATTTTGATTATGGAAAAATTTGCCCTTCGTTTTGTTGGCGAGAAATTATAATAGTCGCGAACCCGCTCTGTTGTTTTTCAAGGTTAGAACTCGCACGTGAACAGGAAAATTTTCTTTTTCCCTCGAGTTTAAATCTCTCTCTTTTTATCCTCTTTTACATCTATTTATTTTGAGTCGACAAAATTTCACCAATTTTCCGAAAATCTCTTTAATTTATCGAGAAAAAAAAATTGTTTTTTAAATAACAGAATCAATATTTAAAATTAAATAATGAGAAAATGAATTACTCTTCTTTTGAAGAAAAAAAATTTAAATTTAAAAATCTACCTGCGCAAAATTCGACGTCTGATTGGTCTATTTTTGTGAAACAATTTCAAATTTTTCCCCCGCGTTATTGATGACAAAAAAAAAAAAAACTTCTGATTCAATTTGACGACAATATTGAATAAATTTTCGCTTTATACTTTTCTTGATTATAGAAAATATGTAACAACGAGGAAAATACATTTGCTTTAAAAGTAATTTAAAAAAAAAAAATAATAAAAAATCATTCCACAAGTGGTGTTTGACGGACTAGTTACACTCCTGATCGTTTCTTGTCTCCAATTGGCTATCTGGTGTACCATGTGGCATTCATACGTAGTGGGGATTGGCCGGCATATTCTGCACTCTCAACACACCGCAGGCAAAGTGAATGTTCATTATAGTATTTTACCCGCGCTATAGTCTTGTGCCACTCGCGTGTGTTATGTTCATTGTTCTTCTCGTGCCGTTCTCCATTCACCATCAATCTTCAAGTTATATTTTGTTCCGAATTTTTTCCCAAAAAGAAGTTTTAAATAAAAGTTTAATTTGAAAAATATGTTTTTCTAACCTTCGCTTTTAATTTATTTGAAAAAAAAAGGAAATTGGTGAACGCGGTGAAGATATGTGTTCTCTATAAGTGTTATTGTTGCCCCCCCTTTTTTTTTTTTTGTTGCAATTCTATATATGTTTGTATGAAAACAAGTGAAGTGCATATTATTTTGTATACGTTTTTTTTTTTTTTTGTGAAAATAATACACGGTGATGCTCACAACGATTCGCCAAAGCGGCGCTTACGTTTGGAAAGGAATTTCGAATGCAGTGGATCGCGAGTGAATAAACCGTGGGATTCTGGAATGTGCGCTGACAGGTAAACCTCCTCCGCTACACCGCGCCGTCGCAATCGGGAATATTTTCTATTCAGGCCCCGAAGATCGGTTCATTTATTCCAGCCAACAATCCTCTTTTTTGTTGTTGTTGTTAAGAATTCAATATTAAATATTTAACCTAAAAAAATATAAAAGAAAAGTTCAAAAAACAGATTAATTTCCAGGAATCCATTTTTTTTTCAAAAAAACAATTTTTTGTTTGCAAACATTTTGAAGGTTATGTTTCGGACCGAAAATTCTTTCGTTTTCTAAATTATTTTTTTTATATACAATTATTGAGGTTTCCAGAGTATTCGTTTCTTTCTGTTATTATCAATGAAAAGAGGAAAATTGAATTTAAAAAAAAAAAAAAAAACAGATTCAGTATTAATATTTCAGGTATGTGTGGGTGTTTTTTTTACCCCTGATACAAATATCTGATTTTCTGAACACACCTGTTATTTACCTAAAGGTTCATGAATATTGTAACCTTTACTTTCCTTTATTATACACCATGGATTCCATTCTAAAAGTTATTTCAATACCTTTGAGAATATTTGTGGGAAATTGTATTTTTCTAAACTGCTTTAAATTTATTTTAAAATCATTCATATTTTTATAGTTTTTCATTTGCAATTCTTTTGATTTTGTTCGTTTATTTAAAATAAATTCTACAAAATTATAAATAAAATTTATAAATTTTAATTTTTTTGCTGAATTTTCGATAATTTATTTTTTTAATTTTGTATTAAACCAAGTCCACTTCTGAGCCGAAAGGCTGAAGCTTAATTAATAAATAATAATAATAATACTGAATTTTCGATAATTTATTTTATAAAATTTTTTTTTAATTAAAATATAAATTTGATTTCATTTCCAAATTAAAATTACCTATATAAATTTAATATAAAGTAAACAATTGTAGTAGCAATTTTAATTAATAAAATATGTTTTTGAATTATAAATTTGATATCAAAAATTCATATATATATATATTTTCAATTGTACAAATATTTAACTAATATAATATAAATTGAGAAAACAAAAATATGATTTATTTGTTTGAACTAATGAGTCTGGAATTTGTCACATTTCTCTATAAATAGACAATAATCTCATAGGTAAATATTGATCTTGACTTTTTCTTCATAACTTTTAATATTGTGTCAATATTTAAAGAATCCTGTAGAATTTTCCAACTTTATGAAGAAAAAACTGAATCTAGAATTTTTTTTTACCATTTTGTTTATATTCTTTTATTCTCAATTGTAAACATATTTCAAATATTTGTCAAAAAATAAGCCCGCAGATTATTAGCCACTTTTTTTTTTATTTTCCAATTTTGTTTTGTCCTTTTCTTTTTTGCCAAGAAGAACCGCAAGGACAAGAGTTCCTTAAAAAGTGGGTCAAATAAATTTTTTTTTTCTTTTTTTTTTTTTAAATTTAAATAAGTTAAGAATAAAGAAATAAAAACTGACAAGGAAAAAAGTTTTTGAGATGACTTTAAATATATACCGTTAATTTTTTATGGAGTGGATCATTTTGTTTTGAAAACATGGTCCTTTTAATGCAAGTGCGTGGTTTTTAAAGTTTTATTATTGTATGCGATGTAGAATTGGATAAAAGCAAAACGTGTTGAATGTAAAATACCGTTATATATCTGACGTAAGGATTCTTCTCGCGCAGGTGAATTGACGAATTTTTTTTTTTAAAAAAGATGATGATAATTTCTGTATTAGTTTTTTTTTGTGATATTAAATAGGAGAAATTGATCATTTTATTAAAATTGGTTAATTTGAGAATTTTCATTAAAATTCAAGTATCATTTTAAAAAAAAAAAATTGCAATTCTCTTTTAAAACGATTTCACATGAAAAATACCAGTTAAAAATATTTTTTTCAAGCTAAAAACGCCCCTTGAATTGTCATAATTTCGTTATATTAAAGTATGTGTGTGAAGATTCATTAAAGTATAGTCATTAAAAAAAATTTATCGGTGCTATTGTAGAATCATTAAAATTCTAATAAGTGTTATTATTCTCCTTAATGAAGACTTGGTCGAAAATTTGCATATTATACCTTTCTTCTAGAGTTAAAAATAAATTTCTTCCATAATTTAAAAATAAAATTAATTTTTATTTAATTCTTTTTTTTTTTTTTAATTTGCCATTTTTCAATATTTTTCTCATTTATTTTTTAATACAAAAGAAAATAAAATTCCATTTAATCAAAGATTTATACAGTTATATATTTTTTTGGAAGATGAGAATTTCTACACTTAATTATTATTCTCCCTAGGATTTCATTTACATTACAATAGAAGTTTTAAAAATTGTTTCTTTTTTTTCTAAAATAAAAAGTACAGTTCATTTCTATATTTAAATTTTAAAAGATTGAAAATTTACATGTAGAAAAAATAAAAAAAATAAAATAAATTAAAAAAAAAAGTTTTATAAAATTTGATAGACAAATTTCCAAATATGCAATTTTCGATCCATGCTTTATTTTTGAAAAAAATATTTAAAATTCTATAATAATTGTTTAAGTGAAAAACCGGTTTATCAGGTTGCTAAAATCACGAATTTTCAATTTAAAAAAAAAAAAAAATTAGACTTCAACATCCGATGTATTTTCATTTGATCACGAATCAAGGACGATTTGATCATTAGTATAAACAAGAAACTTCTTCGGACGTTTAAATATATAAAAGAAAACCACACTGCAGTTATCAACATTTGCACATGTTGCCTTTTAATCTCAATTTCATAAGTTATCAAACATGATACAGTAGTTTACACAAAAAGGGGATTTCAAAATTTTTAAAAAAAATTTGATAAATGAAACACAGATGCTGTTTAATTATAACTTAATCAATTGATTATTATTCACATTACAATCTTACGTCAGTCTTTATTTTTATTCTACATGAACTTATATTTATTTAAATAATTTATATTTTTAATATTTATTTTTTTAATTATTTTAGACAATTTAAATTGAGGAAATTTTCAAAATCTGATAAATCCTTAAAATATTAAATATTTAATTTATCAAAATTTTTTTGAAAAATGGATTTATCAGTTTTTGAAAATTTTCTCTTGAAATTAATTTATTGTTAAATTTTTACAAATATAATTTAAATAGATTGTTTTAGATATAATTTAAATTTAAGATTATTTCAGATATAATTTAAATATTATTTTATTTTGTAATTATTTTTTAGTCTATAATCTAAATTAATGTAAAATTTATTTAAAAATAGAAATATTCAGATAATTGCTATTTGTATTATAGCAAATCTCAAGTATCGATGACCTTTTCATTAATTATACCTTATCGGTTACTCTATCTTGAGATTTATTAATTACCTATTGATTACGGTAAAGTGTTAGTCAATGCTTTATCTTTGATATAATGTAAAGACGAGGAATTTGCGAGATATATTTTTGTGATTGTATCTGCTTTAAATTTCTAGTTAAACTAATTAATCGTTTTTCGATTATCAATTAAATTTCTTATCACGACCAAAAAAAGAGAGTGTATGATAGGGTAACGGAACGCGTTAACAAGACAATTTTTTTCTTTAACTGCTATTATTATTTTTCGGGATAAATATTTTTAAAAAAAATTTGGCTGGAATAATTTTTTTGCAAAATTCCCAATTTTTTGGGTCTGAATATTTTTTTACTTAGCTTTTTTTTTAATTATTTTGAATTTTTACAATATTTATTTTTAATAATAATTTATCAGTGATGAAACAATTTTATGCACCAACAAAATGTAATTTTTGAAATTATAAAAAAGAATATAGAAAAATTTTTAATTATAAAATTTAATTAATTTTGGTCCATTAAAAATTTTGACTTCTATATTTTTTATAAAGAATGATTTTATATTCAGGATTTTTTTTTTTCAAATTATATAAAAGAATGCAAATTTTCTCTTCTTAAATATTCCCATCCATGTGTGCATAGAATTGTTTCATCGCGCGGTGAAAGGTATTTTATATTTGAATTTAAAATTGTTTGGTTCTGGTTTGTCGATCTGTCGATGAAGAGGGCTGGGTGCCTCGGATACCTCAGGAAAGAGCTCATGAAGCCCCTCGAGGAAAGGCGGAAAGGGGGTTCACAGTTCGACGGAGCGGTTAATGACCGAGGAACAACAAAAAAAGTCAGGATCACGACGACGAGGTGGTGCTCCCGATGGAGATGATGAGCGACTTAACAACAACGTCAATGATAAGATTTCGTCAAAACAATGTCGATAATAATGTTGATGTTGACGATGATGATGATGATGATGATTTTGATATTGATGAAGAAAGACAATCATCAACGACTCTAGATATGGGACCGGATATGAATTTGGTGAACGGACCTAACCCCTGGCTTCCGGCTTATGGATTTCAAATTCAACATCACAACAGTTACAACTCAACACACGAGGATCTACGCACTAATGGTTCGTTTTTTATTTTGTGTGTGTGTGTTTTTTTTTCTTCTTTAACGAGTTAACACACACGCACGCACTTTATTCCCCTTACATAAGCAGAAAAACAGTTTCACCTAGATTGAAATAGATCGTAAAAAAAAAGAGACTTCTCCACTGTCTTGGCACTGAGTCGCTCTAGACATTGCTTTGGCTACGTTGTCATGCTGCTGATTGTTTTCATTTTTTTGTTGCCGAATTCAAACTGCAGCGTAAGCTCTTTCTAAAAATATAAAAGTTTTTTTTTATTAAACAAAACTTTGGTTAAACAAAAATATTTTGCTAAATTTTTTGTTTAACAAAAATTATGATTTTCCTGCTTATTTGTTTATTAATGAATCTCATGAATTTGTTTTTTTTCCAATTATTCTTTATTATAAATCTTAAAAATTAAATTTGAATTTTCAAAGTAAAAATTTTAATTTAAATGATAAAAATTTTTTCTTTTTTCAAAATATTTTAATTCACATTGTTATTTCAAGTGTATTTTGAATGGTTGTTTTCGCATATATCTGATTAAAAATTTATTTATCCACAATAATATCATTATACACTGAAAGATTACGCTAATATACGTAACAATTTGAACTTAATGTCGTTCGATGCATTTCCGGTTGTTTTTTTTCAAGTTTCTGGAAAAAAAATAGTTGAACATTTTCATGAATCATTTTATAAACAATTTAGTAAAAAAAAATCAATAATCGACAATATTTAACATAAAAATAAAATTTGTTTCTTTTTATTGTAAATACTAGAATTATTTTTCTAATTTTTTTTTTTTAATTTACATAATATCGGAGTTTTTAAAATTATTTTTTCTCTTCGTGCGTGATTTTTCGATGATTTTATAATGGAAGGTTTTTAGAAAAGAAAATTACTAATTTAGAAAATAGCTTAATAGACAAACTTTCATTTATTTCAACAAAAGTTGATTCTCACGTGTGCATAATATAGAATTCACGCGAGAAGTTCCGATAAGACAAATCCAGTTTTAACGACCGGAAGTATGTGTTCGTCTGCGTCTTCAGACTCTTCTCTCACGCGTCTTCTATTTTTGATTGCTTCCAGCATGTAGAGATATGAATCTTAATATATAGGGATGCAAAACTTGTATATATATACATAAACTACTATATAACGAAAAGGGTGATCGAATGGCGGATGCATTCACTGGCGTAGACTTCTAAAAGATATTCTTTCTTCAATTCTCATATATTATAATATCCAAAAGAAGTTATTTAAATTCTTTCTTTTATTCTTACTCTCACTAATAGTGTTTTTTTTTTAATTCAAAAAAAAAAATTTCTTCTTACTTTAGATAAAAATAAAAATCAAGGTGAATTTCTCGATAAAAGAATTCACAATTCTTTGGAATCACGTTAACGAGTTTACGATTAAATGTGTATATATATTTGTCGGACATTATTTAGACCGTTTACAGCAATTAAGCGAAATTGTAAGAGATCGACGTAGTTGTTTCAGTCAATTAACAGTTAATTTACGTTAAGACTTCTTCACATGATGTTACAATTGCTTATAAAATTACATTACTTTCAAAAAAATCTTCATTTTAAATATATATATCACAATTATAAATGAGATCGCACGCTCATCTTTAATTTTCTTTCGAACATTTTTCTCTTTTTATTTCAATGTTAATTACTCTTGATTGATAATTATCATACAATTAATAATAATAATTTTCATTTTTTTTTTAATTCAAATTTGTTTATATTTTTAAATAAAATAAAAAATTAGTGTAATTAGAGTTAGAAAAAAAGGAAAATTGTTTCAGAGAAAAAAAGGCATGTATATTTTGCATGAGTTGAACATTTTCAAATAAGGTATATAGAGAAAGATCAGATCAATAAGATTGTGTATGTAATCGTATTTTTTCATTAGGGACATTGATTGATTCCCTTTCTTGAATTGAAATCCAATTAAGCCGACGGTGAATTAGATGAGGTTTTCCCACGAGGACTTGTTGTTATAGTATCTTCCTTAATTTTTTTTTTTTTTAATCTCGTGAGATTTGCTTGCTTCTTCTTTGGTGGTGAATTTTCATTAACATTACCTTGACACGCAAACTTAATTTGATGGAAAGTAGCCTACATATTAACAACATTAACATACGATCTATATGCAAAGCTGCACACACACACACACACACACAATTTTCTTTATGGAAGAAAATGACGGTAACGATACAAATCGAAACGTTATATAGAGCGTAGTCGAAATTGTTAACAAATTAGCATTAAAATACTTTTCTTTTTTTTCACCACAAATTCAAAGCCAATAAAAAGTAGAATAAGGGATTGAAATTAAAGGAATTTTTGCCAAATACATATATATATATATCTAGAGATATTGATTAAATCTATAACTTGAGACCATTCTGCGAGTCAACTTTACTTGGCAATTTGGCGATTTTCCAAAATTGTCCTTGTTTCCGATATTGATCCAGATGTTAAATAAGATACTTTTATAAACAAGTTGCCCTGATAAAAGTAGTTTCAAAAAATTAAAAAATCTTTTAAATGTTTTGAATTACTATAAATAATGAATTTATTATAAAATATAAATATTAATAATAATAGTAATAGTAATAATTATTATGAAAAAAAATGCAATTTATCTATAAAACTATAAATAAATAATGAAAATAACATTATGATTAATGTCATAACGGTTTTATTTCAAAAATAAATTTTCAATTTCCGTAAAGAGAAATGAGAAGTAATTAAATGCCATAGTGTGTAATAACATTAAACAAAAATTTGAATGTAAAATATATCTTATGTGCTAGTCGTATAATCAAATTAACTGTAACGCATAAATTCTTTCTTTTTCTAAATTCATTAACTTTAAAAGCAAAGTACATAAATATCAAATAATTATGTAAATTTTACACCTCAATTTGATTGACGGTTCTTTGACGAAAATTAACTTCAAGTTATGCAAATGATTTTGAAATCGATTCGCTATGCAAATTGACTCCTAAATAATAAATTAATGCATCAAGAGTATATAAATGTTCGGCTAATTTAATCTGATATAATATTATAATATATATAAAGTAAGGCGATTCACAGTATCGACTTAAAGAAAATTTACTAAATATTATATTATTATTATTTCAAGAATAAAGTATATTATATTATTTTTTATTATTAAATATATTATATATGATTGCTTTCTCATAAAAGAAGTATTATTATTATTTTTATAATTATTAATATAATTTTTATTGCTAATTTCCTTTCAAGGAATAAATTATTACATTTTGATCGAATTTTAAATAGACAGTGAAGATAAAATGCAACATTGTTGTCCAAAGGGGTATATACTGCATATATAATTATAAAGGCGTGACTTGAGTGATTTCTGTTTGGAATGCAAATAATTTTTCCAAAGAGAAATATGTAAAAAAAAAAAAATGTTCTGAACAACGCGAATCCATTGAATGACCTTCGAGAGACGTTGGCATGCAATTGGATTAATTCGAGGTCAAACATGGTGGTGAAGTTCTCAACATTTATATATGATCAACGATTTAAAAGAAAAAAGAAATTTTCTCTTTAATTTATATTTTTTCATTAGAAAAATATTTTTTCAAAAAAATTATTGAATAAATTATTTTCAAAACATTTTGTATCTAAAGTAATTTTTAGTTTTAATTAATTAAAAAAGAAATTTAAAAAATTTTAAACATTTTTTTTAGGTAAATTTTTTTATGATTTTTAGTTTGGAGAAATTTTGTTCTTTTTGTTGTTGTTTAATCGTTGATCATAAACGTTGAGAAGTTCACCACTATATATATATACATTCTTCTTTGCAATTTGTAATATACAATTCGTCTTGCATGAGCGCCAACGTGTTGTGTAGCTGGCGTTGCACATAAAGGTGGAAAACACCTGTTGCTCCTCGCATGTTGCCCCTTTTGATTACAAATGTTGTGGTCACTACACACTGAAAATTGGTACAAAAAAAAAAATCTTTTCATACAGTTTCATGATTACACTCGAATATTATGTATTTCAATTTTTAGTTTTCGAAAAGAAATTATTATTTTTATAATACTAATAGATTATGTAGAGATTCTTAAAGATAATGAGAGTAATTTTTTTTTTTTTAAATATATTTTGATTTAGAAAAATTTTGAAACTTTCTAAATTTGAATTAGTAAAAATTATTTTAATTGAAAATTTTTGTTTAAATTTATTTTACATTTAATTTAAATAAAAATTGAAATCAGCATAGAATTATTTTTTTTCAATTTAATTTCTATCTTTTAGAAAATTAAAACAATTTCAATTTATTAATTAGAGTATAATTAATTTAAAATTTATTAAATGATTAATAAAATTATAATGGTTTAAACGTTTGCTTTGTTCTTCTAACACAAATAATAATCATCTATTAAAGACGTCGTCTTCGTCGTTGTTACTCAATGGTATTTTCCACGCGCATTTTTATCCAGACGATAAGTCTATCATAATAAAAATGCGTATATATGCATTAAATGAAATGTAATTTGCGCGTAAATTAAAAATTCTATTTGTTGGCTGAAAAATGAAAACCTATATCAAATTCGTCCTATCCATTTGGAATTGTTAATGAATTAAAGTAAGAGGAAGCTCTGATATTCCATTTTCATCTATTCAATAATTTATAATATTCTCTTCTCTCCTTCTGTCTCTCTCAATCTGCATTTAGTCACGGGCGTTCATTTTCTATAATGAGTTTCCTATGTAACTTGGCACTGTCTGACAAGACTATGTGCTTTTATATGATACATCAATTAGTTTCGCAATTATCACAGAAAGCAGTTGCATTCTTTTGATCCACAATCCATTTCGATGATGAAAATCATATTTACTTTTTTTTGTTCACTAAGTAGAAAATTTTATGGAAAAAAAAACAATCTTCGGCTCTAAATAAGTCAGAAGAATTTTTATTTTACTTCTATTTTTCGGAATTTTTTTCTATCAGAATTTCTTTAGATTATACAGAATATTCTTTATAAATGTTAATAAAATTTCTTGTTTAATAATCAGGGAAGTTTTTTCAAATTTAGAATGTGATTTTATTTTTTTCTAAATTTATTTCTTAACGGTTCTTTATGAACAGTATTTGATTTCTGGTTATCAATCGATAAATGTTAATTTGATGCTTGAGTATGAGGGGTATTTGAAAAAAAAAATAATAATTAACACGTTCGGGTGTTATAATTCATATAAATTCTTAAACAGGTGTACATGCTCATTTATACTATATGGATATATACATATTTCTCACGAACTGGTTAACCTTATAACAACTTTAGAGCACATTACCATATTAGCTCTCGATAGATATATAAAATTGTGCATGAGAATGTTGAACACTTTTTTTTTCTAAAAAAAACTAAGATTCAAAAAGGGAAATTATTTATTCTTAATTTTAAGGAGTTCTATTTTTATTAATAAATTAAATTTATTTTTTAGGTACGTTACAAAATTAAAAACGCCCTTTCATACTATAAAATTACTAGAAAACAGAAAAAAAAGAATAAATTTTAATTATTGAAATTATTTTTTTTTCCAGGCATTTTCTTTTTTTTCTTGGGTTAGATAATTCTTGAGAAGAAAGTTAAAATTAGCTTTGCGATTTATCTAATACTGACCAATTATTAGACATTAAAACTGTATATGTTCAGAGGAGGGTAGGGCTCAACAGCCTTGAACCATTAAAGAATAAAATGTGACTTTCCATGAAAGACAAAATTGTCATTCAAGTTTTGTAATTATAAAGCAGTTATAAATACATTGAAGAATCTTTTATTGATAATAGTATAGAAAATATTTGAAAAATACTCTTCATTTTAGTAATATATTTTTTTTTTATTTTCATTTTCATTTTTTTAATTTTTAACATCTAAGTAAATATTTAATTTAATTTTTTTAAAAATCTTTATTTTTATATATATATTTATTATTATTTTATTATTTTATTATTTACGATGCTCAATGTATAGTTGTAAAAGAAAACATTGAAGACAATTTTTATTTAATTGTTTTTAGGGCGCATAAAAGTATTTCTTTTTTTTTCATGCCATACGCAATATCCGGCAATGTGTTCGTTATTATAATGAACTCTTATATACCATTACCTTTTTTTTTAATATTACTCGATAGGGAAAGTTTTAAACAATAGAGTTGCATTTTAAAAAATTCTCTTTAAAAAAATTTGTTTTTAAATTAATTTTTGTTGAGTTTATTTTAAAGAGAACGAGATTTGTTCCAAAAAGAAAGACATTAAAGGGTTTTTTTTGATCTATAACAATTTTATGATAACCGGTCGCTGAACCATATTATTTCTTAAAGACGCAAGTAACAGGAAATAAAGTATATTAATTATGATTCTTGAATTTATATTCACTTGAATAAATTTTCCTTGAAAATTTTGTTAAAAAAAAAACAAAAATTAATACTTTTATTCCTAATTAGAATTTTTTATTTTTAAATTTTAATTATAAAAAACTATTTACTGCAATAATTGTGAATAATAATAAAATAATAATAATAATAATAATTTAAAAATACTGCGATAAAATAAAAATGGAAAAAAAACTTGTCAATTCATGGAAGGTAATATATTTGAATTAGTATGTAGAAAATTGGAGCAAATTTCCTCAAATTCAAAAAAAGAAACTTGTTATAGATTAATTAAAGTTTTGCTTCTCTTGTAGAAATCGATGATTTCCGGATGACTCTAGAAAAGAATTACGTTCCACGAATGATTAGCCAGTTGAGTAAATTAACTACCACGATCATCAGACACGTGACGAAGTTTAGAATTTCCTATTTTGTTCTTTTTTCTCTTTTTATTTCTTAAAATTCCGTCGTGGAAAAAGAAGGAATAATTTTTTTTTATATATATATATTATTAGAAGAGGTAATTTATGTTTCTTTATCTTTTTTTTTGTCTTTTTTCTCTAAATGTCTTTTTAACTTATACGTGAAAGACTTCGGTACTGATATTTTAATGTTGACTCATAACACCGACAACAGAAACCAGATACTTTACTACAATCCACTTACTCATTGACTATATATTATGAAAAAAAAAATTCTAACAATTTGCTTACTTCTGTAGGATATTGTAAAAAAATATCGACAACAAAGTGATAATTATTTCTCAGGAAAAATCATTTAATATTTTTATGTTAGATCTCATCTCATTATTTTAATATCGCATAAGATATTAATTATGCAAAAATTATGTGATTAAAATTTACTGTATAATTATTTAATCTTAATTTAATTTTAACGATTATATAATTTTTTTTTTGTATATGTAAAAGTTTTTTTTTTTTAAATTTTTTTCTATATATCGCGGAAGTTATTCTCTTAAAGTAAATTCTTGAAAATGTAGATTTTTGTACCGGATGGGCAAATAAGGACAGAATATATATATATATAAGGTTCCGTTATGGATGTAGGCATTACGTATGCTACTTGGCGTAATGAAAGAATATAGAACAACGATGAACAAGAGAGTGGTGAATGTCTCCATTTTTTTTCTCAAGTGGAACTAAAATATTTTTATAAAAATTTTGTTTATAATTATACCAATTACAATAATTGTTATGGTAATTTTAAATTAATAAATAAAATTTTAAAAAATTGCTGACAAAATGAAGGAGTAAATAGTATAATTGAACGTTAATGATAATTATTTAAAGAAGGGAAGCAGGACTAATTTTGAATATTATAAAAGTCTTATAGGGGAGGGAGTTCTAAGTGAGATTGACGTTGAGAAGATGAGAATCTCGTGTGTGCCCCTCTTTTTTTTTTCATTCGACAATCGTGTTTCACTTTCGCCGACAAAATTCTAGGCCTTTCACAGACGTTGGCGCATTTATCACGATTGCAGTTCATTAATGTGCCCCAGTTTGTATTATATTATAGAACTTGACTCATTCAAATAAAATCCGATTAACCATGATATTTTCTTACAGAGGTCGAACATGCTTGATTAATTTTCAAAGACATGGTCAACTTCCTGCTTTTCTCTCTCTCTCTCTTTCTTTCAGTTCCATAATTTTCACTGACACATGATTAAAATCATGATATGTGATACTGATAGCAATGATTTATTGTATTTCATTTATTTTCCTTCAATTTCATTATTTATTAATAACATAATAAATAATTGTTGCTATTTTCTATACATTAATTTTATTTTGCAATTCAAAATTATCTGTCAAATAGAATATTATTGTATTTCATTTCTAATTATATGGAAATTATTTATAAATATTTATTTATTTAATAAATTGAAATAATTAATTATTTTTTTAAATTACAGATACATTATTGGTGCAGCAAGTTGATTTTCTGGAGACAATACTTGAGGAAACTTCAGATGATTTACAGAGTGATTCTGATCGCAGTGGCACCACCTATTGGTTGGGTTCTGATTCGGAAACAGAAAGCGTTATTCATATAAAAGCCAACCAGAGAACAGCGGGTAATTAAAAAAAATTTTTTGTTTTCTAAAAATTACATTTTTCCAATTGTATAAATTTCTTTTCTAATGTTTCGTATCTTAAAAAAAAATGGTTGTAAAACATTTGTTTTTCAATATTTAACAATATTAGAAACTAATATAGAGTTTAAATTTGTTGAATTTGAAAGCAAACAATAATTCATTTGATTTAATAGAAAATTTAATGGAAAATTTTTAATCAAAAGTAAATTTTTTAGTACCAAGAGATCTGCTTTACCGACTTTATACATTAGTGAAAGAATGTTTGCCTACGCTTAGGAGAAAACAATTAGAAAATTATTTTATGTTTTTAAAATTTTATTCTTCATTAATTTTTAATTATTCTTGTTTTAATATTTTATTTTATTTATTTTTCTTACTTATCTTTTTCATTGAACAATTTTTCAAATGTCTTTAAATTATATTCTCGTTTTTATTTAACATTTTTTTTTTTTTTAAATGACGAATCATTTATTTTTAAAAAATAAAAAAAGTATTAATAGTTTTTAAAATTACATAATTGATTTGCAATAGTTTTGAAAATTAATTTTACGACCTCATTTTACTATTAACAATAGTATTTCATTATCTTTGTATTTTCATATTATGAAATATTTTTTCTTTTTTTCAAAAAAAAAGAAAAATACTGATGGTATATTTTCATAAGAATGGAAATTGTGTATTAGTTTAAAAAAAAAAAACTGATGATTTTTCACAAATTCAAGGTAGTTGTTTTCATAAATTATATTTTTATCTTCTTGTAAAAAAAATGTCTCACGTTCCATTTTTATAAAAGTTATTTTTAGAAGTCAGCAATTGAATAGAACGTGGAAAATATGTTTCATTTAAAAGTAGCTTAAAAATGCCCACAATTAGAGTAGCATTTGAAGTAAACTTCAAATTTTCAAAATTAAGAATTAAGTAAACTCAGTTTTTAAATAAAAATAGTAAAGTAAAAATGAATTACAATTATATTAATATTATTTTTTGTTATTTATTTTTATTATTTTTTAATTTTATTTATTTATTGTCTATTTAATTTAAAATATACTAACGTTAATTTAGATTGTTTTCAAATTTGTAAAAATTAAAATGACAGTTACGAAAGTCAATTAATTTTAATTTTTGTTGATATATAAAACTGAATCAACTAATTTTTGCTGAAGTTTTAAATTCGTTTTAAACTTTTATAGTTTCTTGAGGAATTTTCTATCTCGTTAATAACACTCTCCTCACAATTTTATAGTCACTTGGAAAATTTATTATCACTCTATTAAGACTGATGGAATAATAATATAATATTAATTTTTTACAGCAATGACGAACCAATTTAAAATCGTTAACTTTTGTATAATATATAGCAACACTTGTCAAATATTCCAATCGCTTTCTTTTTATGCAATCATATACTAGTTTCTTTTGCGAAATTCAAGCATCTCGTGTCGTTAAGCAATTTATACTTTGCAACAGATAAATTTATAAGTCTTAATTCGTGTGAAGAAATGTGTAAAACATTTACCAAAAAAAAGAAATTTTATTCACTACTTTTTGGTAAAATTAATTATTATTAAAAAAAAAAAAAATTATTAATTGATAAAAATTAAGTTTTATTTTTCAATTTTTTAATTGAAAAAAAGGGACATTTTTTTTGCTAATCATAAATTAATGGAAGCAAATAAAGCCTTAAATAAGTATAGAATTTGTTCAATTGATGCCAAATTTTAATTTATTGAAGTCTCGTGGTTTACGCGCGCGTGCAGTTTAAACCAAGGCGGACGTATAATCTTTTGTCAGTGATATAATTAGATCACCTTTAATGCTACCTGTTATATATTTTTATAACATGCGAGAATGTCAACAGATCAAACCGTTTAAAATGATTTAAAATTTTGTGAAAAATAATTTTATTTAATTTATGATAAAAGAATTAGAAAATTATATTTTTTTATTTTAAAATTTTCAGTTTGATTAAAATTATTGTTAATTTAAAAATTGGAGAAATTTTTTTTTTTCACTTGCAAGGATGGAAAATTTTAAAAAATTAAAAATTGAATAATAATTTTATATTTATTATAATCGCGTTCCGTGAAGCATTATAGAAACTAGGTAGAAAGTTATTCTCTATGTGCAAAAACAAGAGCAGCTGATGAATAGTCTAGAGAAGTGGGTCTTCCTTCGATAACCAATGAAGGGGGTCGTTTAGTACTTTTACCCCTCTTTTTTTTCCCCACCCATATGTGTGTATTAGACTCCAGGAAGTCGGTTCATTCAACCGGAAGTTGAGCTTATGGAATTATATGTCCTCTCTTTCTCTCTCTTCTTCTTTCGTCGGCTTCGTGATTGTTGAGTCAAGCTAATACAACCACGTGACACACCCTCACATTCTCCTCAATGTTTACCTTGTTCTCTAATACCATCTTTTTCCCTTCTGATTAATTTGCACTCAATTTTTTTTATTTCCTTTTAATTGCTATTTAAATTTCTTCAAATTTTACAAAAAATCGAGTGTTTTCTTTTTTTTGCAAAAAAAAAACAGGCTCTTTTGGAAACGAAAATCGTTTTTATCGATCCTGAAATTATTCCTAGGTTAATTAGAATTTCAAATGAAAATTAATCGAATTTATTTTTAAACCCCTGCTCAACAGGGTACCAGCATAAATTGCATAGAAATTAAGTTTTAGTATATTCTCTATTTAGGAAAATTGATCAAATGAAAGAGCAACTATTAGGTTTTGTAATAACAGGAAAATATTGCTCAAATTGTTTCAATTTGATTAATTAATTTATTTATTTTTTAATTCCAGAGGAAAAATTGGATGGCAGTGGAAGTGAATGTAACTCTGTGGTACCAAAGAAAAGAAGACGGAGAAATGGTACCGATCATCATCATCATCAACAACAACAACAACAGCAGCATCAACAGCAGCAGCAGCATCATCATCATCATCATCATCATCATAATAATGAGAGATACGATGAATCGTCAACGGGTCTTGGAGATGAATTTCCCACCTCGCCACGATCATCGAGATCCTCAAGATCGTCGGGTTCATCTCGTGCGAGTTCTCTTCTCCAATTTGAATCGCTCGAGAGGACCTGCGCCACATTCTCGCCGTCCTGCTACAGTTTCGATTCCCTCGAGTATGCCAATCGATCCAACGCTTCGAGACTGGAGAACAACACATCGCCCGACAGCCTCGAAGATTACGAGAGGGTGGTGCCAAACGGTTTCCCGGGTCCACCGGGTGATTGTTGTCTCCCACGTATTAGACCTTATCGCAGCTTCGAGAGTCTCGACACTTGCCAAAAGGATCGTGACGTGGGACAGGAAATTGTGTCCAATGGTTTCGCACCTCTTTTCACCAAGAGGAACAGCGATTTATCTCGGACACGCAGGAGCAACGGGAGAAGGAGGTATGTGTTTTTTTCTCTCTCTCTATATATATAACAATTTTCCTACACATAGAAATTTTCAGTCACTAGACATTTTAGTAAATTATCATCAGTTTGTTTTGGCAACACTGGGTCAACTAGGTCAACGACAGTTCACGATGGTAATGCGACTGCTCTAAAAGGTCAATTCAGAGCGGCAAATTTTGAACTCTAATTTCAGAGACGCGTGAAAATTAATTTATGGCAATTTTTATTTCACAATTTTATTATTTCGATTTTTTTCTCCAATTTTAATTAAATAGAATAAATTGTTATTTTACAGACAAAAAAAATATTAATTTCCAATCAAATTTACATTTTACAGAATTCACGAAATGAAAAAATATCTGTCACAAAAATTTAGGACCTAATTTTAAAATTAACAATTTTATCAATGAAAAAAATTATCGATTAATTTTAAAAATAGCGTTCAAATTTTTCAGTCAAATATTTATTCGAACAAACTTTTTGTAAAATAAAAATTGAGCGTTTTAAGAATTCTGTAAAATGTAAATTAAAAATTTGGCTAAAAAATAATTTTTTGTACAAGAAAAATAATTAATATGTAATAATAATAATAATAATTAGAATAATAATCAAGAGATCTAATATTTGAAGCGTGGAATTTTATTACTTTTTAATTTAGATATTTTTTTTCGAAAAATATTTTTAAAAAATTATAAAATACCAATTAAAATAATTGAAATTAAATTTTTTGTTTGTTCTAATGACGAGAGATATATTTTATTGGCAATGAGAAGTGCAGGTTGTTTGAATTCTACTTGCAGCCCTGCTTTGAGTTCTATATAGCTTGTATCCGCCTGGAGCACCTCATTTCCGTGAATGTGAAAAGTAATAGAAGCAATTACGTTTGTCCATTATTCCTAATGAAAATCTATTCTCGATTCTTTTCTTTTTTTTCAATAAATTCTTTGTTTTTATATTTCTGTTTTATCAATAATTTTCTTTTGAAATTTTTCAATTCAGAAATGGAGAAATTAAATTAAATACCGCATTTATTGTATAAACACTGTGGAATTTTTTTTTCTTTTTTTTTACATAGAACTAAAAATTGTATTTCAAAAGTGAATTTTTTAATTACTTTTTTTTTAAATTCTGATCGAAATTGGTGTATTTCAAATTGAAATTGTTTATACATATAATATATACAAAAGAGAATCTCGCGAATACGAGACAGAAGGTCCCTTGTCTGCTGACCTTAAACCTCGATGCAGTTAGAATGTTGGCACTGTCTATCGTCCAAACGTATCTATTGCCTCGTGACCTACAGTTTTCTTGGCCTGTAAGTGTCAATCTTGACCCTGATGTTGTTGAAGGTTTTATTTCTAAGGCAGACAACCACTTTTTATCTATATATATAATCATCGCTAATTATTCTTTTTATTTCGCGCTTTACAATATTTCGTTATATTTCATTTTTATCTCAAGTTTCCGGGAATATTTTTCTATTTTGATATAGTCTATCATTTTCAATGATCATTTCATTACCAACAATTATTTCTTTTCAATAATAATATTAATTGAAATAAATTCTTATTTAAAAGAATGGTATTTTTGAAAAAAAAGTAAAAATTTTTTCATATAAAAATTAAAAGTTAAAATCTGGGAAAAAATTTGTTGTATTTTCTTGAAAAGGTGGTTTTTTTTTTACAACCAATTTTTCAAATTTTGTCAAATGCAGACGTACACGAATGATAATTAATTTCCAGAAACTCGTTACTTGAACAATGGAATTTAAAGACACTTCCTTAACATTTACCGTATCTTTGTATTTTCACATAAAAAATAATATTTTCCTAGGAACTGTCGTTGCATTCACTTTGACAATACTTAGAGAAAATTTTAGAATTTAAATTGTTGAAAAAATATATTTTAAATTTTACTATTAATATTATAACACGATATATTTAGATTTTAATTTAATCTAAATTTTTATTTAATAATTTTCATTTAGTTTGATAATAAATTTTTATGATAACATTTTTTTTGAAAACTTTTCTTCAAGTTCTAAACGTTTCAATTAACGAAAAATTTGCTTCATTTATAAAAAAAAAATAAATGATTTTATTTTTCATTAATCATTATATTAGTAATTTTTAATAAATAGATAAACTTCAGTAACAGAAATATTTATTATTACAAAAATTAATTTTTACAATAGTTTTTTGTTTTCTACTTAAATTTTGATTTTTTGCTAATGTATTTTTGAATGATTGACAGAGGTTTTTGGTACGACGAGTACGACGAATACGAGGAGGATCAGGAAGATCTTGACGAGGACGAAATTCTCGAATTGCCTCAACAACAACAACAACAATTGGATTTGGATCGTTTTGAAGACGGTTTTCGAGCAACTGTATTTGGCGATTCAAGTACAAATTACGCGACATCACTCGACTATCGTAATACAATTGATCTTCGTGAAATTGGTCTCGAAACGGAGGAAGATACATTTCTTGTCTTAAAATCTGGCCAAAGTAGCCGGCTAAATATAACCACTAATATGGCCGCTGGACGCAACAATATGGTGGCAAGTCATCATCATCATCATCATCCTCAGCAGCAACAGCAGCAGCACCAACCAGGGTGGAGCAAGAAGTCAAGTTTTAATTTTAGATTCACGGATAAATCTCAAAGTGCTCCCAGTCTGCCTTGCAGCTCCTCGGAGTCAGCTTACAACGAAAATCTCGGCAACTATTCACCTTTTGGCTCATCAAAGACAACTGTTTTTGAAAATTATACCCGCGTCACAAGTGTACCAGTGGATCTTAATTTATGTGGTACTTCAATTCAGAATGTTAATATAAAATCCGAGGAAAAAATGTCAAACACAATTGAATCAACGAATAATTTGAAAATGAAGGAAATAAAAGAATTAAAAGACGATGGTAAATTATCGTCAGTGAGAACACAAGATCCACAATTGGAGCAAATATTACAATTCAATGAAACGACAAATTGTCATGAGGAGGAGGAAGATGATCCACAATTGGAGGATAAACCAGTGACATCAACTGTTAAGACACAGGATAGAATTGAAAATGTACTTGAAATTGCAATGGCTATGGAAAACGACGTCGACGCCGTTGTTGATGAGGCCATAAAACAGTTTAAGCGCGAAGTCGAAGAAGCCACTGCCGCTGGTAACACAAGCGAAGTTATTGCCGCAATGGAAACAGTTCAAAGACTCGCGTCAACAAAACAAAGGCCAAAACGAGTGAAAAATAATGCAAGTTATGAACTTGCTCAACAATATGAAATTAATGAAATAAATTTAAGGCCAATGCCATCTTGTATTGAGGATGAGGATGAAAATTTAAATTCACCAAGACGTTCAAATTCTGGTCGTCGTGTATTAAATAATGCAAGTTATGAACTTGCTCAACAATGTGATTATATTAGGGCACTACAATCAAAATCATTTCAACGTATGAATGCATGTGAGGAAATTGATGAGACAAAATGTTTAGATAAAAATCAAGAATCATTGTTGAGTCAGATAAAAAAAAACTCGGATCTATTTTCAGTTTATGGAGAAGATGGTAGTTTTGAGGAGGATATTAGATGTCGATTAGATGACGAGGTAGATTATCCCTGCTTGGAAAATAAACCCATTCAATGTTTAGAGCAAGATGTACTTGTTCATGTTGAAACACCGCCAACGAGAAAAGAAGCATTTCGACGTGAAATTATTAGAAAAAAAAGTGATTTTTGTAAATTAAAACGTGAGGATGTTGATGAAATTAAAATTGATGAGAGGGGAAAAATTGTTGAAGAATTAGAAATTAAAGGTGATAGTGAGAAGGCTGCTTTATCCCCACTGCTGGAAGGTAGGCGTGGTAGTGGTAATCCAGAAGGCAGAGTTCGTGACAACGACAATAACGACGATGAGGAGGAGAAAAGGCCGCCAGTAGTGTTGAGCGAGATGTCGACTGTGGCGAAACGTCTCGCTGGAGCTTCGTCAACAACGCCGACGACAACAACAACAACAACAACAACAACAAAAGGCGATGTGACAACAGTGACATTAGTGACAACACCTGAGAGAAAAAAAAGCGGTCTCGGTGGTTTTTTGCAAAGATTTTCAAAATTACGATTTAGTGGTCGTTCAAAAGTGCCGCGCTCTGAGGTGCAAAAAAAACAAAGTGAACAAATTCAACAAGTGAATCGTGTTGTTGTTCGTAATGATGAGAGAAAATTAGAACCGGATTATATTATCATTCCTTTACATCCAACTGAGGAAGAGAAAAGAGAAGAGGAACTCAGGAGGCAACAGACTGATGCATTCAATAGATCTGGAGATTTTAATACCTCAAGTGTCAGGTAAATCTTTTTTTTTTTTTTTTTTATTTAAAACATTTTTTTTTTTATCAAAAAAAAAAATAATTCAGTTATTTTTTTTTCTCAAATATCCTTCGAGGGGATTTGTTTTTCTTTTTTGTGCTCTTAACGGGCTTCTTCGGCGCGGCTTTGATTTGTTTTCATTGCACGTGTTTGCTGGATCCTTGATGCTTTTCTCACAACGTCGTGAGAGTTTTTGTGAAATGGGTGGGAGGGGAAATTTAGCTTTCAGTTTATTAATTTTCTTGTGTTTATTGTTTACGTGACTTGAGAACGGATGTAAACATTTTTCAAATTATTCTTGCTTCGATAGAATTATTATAACACTGCCAAAGTAAAGTCTTTTTTTTCTCTCTGTAGTTGAGGCGATTATGGAAAAAAATTTCCGTGAAATTTATTTTAATTTTTTGTTGGTGTAAATAAGTTTTCTTTAGTTTCTTATTTTGCTTTTATAAATAAATAATTTTATTCAAAAATAAATAAAAATAGTAGTAAATAAATAATTTTACTTTTTTAATTTCTCATTTAAATTTTTATAATTTAAAAATATTTTTGGTTTAGTTTGTATTTTTGAGATATTTGGTAATAATTCTATTTTTTTTATTAATTAACTAATTTATTTTATTTATTTGGAATTAATAAAAGAAAAATTGAAATTATTTTTTTTATATTAATTTTAACATTTGCACATTTGATTTTACGAATAGTAAATTCCAGAGTATCGGTTTGCATTGTAACGCATCGTTTCATGTGCGGCATTGGACACCGAGGGTTTTATTTTCTCTCTTTCTCTCACTTTATATAGTCTCGGTAGCTCAGGTAGAAAGATTATAGCAAGAATGATGAGAAATGAATAGAAGCAGATAGAAGCAATAGTCATTAAGCAATAATTCTTGAGAAAAATATTCTACACCTTAGAAAATCATGAATTGTATTTCTTGTTGAAATTCTAAATTTCTAATCCCTAGAACCTAGTTCTAAACACCATAGTTATATATAATATTTGTTGAACATTTTTCAACTTGTTTTAACTTGTTCTTGTAAATGGAGTAATTAAGAAAAATGATTGCCTCAAATTTTTTTTATTTTCAAACAATTTAATTTTTCCAAATTTGTTTTTATTTATTAAAAATTTAATCTTCTGTTGTTTCATTAAATAGAGGAATTTTTCAAGTTTCAGTTTTTTTTTTTATTGATTTATTAATATTAATTAATTTTTTAATTTGATTACAGGTTTCAGTAACGAGTTTTTAAAAATGTTCAACAATATTGGTTCTCGATTCTATAAAATTAACAAATTTCAACTATCTCTACTTAAACTTTGAAAACTAATATTGCATTAGCCGAAAGTGTCGGAAGTTTATCAATTTTGGCGGATTGAGCTTTGAATAGATTTTAAATTAGAAAAAAAAGGAATTTTTTTCTTCTATAATTAAAAAATGGATGACGAATATTTTAGATTCTATACAAATATGTTTTAAAATCACTCATGGATTCTCAATGAAATTCTCATTCTTTTAATGGATTTAATCGCACTTTGTCGGATTCCTTCTCCCCTAGATTCACTTCTTTTCTCTTTTTTTTATTTTTTATTTCGCACTATTCGATTCGTTTCACATGAATTGGACCATTTAGGCTTTTTTTCAATCTTTTTTTTTTCCCTCTCTTTTGTCTTAGTCTGTCGTCCCTATTAAAAAGGGCACTTATGGTCTCTCACGACCTTTTAAGAACGACTCAATCCCTTATCTTCCAGACTGAAACACTCTCTCCAGCATCTTTTTTCCGACTAAAAAAGAAAGAGATATAATGTTTCAACATTTAGAAAAGGGGAAGACATTTAAAGAATAAAAAATGCTTTTATTTTTCTTATCATGGCAAATGATTTTTAAAAAAAAATCATAATTTTAAATAAATCGTTTAAAGAAAATTGGAATTTAAATATTTAATATTTTTAAATAATAAAATAATTTGAATTACAGAATTGTAATTTTAATAAAAAAAAATTAGTTTTAAAAATATTTTATTAAAAATTGAATTAAAATGATTAGGGGGAAATTTTAAAAATTGTAAAAAATTTTACTTTTCTAAATGTTTATCTTTATGGCAATTTTTTCTTTATTTTGGAGCACATGTGGTTTAGTAATGTTTTTTATAGAAGACACTTTGAGGCTTTAGTGTGTTATCTTTCTCCTCTTATTCAGCACCCTTTTGTCGACAATATATAAGAAATGATGAATCATTCTCGTATTGTACATGTAAAATATAAAATGTAATTTAAGAATTGCTCATATCTCTCTTATATATACATATATAGCATTTGAAGTTCTTGTATGTCGACGAGATACTCGAAGAAAAGCACGCGCAGACCAGAAGCTCTCTGTTAATTGGCACTTTCATTAATTTTGCTTAGTTTCTTACAAGGATACTATTCATTGAAACATTATACTAAGAGTACATCATTCGTAAAGGGGGAGAAAAAAAATTAGAGACTGACAGAATCATACTTTTTTTCCTTTCAAACACACAGTAGTAGTCATTCTTGTGTTTTTTTTTTTTTTTTTTTTTTTTTTTAAATTTCGATTCCAAATTCTCGAGAGAAAGGTGCGGTTTTAATTTTCAAGTAATTTTTATTTTGCTTTTTTCACATTTATATAATCCTGCCAAAAAATAGATTTTTTATTTTAAAATAGAAATTAGAAGACTGAATTTTACTGGCTTTAATGCCTTTTTAAAAATATTTTTAATTTTAATTTACATTTCGGAAAATTTTTCTTTTACATGAAAAAAAAAAATTTATTTCCTAAACATATGAAGTAATTTTTTGTTGTTGAAAATTTTCTCAGTAATTTTAATTAATTAATTAAATTTTATATTTACTATATATAGTATATATTTTAAATGTTTGACATTGTTGATTAATTAATAAGCTAATAATGTTATATAGAAACTATAAAAACGCATTTGTAAATTAATATATATAGAAATCGATAATATATATACAAATTAACGTTAAAAGGTTTCTGAGGTTTCATCTATGAAAAGCGGAAACTTTTTTTTTTTTTTTTATTAGAGTAGAGTAGAAATTGGGAGATAATAAAAATTAATCGATCGAATTTGGAGCGTTTGTGGTGTTATTAATTAAACCTTTTAGAGTAGATTTTCCTCTTCGTGTAGAAATTTCCTTTTAGAAATTTTATCTTTTCGTTTGTGAATTTGATTTCCAATTTTTGGTTATATTTTTTAGTCGTCTCCACTTTATTTTCTATATTATTATAAAATTAGATATGTTTTTTTTTTTAGAATTTCTTTAAACTTTTATAAATATTTTATATATAAATATAGATAATTTTTTATATATTTATATTTAAAAATATTTAAAACAATATATAAAATTATAAATTAATTATAAATATAATATAAAATTTTATATATCTTTTTATATTTTATATTATATTTTTTATACAATTATTTTCAATATGAAAATACATTTTTTTGTTATTGAGAATAAAAAATAGAATGTTTAAACAAAAATTATTTTATCATATGCTTCAAGTATATAATATTCAAGGCACTTGAAACTTTTTCATTCATAAACATAAAAAAAAAAAAGTAAAAAACGAGAAGCTTCTGATAAATATTATTTAATTTTATGTTTCTTTGAATTATTGCGTAAATATACAGTAGATATGAACTGATATCAATTTTTTTTTTTTAAACTTTGTTTCTATAAATTTGGAAAATTTTCATAATCCAGTTGTCAACCTTGATTGTGTGTCGTTTATTATTTTTTTTTTTTTATGCAAAAAAGGAAAAAAACCGGTTTTTTTTTATTCCTATGACAACAAACAAATATAAAGATGATGCGAAAATAATTCTCTGCATGAGTCAAAACAATTTAAAAAAATTTTCTTAAATTAAATTTATAATATCTTTTCTATATTTAAACTTGAAAATGTGGGAATTAGTTTCTCCCTTCTACTAATTGAGTATTAAAGAAACAAATTAATTAATTCTAATTTAGATAAGTAATTTTTACCGAAACTAGAGCAAGAAAATTAAAAAAAAAACAAAGGAAGTAATTGTGCAATAATCTGAACAGAAAATGTTTTATCATCATTTTAATTTGATGAATTATGATGAAAAAAAAGAGACAATAGTAACTTATTATAATATGTAATGTGATATATAGACACAAAAGATTTTTTTTTCCTAATTGACAGCAAAAATTGTTAATTATTCACAATTACTTCCGTACTAAATAATCAAGCTGCTAAATAATTAATTTTTAATCTTTGTATGACAATTTCATCTTGTTGATAAATTGAATTATGAAAATTCATTATCAATTCTATTTAATTTTTTTTATGTTTTTTTTTTATTTTCCATTGGATTTATTTTTTATGGTATTTTATTTAATAATTTGAATTGTTATAATTTAAAAGATATTTATTGCAGAGTTGTTATAATAAATTGAGTATAGGTTCCCATCGATAAATTCTTCTCTGTGAAATGAAAAGTGACGATGTGAAATTGAAGAGAGCGATGATCATGAGCTTCACACACACACACAAGTATATAATATAAAATGTTGAAACGAGGTCGAAATTACGATGCGTAATCGACATTTCTTTTTTCCAGCATCTAAACTGGCATACAACATGTATATATAGTCGCACCACATTCAGTTTGAAAATTATTGCCTCACTCGATATAACTTCCGTGCAAGGCGGACAGCCTCTATCAACTTGCCATATAAGTAACGACATGATAAATAAGCATACAACGAAGAAATAATATGGATGCAATATGTGAGCAATAAGATTAACGGCTGATTTGCCCTCTATTATCAGACTGTAATCTCAAAAATTTACTTTTTTTTTTTTACACTCCAATCAGAAGATCTCCAACATTCAGTGCAGGAAAAAAATTTATTTCTAATTCTTTTTTGAATTAAAACAAAAATTCCAACCTTCATCGATGTAAAAAGTAGTTTTCTACCATAATTTCATTCAAATTCGAAAGTAGTTTTCAAAAAAAATTATTTTGATTTAAAATTTTGTTATTAAATAATAATAAAGATTTTTTATTTATTTATACAGTGTAAACGGATATAAATTATAAATTTATATTTTCTAATGGATTTAAAAGAAAAAAATTAAAATGATTTGAAAATTAGTTGAAGTTTAAATTGAATTTGAAAAAAATAGTACAGCAATGAATGTTGAAGCAATTGAGTCAGTCATCCGAGTCGATTTAATTTTCATTCGAGGGCCCTCAGAAATAAGTGGCCATTGACTGTCTGAGACGCATCTATAATAATAATAATAATAATAATAATAAGTATAGAACTTAATCCGACAGTTAAGATTACTTCAAGTGACCCTACTTTTTTCATAATATATATCCCTTGGAATTTCTATTATACAATGAGAGAAAAATTCTCGTGCATTTAAATGTTTCGGATCTTATAATTTATATAATAATTATAAAAATTATAGACGGATTATAAAATGATTTGTAAATTTTTTAAAGTACGCCTTTTTATTGTCATTGTTTTTAATTAATTTATTATTAATTACACTTTGAGGATATTTTTTTATTAATTTCTCTTAACATAATTATTTATTTTATTTAACAAGTCAATATAAAAATATTGGATAATTTATTTTTACATTTGTTTGTTTACATTATTAATGTTTCGAGAGATCGGTGACGTGATCATTTCCTTCCTTGTCATTCTTTGCACCTGACGTGAATAGTAATTTCCAATATTGTCGCGAAAAAAAAAAAAAAAATGGTCATTGCCATTTATTTCCTTTTGTATTTTTCTCTTCCAACAATTTTTGAAATCAGACGTCGAAATTAAATTTCACATTTTTGTAATAAATTTTTTTTTTTTAAGAAATTCTAATTTTAGAAAAAACTTAATAAAAATTTCAGAAATTCTTGCAATTCTTGGCAAGTCCTGGAATTTTTTTCTGAGTCGAAAATCCTTGAATTATTAAAATTTTCTAAAAGGATCGCTTAAAATATTAAGAGTTGAAAGGTATCTGAAAATTCTCGATTTTTCCTTTCTCTTAAATTCATTTCCTTGTATTTTTTTTTCTCTCAATGTCAATGAATAATTAAATAAAAGTTTGAATTATTTTTTTCCAAAAAAAAAATTGCCTTGTTGTAGGTACGGAAAATTTGAATTTATTTTGAAAATAAAGAAACTGGTGCCATCTGCTGAGTAGAATAAACGGTCCACGATAAACAATTTCCTTATCATCGAGGAGAGATAAATCAATGAGAGATTATAGAAGGAGATATGACGATTTGCAAAAGGTAAATTTACCAACGGTGGTTTAATGAAATATTTTTTTTGATGTTTGTTGTAGCACAAATGGGAGGACGCCAGTATCCAGTAAACCACCCTTGCCACCCCAGCCACCTCGTGCGGGGGCGCTCAGTGGTAGTAGAATATCGTCGACGACCTCATCATCGTCGCGCAGGCGTGCAACAACAGACCTTGGAAATCCGGCGATTATCGAGATGGCGAAGGCCCGTACGATGCAGGCCAACCAGGATCGGCCTGTCGGTCTTCTTGAGACCGACCTCGACGCCGCGGAGGAGGGCGTCGTCGTCCCAACGCCCTCCACCAATTCCTCATCGGCGAGTAAAAAAACACGCAGTCTACTCAATTTAAATCATACGACACGTCCTCGTGGAACCGGCGACCTGGCTAACGAGAACGCCCTACACGTACCCCAGTCGCCCGTTGGCGCTGGTCACAGGACACCCTCCGACGCATCCTGCGTCTCAAACATCAATCAACGACCTCACAAATCCATGGAGTTCCTTCTTGATAAGGAAAATCTTCATTTTGTCAAGGTATGACAGAATTTGGCACATTTTTTTTTTTTTCGTTACAAATTCTTTAATTCAAAAGCGAGAACAATATTTTTTCTTTGAATAATTTGAATTTAGTTTTCCTTTCAGAATATTGAGAAGCGAGAATAATTTTTTTGAATTTATTTTTCGTTAAATTGACTTTTTTGGAGTATTTTCCAAACTTTAAAATTTTGTAAATTTATAAATTCTACTTTTTTGATAGAATATTTTGAATTTAATTTTCGTTGCTGAATCTTGCAAAGGGAGAACAATTTTTTTTTTATATACTACTTTTTTGTTATATTTTGAATTGATTTTTCGTTAAATTTGACTTTTTTTTGGAGTATTTTCCAATATCATACAAATTTACAAATTCTACTAAAAAAAAAAAGTAGAATTTGTAAATTTACAAATTTGGAGTTTGAGAAATACTAAAAAAAATCAATTTAACGAAAAATAAATTCAAAGTATTATTAAAAAGCGAGAAAATTTTTTTTCTACATTAAAATTACTACTTTCTTTTTTCTTAGAATATTTTGAATTTATTTTTCGTTAAATTGACTTTTTTGGAGTATTTTTCAAACTTTAAAATTTTGTAAATTTATAAATTCTACTTTTTTCATAGAATATTTTGAATTTTAGTTTTCGTTGCAGAATCTTGCAAAGGGAGAACAATTTTTTTTTATATACTACTTTTTTGTTATATTTTGAATTTATTTTTCGTTAAATTTGACTTTTTTTGGAGTATTTCTCAAACTCAAACAAATTTACATATTTGAAGTTTGAGAAATACTCCAAAAAAAGGCAATTTAACGAAAAATAAATTCAAAGTATTATTAAAAAGCGAGAAAATTTTTTTTTCAATATTAAAATCAAATACTACTTTTTTTGTTAGAATATTTTGAATTTATTTTTCGTTAAATTTGACTTTTTTTTGGAGTATTTCTCAAACTTACACAAATTTACAAATTCTACAAAAAAAAAGTAGAATTTCTAAATTTACAAATTTGGAGTTTGAGAAATACTCAAAAAAAAATCAATTTAATGAAAAATAAATTCAAAGTATTATTAAAAAGCGAGAAAATTTTTTTTCTATATTAAAATTACTACTTTCTTTTTTTCTTAGAATATTTTGAATTTAGTTTTCGTTGCAGAATTTTAAAAAGCGAGAACATTTTTTTTCTATATATTAAAAATCAAATATTTATTTGGATTTTTTAAAATCCAAATAAACTCGAAATTTGTAAATTTACAAATTCTTGCTTTAGTTTTTGGTAGATTATTTTGAATTTATTTTTCGTTGACTTTTTTCGAGTTTTTCTTAAAATCCAAATTTATAAATTTAAAAATTCTATTTTTTTTAGTGGATTATTTTGAATTTATTTTGCGTTAAATTTAATTTTTTTGCTAATTTTTTTTTTTAATACAATTTTTGGTAAGTTTTGATGAATCCAAATTTTGTTGTAAATTTCCAAGTTCTACATTTTAGTAGAATATTTTTGATAGGTCTTGATGAATAGATTTCTTTTTGACACGAAAATTTTTTCGTATGATTTTTGGAAAGTTGATCAGTTAGAGTCTCGAAATTCCGTATTCGTTGTAAAAGATTTTATTTCAAGTGAAATTTTCCGAAATTTTTCTGCTGAAAATATCCATGAATCCCATTTTGTTTTTATTCCTTTTTTTTTCCTTGAGATTAGAATATTTTTTTCTAGAATCTAATAAATATGAATATATTTTTTTTTTTTGTATTTTTTTTTAAATTATCGTTGCATTGGAATTTTTCATGCGACTCTTGGCAAATAGAATTTTTTTTTTTTACTCTTTCCTAAAATAACGAGCTTCAGTGGTTTTTGTCATATTGAATCGTTGAAGTTGACATTTATTTTTTATCGAAATACGTTTTTGAAATCCAAATATTATTCAACTACTTTTAGAATCGTAAATAAGTTGAATCTGTTATTTTTATTGGCTTTTTCTCTAAAAACAAAAATTTTTGCATTATTCTATCAAATTTTATTCAACTTTGTATTTTCAAAATTGAGGGAAAAAAGAAATTCAGTTAGAAATACTGTTTTTGTTTTATTTTTCTTCTATTTTAAATTTTTAAAAAGTTTGTTCCTGACAAATTATTTTTCTATTATTTTGAAAAACTAGAAAACAAATAATATGTCATTTGAGTGCAATTTTCAATTACGTAAGAAATGAAGGATTTTGAAAAAGAAATCTTAGAATTTTTTTTTTTAAAGATGAGAAAATTTCTGATGTAGAAAGAATTTTTTTTTTCAACAAAGAAAACAGAAAGTCTCTTCGCTTTTCCAGTTTCCGATATATCGACGCGTGTTATACTTCTCTGGGATTATGATCTTATGTCATTGTATTGACGTAACAACATAATCCTGATGAAATTAATACCTGTTTCTCGTGTGTCGTAACATAAGAATGATTTTTCGTAAATTGATACACTTGCCAATTGTTTTTTTTTTTTTTTTTGCCTCATCATCTAAATATAAACAATAATTCTGATTAGAAAAAATATTTTCCATCTCGATTCGTAAATTTAATTATTCTAATTAAAGAACGTTAAAATAATAACGAAGTGTAAATTGTTGTCAATGAAACAGTTAAATCAGATCAACTTTATCCTTGAAAAATTAAAAAAGAAAAATTGTGAAAATAATTTGATATGAAAAAATTGAAATTTTTTTTTTTTTCTTTCGGTTAAAGGGGAAACCTCGAAAAGTAAATATTCTCGATTTAATATATCGATAAAGACTTCCGGCGGATGGCACTTCCTTCTTTGGTCAGTCGATAGACAACCTTGAGTCGCTTTCATTGCGCAAAGAAGTTAGAAAACTTTCATCGATTAATAATCAAATCTATATAGTATTTGAAATTTTTATTCAAATTCTACTTTTTTGAGAAATTTTTATTTTATTATGCAAAGAAAATTTATTTTCAAATTCACCAATAGATTTTTTTTTCAATTATAAAATCTATTTTAAAATAAAAATTTACTTCAAACTTTGGAAATCAAAAACTTTGAATTTTAATTAATTTGAACTGATAATAAAATTGAAAATCTGTTTTTAATTCGATTAAAAAAAAATTTTGTTAATTTTCTTTTTTCTTGTTATTAATTAAGATATCTTGAATAACTTTATTTGAACAGTCAAATAGAATCGATAAAGAACGTGTGCGACCTCCGCAAAAAAAAACTTCAGAGTCAGGTAGATATTGTTTCCCTTCCGTGTTAAAAAAAAGGGTTCTCTTTAAAAGGGCTCTTATCCGCTCTTCCGGAAACTGGAGGTTGATACACGCAGGCAGATTATCAAAGGAGTCACTCACGGAGGTTAATATCCCCTGTATAATGAACTGTTTCACTGACAACACACCTCTTACACACATACTATATAGAAAAAAAAAAATGTACAGCTTCCCAAAAAAAAAAAGAAACAAATTTTCTTCTCTCTTGGTTCTCTGTTTTTTTTTCTTTCTTCAAGAAAATGATGATTCATTCTTATCTTTGAAAAAAAAATTTCCTCTCAAATTGAGGATTTCCTCAAATCCTCCAAAAAGATCTTGGATGGAAAGAAATTTAAATTTAAAATCTTCTCTGTAGAATTCTCCATTCTTATGTTCCATTATTTCGGAATTATTTTTTAATTTTTCGAATTTTTTTGTTTTCTAAACGATTTTTATATATTTTATAAAAATATAAAGTTTTCTTTTTTAAAATATAAATTAATTTATGATTTATATAATTTATAATAATTAAATTATTTATATTTTATAAAATTATATTTCTTTTTTGAAAATACTAATTAAGAGAAATTAATTAAAATTACAACTAAATTAAAATTACCAGTTAATTAGAATTTATATTAATTAAAATTAATTATATTAAAAATACGATTAATAAAATTGCAATAAGTTAAAAAAAAAATTGTCACTATGAAATTAACTAAAAAAAAATTCTCAGGGATAAAGGGAATATTATGTGATTAGCTCCGCGTGGACTTGACCTGTTATGTAATGTCAGGTAAAAATATTGGCAAGCGAACTTGTCTTTTATTGTGCCATTTGTATCCGGGACAACGGTGCAAATAACACAAACTTAATATATATGTATATATATATATATATATTGGTGAACATATGCGGTATAATCACAAGTGAATATTCTATGAATGTTCGACCGACACCCTGAGGACAGTTTCACTCGCACTCAGTATTTCTTTATACGACTTACTTACTCCATTAGTATCGAGGACAATCCTACGTGTGCAATTTTTTTTTTTTTAGCCATCGTGAAATTCAGTGTAAAAATAAAAAATTGAAAATAAATATATTAAGAGGTGCCTTTGCAAAATTTTTCGTGACAATCGCACATTAATTTTACAAAAATATTTACATTTCACTAATTCTGTTTTTTATCTATTAATAGTTTTTTCAATCCCTTTTTTTTGTTTCAAGTTTGAAAATTGAAAAAAAAGGATTTCCTTTTTTGTTACACTGATAATTTTAGGTAGCAATCGATTTTCCTTGATGGTTTATTTTTTCGGATATTTATATTAGAGACAATTGGATTTTCTTCATTTTCTATTTTTAGATTTGAAAAAAGATTTTAGAATTTTTTTTTTCTATTTATGATATAGATTGAAAAAATATAATTGATCTGGCCCTGATTATTTTGATGTCAGTGTTCCAATTTGTGACTAAAATTTTGGCAGAGATAACTAGAGAGTAATTTAAAAAAAAAAAAACACGTATTTTTTTTTTCTCTCCGTTTTAGGGTTTTAGTTGTGTCGATTGATTTTCTGTCACGTTTACTTTCTGACCTTCTTTCTTTTGTGATATCGGACCTTAAGTCCAACTTCCGCCTCTCTTTCGTAGTCTTGATTTATTCGACACAATTTATTGTTTTCATCCATTATCCACTTAATATTATTGATCGATTTTACCTTAGAATTTTTTTAGGTCAGGTGTTTGTGTGTGTAAAAAAGAAAATAACGCAATTTCCTATATATATGACATTCCTTCCCTTTTATAAAAATTATATTATGTGGGTGAAGGATTGCTGACATTCTTGAGTTTCATCAACGAGAATTTTCGCTCGTGTTTTTTAATTTTCTTAAAAGTATTTCCTTGACATTTTCTGAAACTTTGAATTTTAGTTTTTTTTTCAATTTTAAAATATTTAATTATTATTTTTTTTGTTCTTATTAAAAGAGTTTTCCACTTGAGGAAATTACTAACGAAGTATTATTATCTCTTTTAAATTATTATTATTCATGTCCTAAAGCTTGAGACAATTCTAAATTAGTTTGACTTTATCAGCAATTTCAGCACAAAGGAGATGAGTCTTTGTTTATGCCTTCATGTTTAAAATGCTCTTTCAATTTGCCAATTGGGGCGTGAGAAATTCAAATAAGCCTATTTATCGCGCACAAAAACAAAATTCGAACGTAAATTCCTATATTGTATTTAATTTTTTTTTTTTTGCGCTAGAATTTTTTTTTAAACATTCTGATTGTTTTTCTTTTTTTAGAAGTCAATCGCTGGAGGTGAAAAGAAAGTTTTCAAATTCTATTTTTCCTTCGATGGTCACTGGACTTTAAAGAAAGTTACGAGTGTTTCTTCTTTTTTTCTTTATCGGGAAAAATTTCGATCCGGGCATTGCGCCAGTTACGTTTTTTTTTCCCTCATTTTTTGGTCTCACTTGATTCCTGGTCTCTGACTTTTGTTCTTCTCGATTGCATAATACGTCATTGACCCAATCCTCTAGCATCTTTTTTTTTTTTTTTTGCCGATTGGAAAAAGGGTCACAGGTGCAAAGGAGAAATTATTTCCATTATCAAAATTTTTCGTTCTTCATTTATTGATAATTTTATACTCTTGTTTATATTTTTCTATTTTTATTATTTTCCAATTTTTATTATTCTTTAATATTTATTATTTTATTTTATTATTTTTGAACCTCAAAATTTTTTTTAACTAAAAATTCGGAACACAATTTGCATATATCTGTAAAGTAGAATTTTCGCTATATAATAACGCGCGTGGATTTTATAATGAAGAAATTGAAGTGAATAATTTGAGATAAAAAGAAAAAATAAATGAAGACGAGAATTTTGATTAAGTTGGAAAGAGTTGAAGTGGGAAATAAAAAAAAAGGAGAGTAAAAGAGATGCTTGAATGTGAAAAAGAGTTTTGTATTTACTCTCTTTTTTGCTCTTTTCCCTGTGGCTCTCTCACATTCTCTTCCATTGTCGCACAATAAAGAAAAACAATCCGAAACAATGAATGTCATGATCGATTTTCTCTCATCGTTTAAAATCTTGATTTCTTTCCCCGTTTTGCAATTTAATTCAGATATTTAAAAGAAATAAATTATTGCTGTTTAGTTCTATTGTAGGATTTTTTTTTTCTAATTTTATAGAAATTAGAAAATATTCCATTTTTCCGTGTGGAAAAATTTTTATAGATTTTTTTTTTTTTATTGTACTTTTCATTCCTAGGGGAATATTATTGGTAATGGAAGCATAATCATAAAAGTTGAAAAAGCCTGTCGAGTTAAGTCGTAATCGGAGAAATAAAAAAATAATTTATTGGATAGTTTTTGAATTTTTCTTTTTTTTTCGAAAATTTTTTGAATTAATCATTTTTTTGTCATTTGGCATTGGGAAAAAATTTCAAAATTGTGGTTTTGAAATTTTTGCAGTGACAATTGATTTAATGAAGGGAAATTTTTGCATTTTCTTGGCAAGGGAAAAAAAAATCTCTTCATTGACGTTAACGTCCACTCATCTTCAATTTGGTCCTCGTCTAGTGCCCACAAGTTCAACAATGCTCATCCACATACTGTGTATTGATCGACGTGTATCTCAACCCGACCAAAGCCGACTCACTCCCGGTTATGGGCTCCGGAGATATATTATATATATCTATTTGGCCTCATACTCCCAATTTTCACTTCACATTCCTCTTTGTAAATCCACGTGACGTGACCACGAGGCTCTCTCTCTCTCTCTTCTCCCTATGTGTATATAATCTTCCAATCAACTTGATTGCAAACAATAAAATGTCTCCTTAGCGTTCTATTATTATACTCTTGTAATTTTTCCATCTATATTTATTTTTTGATCTTTTTTTTTTAATATTTCCAGTTTTTGTCACAATTTATATTTACAATGGAGAAAAAAGTTTCATTTATATTTTTTTTTTGTTTCTCTTTTTTGCTAGCGTACTGTTTTGTGAAACTGCATTTTATGTGGCTTTTAAAAGTACAAGATTAAAACGAAATATGTGTGTGTGTGGAATTTTTTTTTTATTCTCTACGAAAAAAAAATTAGAAAAATTTATTTTTTTTTCTTTTAATTAGAGTAATTTCAAATAAACGGAAAATTAACCGAATTTTCATAGTGAAGAATTTTTTTTATTCAATTGAATTTCGATTTAATAGAATTTTTATTCTATCGAATTTTGATACAAACGGAAAATTACAATTAATATTTAATCGATTGAATTTCGATTTAATAGAATTTTTATTCAATCGAATTCCAATTGAATAGAATTTTTAATTGACAATTTCGAATTTTCAATTTAAACATTAGAATTCGAAAAAATATGAAACTAAATTTTGTTTCGATTATTTTTCCCTTAGAAAATTAAATTAATTATTGTAATTACAATCGTGTTACAAATTAAATTCACCAATTTTTATACATTTATATTTATAATTGACGGTAGATAAATTGGATTTGAATAATAAATTCTGAATTTTTTTCGAGAATAATTTTCCAATTTTTTTGTTAATTATCCTGTCAATAATGATACGGATTTTTTTTTACATTTAGCTTATTTTGAAATTTGTATTATCATTTTTTTTTCTTCTGGTTTTGAATGGCAGGTATCTCTTGTTATTAGAGGAAGAGAGCACATTGACCCATTTTAAAATGGGTCAGTTTCCTCCTTTCATTGTTAACTTTAATATCGATTTAATATATATATATTGTTCCGATTGCATCTTTTGCATGGATTTTTGTTAAAGTAGGAAAAAAAAACACTGAAAAGATGATTATTTTTATCAGAAGGAATTTCGTGATAGAATTTAGTTGGAATTTAAAAAAAAAAAAAAAGTGGCAAATTGTCAAACTAGAAATTATTGAATGTCGGTACTTTTTGATATTGTGTTGAATATCATTATGTAAACCATTAATCATCGTTGGTATACATTTTGATTCTGCATTGCGCAATTTCAAAGTGCACCGACTTGATAATATTCTCTACACGTGGAGTGTGTGGTCACCTATATCTATTTTGTCATCTGTCTACATTTGCCAAATAGTTGACATTTTGTCAAGTTTAATATAGAGGTCATTATTTACAATAATTTTTTATGTAACAATTTATGTTTACTTTCTTTTTAAATCTTTTTTTGTATTTTTTATCTTGCTTTTTAAAAAATTTTCTATTCCCTTTTTTATTTTTTTCATTTTTTATTTCTGTATTTTTTTCAACATATTTTTTTTATTTCTGTATTTTTTTTAACATTTCTATTTTTTTATTTATAATTTTTTTTCTTTTTGTTGATAAATTCAGAATAATTTTGATTAAGCAATTTTTTTTTATATTTATTTTTCATCTATATTTTTATTTTATTTTCCACTTTTGAATTTTGGTGCTTTTTTTTAATATTATTTATTTACTTTCTTTTTAAAACCTCTGTATTTTTTATCTTGCTTTTTAAAAATTTTCTATTCTCTTTTTTTTATTTTTTTCAACATTTTATTTTATTTTTGTTCTTTTTTTTATTGTTGTTGATAAATTCGGAATAATTGATACTCTACTTTTTGAAACAATTGAATTTTCCTTATTATATAAATTTGTTTTACTATCTATTGCTCTCTTAAATGGGAAAAACAATTTAAAAGTTAAAATTAAATAGTTGCGATTATACATTGAAAATGTTGTATTAGAAATGTAAACTCGACAAAAGCCACAACTTCTATTTGGAGGCCGTAACTCGCTTTGAAATCACGTCGCCCATTTCTACTTCCGGTTTAGTTGTACAAAAGTTTCAACGATAGGCACGTTTACTCGTATATCATTCACGTGAAAATGTTATCACTATATTATAAACTTGTGCAGAAAATTGTTTCTAGTTATATAGATTTTTTCCTTTTTTTTTTTTTTTGCAAAATGTCAACATATTCTTTTGTCTCAAATTTTCTATTTATTAAAATTAATTTTTTTTTTTAATTGAAAAAATAATTTAAACTTAAATTAGAAAAAAGAGATTTTTTTTTGAAAAATGAGTTTAATTTATTTATATTTAGGTAATTTATAAAAAAAATAATTAATTATTGCCTTGAGTCTTTAATTTTGGTAAATCTTTCAGAGTCACGAGATCGGAGCGGGCAAACATGCAATGATCATATATATAAAGCCAGGGAGATAAATGTATATAGGAGAATATTTGGAACGCGAGACATAATTTCTCAGTCGAATTGGGCGCATTCAGACTTTAATGGTCGACTTAGCTCGGATATAAAATGAATCCTTTCAAAGTACATTGAAAATTCTCTACTAGTTGGTCGAACTAGGTTTCATCTTTTTCTCTTTTACGAATCCTGTATACTTTCCTCCTCAGCAAGAAATGTCACAAAGGAAGTTTTAATACTTGATGTGCGCATTTTTTTTTTTTTAAATCTCTCTCTCTCTTTTTTTTTTTTTTTTTAATCGCAAACGACTTTATATCGTATTTATTTATTTTTTCTATTTCTAAAGTAGAAATTTATAAATTTTTAAAAAAATGAAATGATAAAATAATTTTTTCTTTTTTTTTAACAATATTTTAAAAATTTGACAATATTTATTTAAATAATTATGAAAAGTAGATATTAAATATAAAATAAATACTGACTAATGTGTGAATGTTAGTTTTTGGTGTTTAATTGGCAATTGCGTGTCCGTTTTGTATATAAGCGGCAAAGAAACTATTCAGTTAGAGGGAAAAGTGGGTTGCACGTCAAAGCTTTAAGAGTTATGAGCATTGAATACACTTCGATGTAAATTTTGCGCAAGTCTGAACTAAATAACTCGGAATAATGGAGATAAAAAATGAAAAAGAAAAAAAAAATGCAGAAAACTATTTTTAAATTGAGCTCCAGAGTCTCGCGACAAGATCTCTTTTCAAGTCTAAGATAAATATATAATGACATTTGAAACATTTGCAAAATGAACGAAGTTATTTTATAATATAGAAAATAAAGTACCGACACAATGATTAAAAAAAAATTTTAAAAAGGATTTTTTTTATAGGGATATTTAACAAAAATAATTATTTTTTTGCTAAAGTATCGTTTGACAAATTTATTATTATTTTTTTTATATTAAAAACTTTTATGAATATTTATATTTATTTTTTTATTTTATTTTAAAGGATATCACTCTCGCTTCAATCAAATTCCTTTTAACCCAGTTTTTGATATAAGCGTGATTTATTTGAAGCTATTATTTCAGTTTGCATCATTTGAGGGAATTCGATCCAATTAGTAATTTGCTTTTCTTTTTTTTTTTTTTTATTCTAATGGGGGAAAAAATTTGAAAAATTAATTTTTCGAATTTAAAAAATAAATAATTTAAAATAGAAATATGTAATTTTATTTTTAAAAAAATCAAGGTTAAGGTTTTTTTTTTATTTCTATAAAAAAAATGTTTTCCTCTTTTTTTTTTTTTGCAAATTCAAGTATGTTAAAATCTGATTAAATCACATTATGGATCTATAATTAGACACCTGGGTGCAAAAGTTCATCACCGTGGAGAATTAACATTAAATTACTGACCCTGTATGTGTTTTCGATATTAAATTTAACTTTATAGTCAAATGTCAAAGTGTACTTGTCAATTTTAATTAATAGTTGTTTCAAAAGAGGATATAAAATCAAAATTATTTTTAAACAATGAAAATTTTAAATTCCTTTTCACAGAAAATAAAAAGAAAGAAAAACAGTGTTGAAAGTCTTTTTAAAAATATAAAGTTATCAAATAATACTAATTTGTATCCAAATGTGGAAAAAAATTTATTTAAATAAAAAAATTTTTTGTTTAAAAATTGGTAATTAAAATTAAAAAAAATTTGTCTAATCTAAATTGACTTAAGAAACTTCATTAATTTAATAGACAAAATAAACGTTTAATTAAATTTAAATGCAAATTTTAGCGATAATTTCCAGTTTTCAAGCGAAAAAAAAATATATATAACTGGTCAAGTAATATAAAATCTAATATATACTTACAGTAATTAATATTTTTTTTTTAGAAGATTCCGAGAGAGAGAGAGAGAGATTAGCGTATTAAATTTGTTCATTATGGACATTTGCTTCTATGTTTTATAACTTTCTATAAGTTACAAGTAGTTGTTGGCATAAGTTATACTGTTCTTGTGTGGGCATAATTGCAAAGAAAAGATCACCCACGCATTTTACAAATCTTCATTTATAAAAAGGAGAGTTTTACTCTCAGTTATGTTTGACTTTTATGCACATATAATCGTAAAACCAACAATTCTTCATCGAATCCATTTTTTTTTATATTCCTCTTTTATTATTGCCTTAAACAGAAAACCGGATTTCCACTAAGCTTTAGCTAAATAATTTTAAATCCATTAAAATAGAAATGAAATGAAATTAGAAAAAAAAGAAAAAATTCGAAAATAATATAAAAAAGTACTTCTTTTATTAAAAAAAATTTTTAGTAAAATACTTTTTTTTTTGTTATAAAATTGGATAAACAAATTTAATTTTCGGTAAATAATGAAATAAAATATTTTAAATTTGTTTTCTCGTATAATTTTGTGTTGGTCCATAATTTTAATTTTTTTTCTTTTTTATATCCTGAAACATATTTTACTTTATCCGTTTCACGTCAATTTTGGAGCAGATGTTCAAGCATGAGACAATAATTGAGAGCCGCGAGACGAGAATTGTTTTAGAGGGGACTGGTGAAGGGGGGGCGTAATTAAAATTAGCCGCACGAGAACCGTGACAATTTCTCTGACATCATCGCAAGAGATAACGAATCATTATGCAAGTTTAGTTTCACATGAGCTCATTGAGCCTACACTTTAGCTTATTTCATGCCAACAGGGCCGTCAGTGATAAATGTCGATCATAATTCATTTAAATATAAATTTATAAAGTTCTAATAATAAAAAAAAGAAAGTAAATTACTAAATACTATATTTTATTACTATATTTTGTAAATATATTTACTAAATTAGTAAATTATTTTCATAATTAAAATACTACTAAAATTAAATTTTTTTTACTAAAGTATAATTTATAAACTAAATTTTCATACCAAAGAATTTTTTTCTGTTTTTATTTTGATAAATATTTTTATTGTAAATATTTAAATGTATATAATTATTATTATTTTTTTTTTTTTTGTTAAAGTTTATATAATAATGTAAAGTTGGAGCACGATTGATTAGAGTCATAGTTTAATGGAATTTCTTACTTGAGCTGATACGATATTACATTTTCCATGCGCCTCTATTATCTTATACATTACTGAAGCTTGTTGGAAAATGTTAAGTGTTGGTGTACATGTATGAATATTATCATAAACCGCTCCTTTACCTCTTCGCATCCTAACGAAGCGAATGTAATGCGTAGGCTAACATTCGCGACCGTCTCTCTTTGTTTTTTTCCCCCTCGTAACGGTTTCATTGAATTTGAAAAAATATTTCACACGGAAAATTAATATCATATTCGTTATACTTTTTTTTTCTTTTTTGCCCTCCTGACCTCTCTCAATTCTTATATGGAAACAAGGAAACTCTTTATTATTTTTCGTTCTATTTTCATCTAATTCCATTTTTGTAAATTTCATTTATTTTCCTTTTTTATTTAAAAATTAAAAAAGAATATTATTAATTTGTAAAAATTTCCATTTTTCTTTGAGATAAAATTTCCGTTAATCGACAATATTAATTTATTACGCTTTGGTACACTAATTAATTAAATTTTGAAACTAACGCGAATCTATCGGAGTTTAGACCAATTAAATCTTATTCTCAACTTGCATTCAGATTGCGAAACTTTAATATTTAAAAAAAGTTTCATTTAAATTATATGTAATAATATTAATTAATTATAATTAAAATAAAATTTTATATAAAAATAATTAAAATCAAATTTTAAATAACATTTGAAATAAAAAAATAATTAAAAGAAATTTTAATTTTCCAGAAGGTTTTTCAAATTTTTATCATTTTTCTTTTGATGTTTATCAAATTGGAATTTAATTTTCCTAATAAAAATATTTGAAAACATTGTCTCCGATGTCAGGAAGTGTTAGGGACAAAACCATCATTTTTGAATAAATAAATGTATTATCATCATGTTCATTAGCAATGAGAACAGGCTTTGGAATAATATTTCCGAGGTTGTTGTGCTCTTTTTTTTCATTAGGTGCGTGAAACAAGTTTTTATTGCATGTGGAACACTCATTTTCTTCTCGAGGTATTGAGTAATTCAACAGTTTGAAAGCTTCGATATTTTTCAAAGAACCTCAACCTAAACCTTGACATTCGCCCTGAGCTTTTGCAGGTCATGAGGTTTCATCATTCCATTATTATTACTTTCCGGAAAAAAAAAAAATTTTCTATTCTCGAGAATTTTTGTTTTTTTTTGGAAAAAAATATAAATAAATAAAATTTTATTTGAAGGAAACAATTAAAATATTTTAGATTTTTAATCTTATAAAATCGAGGTTAAGGTGTAATTAAAAAACATTTTAAATCCTTGATAAGTGAAATGAAATGTTAGTGAAAAGTAAAGATTTTTGTACGACAATCGTTATTCAATCTGATAAAAAGCTTATAACATTGACAGTTTTCTAAAAAAAAAAGTTATTATCATCTTTTTTTAAAAAAAAAACTCGCGATTGTTTCTATGGAAACAAATGACTTCGAGTCTGACAGTCTACTAATTATTAGATGATAGTTTTTCATGTTCTTTTCTGTCAATTATTTATTATTTTTTTTTCGTGTTAAAAAAATTACGAATTTTTGAAAACAAGTTTTTTCAAATTCTAAAGTGTAATGCAGACTTTAAGCGAATGTTATAATTCAGAGACAATTAAATGTTGGAAAACGGGCGAAATTCCATTAAAATTAAAAAAGGTTCAGGGAAATCAAAAACTTTTCAATTCTGTGCCAAAAATGTTGGAAAATATAAGTGAATGCTCGGAAAATTATGAGGAATTGAAAATAAAGGTAAATCAAAGCAAAATAGTAAAAAAAAAAAAAATGACAAATTAAAATGAAAATAAAAAAAAGAAAGTATTTCGGCTAAAGAAATGAATTTTACAAAAATTCTCCCAAGAAAAAAAAAATGATTCGTAGAATTACTGTATATTTTAAGAAAGGTACAAGATGCAATATTAAGGAGGTTGGAATGAAACAAAGTGAGTTGGAAGTCAAGCCATGTTTTTGCAGCTGCCACAAATGTTCGCATCAAAAAACAAAAAAAAAAACACACGCACATGGTTATGGACCTTCAATTATGTTACTAAATCTGTTCTCCCCTTTGTAATATATATATATATATATATATTTGCTTCTCAAAAACTAGAAAAATCTCTGCTTAAAATAAGTAAATTTCTCCCACATTTAATTTCCTTATTTTTTGTTAATATTATTTTCTTTTTCCTTTCAAGGTTTTCTTGTCGAGAAAAATAATTCTTGCGTCATTTTTTACAAAGATACACACGCATCACGTTAGTCACGAGGTTGCAACTAACAATGGAAAAGACATTTTAATTAGATCTCATGAAAATTCCTTTTTATCATTTCTTTAATTCTTATTTTTTAAAATTATTTTTCTATTTTTTTTTTTTTATCGAAAAAATTGTTCTCGACTTTTGGGAGAATAAATTAAATAATATAAAAAATACTGATAATTAATTTTCTCTTTTTTTTTTGTACAGCCTCCGGAGAACGAGTTGCAGAAAGTTGGAGAGCGAACACCTAGTGAACACGAATTGAGGGTACAGAGATCATTGCAGAGACTGAACGTTCCGGATTGGTTTAAAAATTCACCGGCAGCGCGAGACGGTTTTAGGCTCAAAAGACATTCAGACGCATCTCAACACGGTGGCTGGAGAGCTTTAGGCTCGAAAACAACGTCCCTATCCTCTCTTTCCTCAACCACAAATAGACAACCAACCACAGGTGACAAATATTCTTCTAATTATTTATTTAAAAACAAATCAAAAAATGCTCTTTTGCGGTTTTCCTCTTTAAATCTCCAAATATAGAAAATTGTTCATATTATGGAAATAATTTTTTAACTTAAAATATTAAAATAAAAGGAAATTATTGATATTATAGAAAGAGATCAAATTGGAATATTTTTCTCTTTTGTTTTTTTTATTTGCGAATCTACGAAGGTAAATTCAAATGAGAAAACGAGTTTTTATTAAAAATCGTTAAAAGAGAAGGGGGGGGGGGGTCTTTCGCGAATCGCGATCAAAAATTAGTGCGATTACCTAGAGCCAATTTCGCGTATATTCCCTTTTCCTATTGGCTGTTAAGTGCCTGCTGGCCTAATGGCTAATAGGAAGCGACTAATAAACTTACCAGGCCAGGTTAATTCGATTATTTCTCTCTCGTTCCTGTTGTATCCCTCTATCTAGCCAGACGTTTAAACTGGTCCATATTCTTTTAAATAAAAGAAATTGCATACTGTGATGAGACATTCACCAGAACAGCATCTTTCATCTTTGATTCATGTAGCTTTTTTTTTTATCTCCAATGACGACGACGGCTACTTTATTAAAGTGCCACGACAGACAATTTACCAAATTATCTTTTCCCTTATTCCATTTACATTCCACATTTAATCATCGTTTTGTTGCTGTTTTCTCTCTTTTTGAAAATCCCCTCAGATAATTAGTATTTAGTTCCCTTGTCAACGAATTTTTTTTCAAATGTTTATGTACATTCAAAAGTAATTGAAAAATTTTGTTAGTGTTGTATTTTTGTTTTTTCTAAATGTAAATTTTTTTTTAGGTGTCCTTTTAAGTCCCAGTCCAACGCCACCAGTGTTTTCGAGATGGAGTACAAGTTTATTGAATAGCGCCGGAAGTTCGCCCGCAAGTTCCACGAGGTCTTCATTCAATCATCGTCAACCTTACCTTGGTTGGCGTTCACAAGAACGTTTAGCGAATCCTCGGACACCAGCGGAACGTCTCGCTCAAGGAATTCTTCCTCAATTACAATCTGCGAATAAGGTACGTTCATTGAAAATAAATAAGAAACATTTTTCACAGTCAACGTCATTTTTATAAAAATTTCCATCAGAAATTATTAATTTATTTTTTTAAAAATAATTCGATGTTTCTTAAAAATTACAACAAATTGATAAATGCAGTAAATTTAAATTTTTATATTTTATTATTAATTAATAAATACTAAAAATTGATAATTAATAGAAATTTAGAAAATTTTAAATCTATTTAATTTTTTTTCAATTACTCTCTTTGATCAGAAATTGAGAGCCATTATTATTAAGGCCAATTTTGTAACCGTATGAGGAAATTGAAAATTGACCCCAGACTTTATTATACATATATATATATTGAAGGATGTAAATGGGTGACCGAGTGTAACCCTTTGCTATCGCCCACATGTTCCTCGTGGCACGTCTTTGTTGAATTTATTTTTGATTTTCGCTCAGACACTGTCGCCCATACTGTATATATATACGATCGTTTGCTATTATTAGTTACATACATCAAAAAAGCTGGCAACGAATTGTCGTTGTGGTAAATAGAGTTAAAATTTTCCCCTTCTCACACTATGACAAACTGCTCAAAACTAAAATTCACCAACGTTGGAATGCAAATCTTTCATGTTTTGCTTTTTTTTCCAGATTAAATTATATTATGGTACGAGGGAAGAAAGTGATAAATTTAACGTTTTCCTTTTTTTTTTGTTGTAAAAGTCGTAGATTTTAAACTTTTGTTCTCTATTTTTTTTACTATTATTGAAATTATTTTTTGTAATTTCAAAAAACGATAATTGTAAAATTCACTCTCTGCGAATTTGTTTTCTATTTTCACAAAAATTCTCGCGAATCTATTTTCGGGTGCAGAAATGTTCTAGTTTTCGTTGGTACGAAGCATTCCAAAATTAACGTGAATTTAGAAAGTCTGAAATTATTTAATAATAAAAAGAATTTAATTTCAACAATTTGAAACAAAAATTTAATTCATTATATTATCTTTAAATTCATCTAACTTTATAACGATGCCAAAAAATTTTTTTTTTTTGTAAAATTAACGATGGAAGGGAAGTTAATTTTTTTTCTTTTGGTCAACAGCAGCAACAACAACAGACAACGAATCAGCAACTGGAAGTGAGGAACTCGATAAAGGAGGTGACGTCGGCCATTGTGCACTACGTACAAAGTGGTCAGGAAGTAATAAGAGGTGGAAGGCTCTCGCCTCGACCTCGACCTGACGATTGGGACGACAGGGGTGGCGCGAGGTCGACCAGCCCCAGAGGTGAGCACTAAACCCCTGCAAAAAAAAAAAATAAAATAAATAAATAAAAACATCCCACCACAACAACCACAACCACCATCACCACCACCACTATTTTATTCTGCGGCGAAGGTAATTTTGAGTTTTTTATCCATTTTTTATTTGTTAAATTTTAAGTTTTCTTTTTTCTTTTATTCTCTTTTACTTTTTCTGCCTTTTTTTTTATATCCAAAAAAAGAGTCGTTTGACTTTTTTTTTAGATGAAAAAAAAAATTCTTTTCGTTGTCCATATTTCTTTTTTTTTTCTTCTTTAACTAACAAATGATGTTTTCAAGCTACGATTCTCTCTCTCAGCCATTCAAAAGGGAAATATTCTTGGAGGTAGTAAGCAAAAGACGAAACCATTCACTCACACATTCACTTTTATATATACAAGGCACTCTTCTCTCGCACTTCACACTTGCTTTCAGACTTTACTCACGCCTCATCCCTTTTTACATCCTCTCTTCGCTAATTCACTAACTATCTTCGCCGCTCTTGCGACGCTAAACAAACCCAAGACTCGTGCCTTAAATTGACGTGACTCGTAATTTTATTTTTATTTTTTCTTTACATGAGTCAATTTTTCAAGAGAATTTTTCTTTTTTCTTTCAAATTTAAATGTTTATTTAGATGGGAAAATTTTAATAATAATTTTCGTTTGAGATGAAAGAAAAAAATCAGAAAAAAGCATTCTTTTGCACGTAGAAAAATGCTTTGTGTAAAATTAAACTTTTACATATACAAAAAAATTATTTTGGATGTTCTAGATAAATTTTCTTAGTTTTTATAATTTAAAATTATTTCATAGAAATAGGAAAATATTACATTTCCAATATTTTCCTATATTTTACATTTCCATTCTTTTATATTTTATTTTTTAGATCTTTTGTAGATTTATTTTTTTTTTTTTTGGTAAATTAATTATTTTTAGTTTATTTTTTAAAGAATTAAACTTTCTTTGACAAAATAATTATTTTTAAGGGATAAATTTTTTCACTCGCTCTTGAAATGAACATTTAATTTTGAAACTACATGAAAAATTCCTGAAAAATCAGTTTTAAAAATATTGATAACGCGACATGAATCAATATTTTATTTTGGAGGGAAAGAAACAATTTTCTTTTTTTTTTAGTAAAATTATTCCTGACAAAAATTAAAATTAATTCTTCAAATTAAATTTTATTTTGTCATCTAAAAATTACTTTTCCTTTTATTCGTTTAATTAGAAAGCAAATAACGATTTAAATTGTAAAAAGAAATTGATTTAAGTGAAAAGAAAGAAAAATAGTTGAATAAAAATTTATATTTATATAAAATTTAGATAAATTTTTATAGTAAAAAATATCGCAACTTTGACCTGCCCTTAAGTGTACGATGATAAACTTTCCTTTTCTGGGTTGCGAAGATTTATATTACGTTTGATAAAAATGATCTGATTATTTTTTATGTACTTGCACATACGTTCTTTTTCATTTCTTTTTTTAATCGTAAAATTCATTTTCTATTTTTTTGGTTCGGAATTAATTCTAAAGTCGGAAATGAGGAATGTTTCATATAGTGTCGAATTGCGATAAACTGAAAACCAATTTAGCGAGAGATGAATACGAATTCCGGGATTAGACAAGAGAGCATAGTAACAATTAAAACACGACGAAAATCACATTTGTCCTTGCCGTTTATTTTTGGCTAATCATCATTTTCACAGCATTTTTTTTTTTTTAATTTTTATTATTATATATCAACGAAGGGGAAAATAGTATTTTGAAATTTCTAGGAGAATTTTTGCAAAATCGATTTCATTTTCAAAATCTGACCTATTTTAATCGACGTATGTTTATCATTTGACCTCAAGGGATTTATATCCAAATAAGCCGAATTGAATTCTTATTTCGATTGCACCTCAAAAATTTTTAAAGCATGAATTCTTATTTCTCCATAGATTGCATGAATCTTATCATAAATTTTTTTTTTATCAAAATTTTTTGCTTGCCTTCTATTTTTATTTTCGTCAGTAAAACAATTTTTTAATGACCGTGACATCGAAATATTTTTGAGGTTTTTCCATTTGGGGAAAGAGAAAAAGTTTCAAGGGGGCTTCAAGAGGGAAAGAGGTCAACGTGCAATGAAGCAGGATATACTCTTGTAATAGACAATTTTTTTCTTTCTTTTTTTTTTTGCCTTATGTGTTGTTTACTTCGTATATTCGCCTTTGAAAGTCGAACGAAAGTGTGTCGCGGGCTTCTATTTCTACACTCTCGTCGTGGTGATGACGAACGGAAATAGGTTACCCTGAAATTCCCCCCGAATGACCTCGCTTCGTTTCTCGGTCTCGATCGAGCTTTTTTTTCCATTCCCGCGAGATCATCCCCCTTATCTCATGCCGCGAAACGATCAAAAGTTAATAAGCGTTTTAAATTTTCCACCTGAACACTCGAACGAACTTATTTCTTGATATTTGAAAAATTACTGCAAAAAACTAAAATGTTATTTTAAAATAATATTTTGATAAAAATATTTATATTTTTTTATTTACTAGTATTTTAATTGATTATTGAAATTGAAAAAAAGCAGCAATGGCTGTTGTAAAAAATTTAAATTTCCAGAACTGCAAGGGGAAAATCAATAGCTACTTGACCCAATAAACTTTGGTACATGAAACATTTTCGTGACCTCGTATTTTTCTGGACGCAACTTTTCTAAAAAGAAAGTACAAGTTTCAAAAAATCAAAAGTCATTTCCTAATAAATAAAAAAAAGAAAATATCTTGATTTTCGAAAATAAAATTTATATTTTTGATATCTGTTTCCTTTCGAATTCATTTTCATAACCAAATGCTATTAACCGCATAATTTGCTTTTTCTTCTCTCTTTTTCTGCTCTTCAATAATTTTCACTACTAATTCTTAAAAAAAAAAAAAAAACGGTGGAGGTTTTTCTAAAATTCAAATAAATGGGAATTTAAGGTAGAGAAAAGAAAAAGTGAAAAATTTAGAATGTAATAAAATTTAATTTGAAGATAAAAAAAGGCCCGAATTATTTTTTTTTTTTTTAATTTGGAGAAAAACATGTCAATTCGTGTTGAACTTTCTTCATTTCGTTGGCCCATCTTCAAAACTGAACGTTTAATATTTATGAAGAGTTGAAACTTTATCGAGATAGAAAAAAAAGTTATTCGCGATTTTATTTTTATTCGGAAGGTCAGTTTTTTACAAACTGTCTTTTTTTTAACTAATGCAAACAATTAAATTAAAATCACTAAATTATTTAAACTTTACTCGGGTTTACAAAAAATACCGACCCTTCATAAAGTATAAAAAAGAAAGACTTACTCCTCATTTTTTTTCACTTCTTTAAGAAGAATTTTTAAATAATTTGCAAACATCAAATTAAAAAAAAAGCGAAATGAATGAAAAACAATTCTTAATAAGTAAAAAACGTTTAGTTTTGAAAAAAAATGAGTGTGACTAGTTTTTGGTCCATTTAATCTAATCTTCTCGAATGGTTATCTCGCTTTCGTCAACGAAGGGAGCACGAGGTTGTGCTGGATGGAGAGCTCTTTTGTGGGTACGAAGCCACTGGATTCACCAGAGACGCCAATGAGCCTCGCAACCGAAACAGAAGGCTGTGCAGTGTGTAATGCAACCACCGCCAATTCATGCACATGTGCAGATTCTGCGTCTTCCGGTCTCTTCCTGGATTTAACTCCAACACGAGACGATCTGCAATTTCATCAAAATCAACAACGCCCAGGAACAAATCCATCTCCCTCGTCAACTCTCAACTACTCTCATCATCATCATCATCATCATCATCAGTTACAGCCACAGCAGCAGCAGCGACATCATCGCGGTGAGTTGCTCACCGCGATGAATTAAAATTATTTTTTCTAAATTTTCTCTAAAAATTCCTTATCCAAAAAAAAATAAATCCCTCGGAACTCTACACTGACACGAACCTTTCTAACGGAAACGGGTTTAAAAAAAAAAAATTGATGTTCGTCTTGGTGCTCAGTGATCTCCGATTAGGATTGAAAAAATTCATTTTCTTGAAGTTCTTTCTGTTTTGCGTAGGACTTGAAGACCGGATACAAACTGGAGTTATGATCCCTTGGTAGAGCTGACAATTCGAAAGTATTTTCCTTCATTTCTCACGTCTGAATCTTATTCGCTTTTTCACATTTTTGATGCGTTCCCAATTTTTTTTTCGGTAGAGCATCATTTTATTTTTTTTTTTATATATATAATAAATATTTTGTAAAGCTGAAAATTTTGGAAAGATTGCATGCTATTTTTCATCTCTTTCCAAAAGTAAATTGCATGATTTTGAAAAATTTATTGTAGTCCCAAATTTTTGATATTCGCTGAAAAGAGATTTTTCTATTTTTTTTTTATCAAAAACCAAATTTAGAATTTCTCAAGTTTTACAAAGCAATTCTTTACCGAAATTTTTGAAAGTTATTTTCTCATTTTGTAAAAAAATTTTTTTTTTCTAAATAATCAATTAAAAAATGAGTGAAAAATAATTATATAGAACATCTTTTTAATATTTGGTCCTAATTTTTTGAAAAATAAAAATGTCGAAATATAAAATAAAAAGTCAAATTTAGATTTCGAAAAAAGATTAAGACGGTGAGTTTTGAGGAAAAAATTGCGTCACTTAAATAAAAATTTTATAATTTACTTTTATAATTTTTCCTAATTGGCAAGGATCACTGAACCACCAGTTTAAATAATAATTTTTCTCGCGAATTTAAAAAAGGTGGTAATTTTTGGGCATCTTCACTGATTTTGAAAATAATTTTTTATCGATACACTTTTGCCACTAGAATCGTGTTCGATTGTAAAATTAATAGGTGCTCCCCCCCTACATGTAGGATAGAATTTTCTTATTTGTAAATATATTTGCATACATCGCGATTATGTAAATTCGAATCTCACGGATAATTATTTTGATTTTTTTTTTTGCAATTTTTTGAAAAAGCTCGATAAAAAAAAATTTGTTCGGAAAAAAAAATCATCAAAAGCTTGCGTGATATTTTTCAAAATCAGAGTTAGGTGGATGTCGATGAAAATTAAATTTTGGTTTCCTCCCCGTCTTTTTTTATCAATTCTTTTATTTATTGTTAGATTTTATATTTTTAAGTATAAAAAAGCCTTTATTTGGAATTTAAAAAAAAAATGTTAAAAAAATTTCCCAACTCCAAAATTTGCATTCGCATGTTATTTAGTTTTCTTCAGTCATTTTCTTTTCGTTTTTAGACAAAAAAAAAAAAAGTTCGTGTAGGGAAAAAATTCTTTTCGAGAAAGAGAATAATTCTTTTAAATCATTGCGGCGCGCGTAACATTCGTGTCTTATCTAAATCGTGTCGGGGATTATGGCAAAACGCCCATTTACGAAACAAAAATAAATAAAACGCCCCTTCTATCAAATTGGAAATTTTTTTTTACTTAATTCTCAATTTTTCAACTTTTCTATAAAAAAATTCGAGTTTTGAAAATCGCTTTAAAAAAAGAGATCTCAAAAGATTCGAAATAATTGTTTTCAACTTTGAAAATAGTTACAAAATTTCGAAATTAATTTATTTCGCGGTTTAAAAAAAAAATCAAAAAAAAAATTTTTTTTTCTCCGCAATACTGTGAAAATGGCTATTGAAAATAATGCGTTTCTCGCTGGCATTCCAATCGCTTCTTTTTTTTTTTCGTAAAAAAAATGAATGGTTTTTTTTTTTTTTTTAATGCAAAATTTTAATGGAAAAATGAATAGGAAAATTATTATTTTTTTCGAAAAATATAGGATAATTTTTTTTTTCCTTCTTTCAAAAGTGAATTTATTAAATCACTCCGAATTAGCTCGTCTCAATATTATATACCTTTTTGCTCCTTTAAATCCTGTAAAAAAAAAAAAAAAAATTTATTCTAGCCTTTGCGTAGTTATTTGCGTTTATGTATATGTTATTTGTAAAGTTGTCCCTTATTTAAGTTTATGTATTCTTTAGACGTCTACATATTATATATATTTATATGCACATGGCATATTTTGTCCAGTAAATATTGTGTTGCATATGCGTTAGATTATGCTATTATATATACAATGATTATCATTATTATGGTTATGATTATAATTAATTATTAATTATTTTTGATTCTTATATAGATTCCTATTGATTCTTACAGATTCTTATAGATTCTTATTCTTATTGATTCTTATTATTAATTATTATTAATTATTATTGATTATTATTGATAATTGATTCTTATTATTATTATTAATTATAAATATTTTATGATTTTAAAGAGTAGCGCTCGTAAAACCGCTCGATTGTTGGCATGAAGTTTCTTTTATTTATTATTATTATTTTTTTTTTTTTGAGCATTTTATATATTATTATTATCATTAGTCGCATATTGTACTCTCTCGAACGGTTCTAAGAAACGGGTGCTCGCTCCAATATATATATAGAAGATTCCGTACTTATTGTTCGGCAATCATCGGCAATTATCATTTTTTCTGTAGAACGTATTTTTCTCTTGACAAAAAATAAATTATTGTTTGTATATTTGTCTATTGTCAACGTGTTTATCACGCTCGCCTTTTTCTTAGATTTAAATTTTTTTTCTATTCGTTTTTTTTTTTTTTACTACACGGTAAGTAAAATATTTTTTTTATCGTTATGCTTTTTTACAAATTTTATATTTTTTTTTTTTGTTTGCAGTTTTGAAAAAAGTTTTCTCGTGACCTAGGCTTTTTTTGCACTTGTAGTATGTATCTTCAAAAAAAAAAACAAAACAAATTCGACCGAATTGGAATGTGGAAAAAAATTGGTCAATTTTACAAATTTGAATTACAAGGTATTTATAAAAAAAAAAAAATTCTTTAATACATGATATTTCCGAATCGGTTGAAGTGAAATTGCACATTATTTTTTGTTAAAAATGTATTTATTAGAAATTGCTTATTTTTTATAAATTAATTAAGGCAGTAAAAAATTTGTTGTGCTGTTTTTGTATTTTTTTTTTTTTAGTGGGACAACTATTTTCAGATTCTGCAAGAATGCTTTTTTTTGTGTATTTTAGTTCGGTATTGCTCTTTAAAAAAAGGTGACGATTCCCGCGATTCCTATAATCCCTTTTTTTTTGTTTTAAAAAAGGAGCTTTTTTTTTGAAATCCTAATAGTGTGTCTTGTCCAAAAAAAATATCGAATTTTTTTGATAATTGAAAAAAAAAAAGTTGAGGCTTTTTGAGGATGACCTCTGAAAATCGTTAGGATCGGGGCAGAGTGATACCGACGAGGCCATGGCGACAGCAGCTCTTCTTCGGAACAAGCCGAGTCCTGGTTCGACCACTTTGGAGGATGTTCTTGACTCCCTCCTTGGTCTGCCTTCTTCCGCTTCGCGAACCCCAAGCCCTGGACCTGGACCCGTTTCCAGTTCCACGTCCTTTCGTCAACGAACCAACGTCAATCAGACAAATGCCAAAGCCGGGAAGAGCTGTAGTGACCTACGCCAAGACCTCCAAGGTAGGAGGACTATGTAAGTTTTCGTTCTGACGTCTTTTAAAAAAAAAAAAAATTCTCATTTCTCCTTTTTTATCATTCCCCGCACCATTCAACAAAAAAAAAATTAATTATTTACCCCTTCGCCAAAAATTATGACGAGAGCCGACTTGTGCCATGGTTTCATCTTCTGGGGCTGATTTTTCAAAAATTACTCCTCGATTCGCTTTTTCAGAAAAAAAAAAAAATAATTCGTGATCAATTCATTGAACAAATCGATATGGAAAAATAATCATAAACGCTTTTCACATTCATCTTTCGAATTAAAAAAAAATCCGACATTGTCGAACGCAACATCATTCTTCAACATCATCGATCACACATCATTGATTCCTTTTTATCTCTTCTTCCCTTGGTCGTTTCTAGGTCATCTAAAAAGTCTGATTTCTTGATTTTTTATATTATGATTCTCTCTCTTATCTCACGCTTCGCGGTAGAAAAAAAAAATTTCTCTCCAATTTTTCGCTCTGGTTATATAATTACCAAAACCGATCCAAAATTTTGAAAAGAACAAGGATGAAGGGATTTTCAAATTTCTATTTGAATTATATTATAATTGAATAGTATTTAAATATTTCCAACATTAATTTTTCATTTTTACAATATTTAATTATTTTTATCAAAAATAAAAATTATAATAGTTTTTTTTTTTTGTGTCAAAGAAAATAAATTTTATTATTGAATTTTAAATTATTATTAATCAAAAAAAAGTAAGTACTGTAGAAAGTAACTTTTTTTTTAAAAATTATATTAGATAATATTCTCACCTTCTTGGAGGTGAGAAAAATTAAAATAAAACAAATTTCGTGAGATTTAGAAAAGAAAATCGTAATTTGTTTTTTAAATTTTTTATTAACAGATCAATTTTTAGATGACCTATAATAATAATGACCCATCATTGAGATATTGTGTTTCATTTTATAAAATTTCCAACTTTGGAAATTCGATATTCAAAATAAAATTGAAAAAATTTTCTTTTGACGAATTTACCATTTTTTTTAGATAATCAAATGAAAGCAAAATGAGATAAAAATACTTATATTCAAAAAAAAGGTTTAAATAATTTTTTCAAAAATTTATTTTAAATAAAATTGAAAAAATTTTCTTTTGACGAATTTCCAATTTTTTTTTTGTTTTCTTCAATAAGAGCAAGAAAAAAGATAAAATGAATCACAAAATAATCAATTTCCCAAATACACAATCATGATAAATGCAATTAATTTTTGAATTAGAAAATTTTTTAAAAAATAATTTTTCTACAGAGTCCGCTAAAAGTGTCCTGGACGTACGTGCCCAGGAGGATCACGCTTCCTACTTCATTGGCGAGCTGGTGCGTCGTAAGAGCGAGGGTAGCGATTCTCTACCTTCACGTGCAAGTTCAAAATCAACAACGAACCTACGTCAACGTCGTGTGTCATTTGATAATTCACAAGAGAATTGTTCAGCATCGGCAGCTGTTGCAACTACCGCCGGTGGTTGCAGTGGATTCAGTACATTGGAAAAAATAGTTCGCTGTCGAAATAATAAATGCACGAATGTAACGAGTGTCATCGAAGCAAGAAAAACATACAAGAGCTGTCACAATTGCACCTGTCTTTATTGTTCACGTGAATGTAGACGAGCTCATTGGCAACGTCATCGTAAAACATGTTTACATTCACGCGCCGGTGCATTGTGTAAACAAGTCCTCTCATCAGCCAAAGAGGATCCAATTACTTTAAAACATGTCTCAGCGCTCGCTAAACGTGGTTACGCTTCACATGGTCGTGGCACTGTCAAATGTTTCTTCTCCAGTCCTGAGGCAGCTGAAAAATTCATCAACAATGGTTTCATCGATCTTGGTGAGCCCACATATGTAAGATGGTCAGATCTTTTACCAAGTGAAATGGGAGCCGAATTATATGCCGAGGTAATGCGTCTTTGTAAATCATTTAATCCCGAAACAAGACTTGTTCTCTATGTTGCCGTTTGCGTTGTTAGCGAAGTGCCAACAAGCGGTGCCGTTAAATGGGAGAGACAATTGGTCTCTCGATGTGCCAAGATTCGATTGGACGCCTCGTGTCGTCAACCAACGAATTCGTCTTCCATAACGCAACAACCACAATCATCACCTTGTCATTCGTCGATAAAAGAAGTTATTATTGAATCGCCAGAGACACTTGTTCTTACTTCATTGCCCGGTAGTAATGGACAAAATACACCACGAAGATCAAGGGAAATCAGCTTTAATAATATTCAAATACAATTGAAACTCAGAGGTGTTTCATTGAGACGACATTTCCCTCAGGTTTATAAGAAATTATGCTCATATGTTGATGGTTCAGTTGATAAATTTGCTCCAGTCACCATTTATCCGAGGGACCATGTTTCGGGAAAAAGTTTCATGTGCATTATTATGCTCGATGCCGAGCCAGAACGACTTCATTTATTGCCAACTGACACGACGACGAGAGTGAAGACTGTCGATATCAGCGTGGAGCAGGAATAAAGATTCTCAAACAAAAAATTTCAAATAAAAATTATTCGGTTACTTTTCATTTATTCGATATTTTCAATGCAAGAACAAAATAATTGCTATTTTTTTTCAACATTATTTTTTATATCGAATGAAATTTTTCCCGAAACTTGGAATTTTAATTTAAATTTAAAATTGATTTTTTTTTTTTTTTTTAAAGTATATCGATCTATCAAAAGTAACCGAAAAAAATATATATAGATAATAAAATATGCATTTTTCTATATAAATTTTTCGAAATCGCTTCGCAAAGCTAAAAGCAAAGCAAAAAAAAAAAAAAAAAAAAAATAGACGATTTTTTATAGTTCACCCGGGCAAAAACATTCCGTTGACTCATTGACTGACTGAAGTAGGTTCTCGATGAGGTTTTAAAGTTTTCCAATTTAATCATTAAACGTTCTTCGATTGAATCGAACGATGAACAATTTTTATTATTGATAATAATTATATAATTAAAAAAGTCGTTTTTAATAATAGTAACGAAGTTATCACCGTGGTTCATTGTTCTGTATTATACACTTCTATTCGCGTATATATATATATATATATATAAAAAAAAATTATATATAATAATATATTTGTCATAAATAAAGCGCATATTCAGATCTTTTTCGAACAGATTTTTCAACTTGTAAAAAAAAAGCCTGTAAAATACAAAAATAAATTTATTAATACTTAGAAATTATGATATAGAGAAAAAAAATATATAAATTTTTTTTTAATTAATAAATATTTTAACTTGAAATTATTTTAATATTCTTTTTCTGGAAAAATATTGTCGACAAAAATGGGTAAATGTCAAAAGTTGAAAGTAAAAGTAGATGGTAAGAATATTTATTTATTATAGCAAAAAATAATTATTTATTCGACAATGTTCTTCACAAAGAAGAATAAAAATTGTAAAAATATTTCCGTCGAGATTTCAAAATAAAAATTAAAAGCTAACTAATAACAAATATATTTATAGGAATCTTCTGTATCAAAAGTAACTTAAAAAAAAAAAAAAAATTAAAATAGTGCAAATTCGTTGTTAATCTGTTCGAAAAAAGAATCGAGTTGATACCGATTTGAGATACGCATCAAAAAGAAAATGAAAAGAAAAAAATCTAAGTCGTTCAGGAATTAAATGTATATTGTCAAGCGACTCTTTGCTAATATTCATCGTCATATATTAATTTTTGTTAAGGGCTATCTCACTGTTTTTTTTATCTCTTGGAAAAAAAAATTTACTTAATTAATTTTTAAATCGAAATTATAAAATATTATTTTTTTTTTTTAAATTAAAAATTTCAATTAATGAATTTTTCTCTAAAGGGAAAATTTTACTATTTATTTAAAATAATTAATTATAAATAATCAGATTAATTAAAAATAAAGCGATAATCATTTTTTGTAAAATTAAGTCACAGTGAGACACGCCCTTGAGCTTATTCTATGTATCCAGTTGTGTTTTGAAATTCTATGGTTATAATATGTGGTGGTTTAAAAAAAAAAAATCCCTCAATTTAATCTTAATTAAAAAAATACATTTAATTAAGATTTTATTTAAAAAAAAAAATAGACTGTGCCGATCTGGAATTGGTATGCGTCTTTGTGTGTATAATTTCACGTGATGTATGCTCGTCTTACATTGGATGAAATTAAAGCAAAAAAAAAAAAAAAGTATATTAAACCACAACAAGCTCTCGAGCTTTATAGATTTATAAATAAAAATGCGTTTCGCTCTTTGAAGCTTTCGCCCTGCAAAAGAAGTCTCTAGACTTCCCAGAAAGTAGAATCTGGTACCGAATTATATCCTTTTAGGCTATATCGCTGTCCCTTTCTCGATTTTATGGACCTTGTGCCAAAAAAAAAATAAAATAACATAATCGAGCATGAGAAATATTTGAATCATTCGAATATTTACAAGTTTCCTCTAAAAAAAAAATACTAAATCCCAGAGGCCTTGTTTTTCGCTTGAAAATTTTTGCTAGGAATTTACAAATTTTCAAAGTTGACAATTTTTTTTTTTCTTTTCACCCTTCACGTAATTGTAATTTGAAAATTACCTCCAACTTTTTATATTTCGCGAACAATCTAATCATCATAAAAAAGACATTTTCAGCGAAATTTTTTGAGTGATAAAAAATCCCAACAAAAAAAAAAAATCATTTTTCGTAAGAGTAATTATTATTAATAATAATAAAAAAAATACCTATATTGTTAAATACTTTGTTACGTGAAGATATTTGTAAACGTGAATAGGAAATTTTGCTGGCTCAAATTCATAGAAAAAAAAGAGAAGAATAAAATGAGCGATTCAATCTTTTTTTTTTTTTAATTGTTTCACCTAAAATTTAATCGTGGTGCCAACGAGAAATGTCACTTTGCTAAAAAAAAAAAAAAAAGAGTGTGATTGTCGATTTGGACGAATAATTTTTAAGAGCATATAATTAGAAAGCGACGATTATTCTTATACGTACGATGCGTAGCAATAATTAATTGAGCAATAAAAAAAGAAAAACAATTGTAGAGTGAGAATGATGCTGCAATTTAGTGCTAACGATTCAATTTTAGGAATCTGGATGCTCTTTTTTGTGACAAGAGAAAAATGGATCGTTTTATTTTTCACTATTTAATCTGTAAAGCAAAATTTATTTTTACTAATTTCTAAAAATTTTTTAACTTTTTTTTTTCTAATCCTTTTATATCATTCACATATTTATAAATATTTTTATTTTTAAATTTTAATTGTTATATTTTAACTAACGTTGTTAATTTTATTAATTATTGATTATAAAATAATAACAATAATTTTATTTGTTTTCTTATATCACTGAGATGAAAAATTTTGCTCACAGACGAAAAAATAAATTGTTATCCAGAGATTATTTATTGTAAGTTTTAAGATTTAAAAGAAAAAAACGTTGAATGTTGATAATTATAGATTTTTAATTGACGAGTAAAAAAAATTAATTAAAATTAAGTTTAAAACACTGTTAAAAAAGTTTTGGAGTTAAAAAAGTTTTTTAATTTTCATTAATTAGTTAATTAATTTAAAAATCCAAAGAATTACTTAATTTTTTTTAATTAATTTAATAAATAATTATTTCATTTATTATTATGCACTTAAAATTTTTATTTTTTCGAAAATTGTTAAATTGCATTTAAAAACTATTTTTTAACAGTGTTAGTTAACAATAATTTCTTTTTATTTAATCAATAAGTATAATTATATTTACTGCGTATATTTATCGTAATTTGTCTCTTTTGTAATAAACTTTCCATCTGGACAAATTGTTCAAACTTTTTAAAAACCTCATCAACATTTTTACAAATAGAATAGGAAATTTTGAAAATAATTTTAATTTGAAATAATTTAAAATTGTTTATATCAATTTATAAATTGATTTCCCTTTATTTCTTATTTCCTAAAATCAATTATTTAAAAATTTAAATTTTCCCGCAACTTGAACTATCGAGTATTTTACGACTTACGACTGATTCGATAGGAGCAACTTCAAGTGCCTAAAGAAATGCTGTGATTGGCTAGAGTGTTTCACGCATGCGCATTGTACTTACTCCAAAAATTTCACTTGTGTTCAGGTCGATCTAGAGAATTTATTTTTTCTGAAATCTTTTTTATTTTTTTGATTAGTTTCGAAACGCAATCAAGAGTCGGAAGTTGAGACTTGTGTCTGTTGCTATTTTACTCATTCTCATCATCATTGTCTCCTTTGGAATTCCCCAAATAAGAACAAATACAATTTATAGGTTACGACGTATTTTTTCAGTTTGTCGCAGTACGATTTAACAGACGTTTTGTTAAGTAGTTTAGTGCAAAGATGCTGAGGAAAATTTTAATTTTGCTTTGTTCGGCTGCAATACTTGTATCAGGTAATTATGATTATTTATTGCCCATCTCAACCAATTGATGGAATTTCCTTTAAAAAAAATATATATATATATAATAATTTCCAAGTGAATGTCCATGACGTTGCAAAATAATTATACATGATGGCTTAGAGAGAACTATTATCAATTTTCATTTTGTATATACGCACAATTTTTTTTTAAACTTAATCCTTTTTTTGCATACATAATTATTTTCTGCGCAAAATATAAGTAATTCTTTTTTGTTTGTTCGTGTTGGTTTTTTTTTTAAGCATACTTTTGCAATGACAAATTTAGATACTATCTCAAATTCTCTTGACGCAATTAGAGTATATAAAAAGATAAAGAGAGTTTTGTAAAAATAAAAAGCCTCTTACGGTAATAAAATATAAAAGTAATCGGGGAAGCACCATTTGTTGAGGTTATTTTTGTAATAATATTTTAAATTAACATAATTCGACAATTGATTTATTTACTCTATTTAATTTATTTCCTATATGTTTAATATTTTTTTTCTATTATTTTATGTTTATAAATAATTATATTAGGTCATTTCTAATTTTTGGAGAATTTTTAAATATTCTAAAAGAAATTCTTTTTATTTGCCTTTAAAGATTATCTTTTATTGTTTTGTTTAAAATAAAAAAAAAAAAGAGTCAAAAATTAAAATTGAGACGTAATAAAATTTATCAAAATATATTAATTGAATTCAAAAATGATTATTGAAATCAAATTTTACTTCTTTTTCTCTCTCATCCTTTGTGATTTTCATTTTTTTTTTTTTTTCACGTGACTGATAAACTGTTGATAAATTGAAATTCAAAACAAACTTGTTCATTAAAATATATTCACACACAATATGTTTACTACGATAAAGTAGATAAACTAAAAATGCAAATTGTTTTAAATTCTGTAAAAATAATTATTTTTATTTTTGTGCGAAGTCTATTGTTACATTTTTATCTCAATTCTCAGAAGAGATATACGGTACAATAGATATACAAATAGCTGCAACAAGAAAAATGTAAATTTTGTTTAAAGTGAATGCCCTTAGTATTTTTTTTTTTTATTTTCAAAACTTTTTTAAAAGTATTTTCATAAAATTAAATTTTATTCATTAAAAAATGTAAATTTCAAAAAACATTTAAAATAATGTACTAAAATATATTGTATAGTAAAAAAGTAGTTTTTAATTTTATTCGAAACGGACAGGATACGCCAAACAATAAAAGATAAAAGTACAGGTGATAAAAAACTAACCACAGAAACATATATAATTTTTTTTCAAATCTATTTTTTAAATGATTCTTAAATTTTATTTCCTACTCTTCTTTTTAAATTGATTGAAATATTATTAAATATTATAAATAAAAAAGAAAATTTTAATAAATGAAAGTAAATTGATATAGTTAATTCAAGGCCAATTCTGGGAATTACCGCAAGGGGAATTGTATATATGAATAAAGAAAAACGTCATTAAAATATTTCCATGTTGATTTTGCATTTTTTTTCCACTATTAATTTTTTTTAAAAAAAACAAAACAAGAAAGTAAAACTGATATTATAACCTCTTGATTAGTGCATTCAATGATGCAATTTTCTTTTTTTTAACAAACTCCAACGGAAATGTTCACCCATTCTATATTTTATTCTTATCTGAAATACAAGAAGAATAATTGCACATTCAATTAAATTTTATAAAGTTGAAATGAGTACAAAAAAAATATTTTAATTTTTATTTCTATATTCCTTTTACAAAAAAGGATATTTGTGAAAAATTATATTATTATTTTTTTATTTTATTTTCTGAAATAATAATAATAATAAAAAAATTATAACTGTTTACTCGCAGGAAATCGCAAGAATACTTTGTAAAGTAATTTTATATTCCAAGTCCTTTATCAGTTTGTACGTGGAAATATGTATAAACTGAATTCTAAAAATAAATCTCTGACTCAGTATTTGAAGATTTTTATTAATTAAAATTTTTTTTTTTCACAACATTATTTCTAATCCATATAGTATATTAATTAGATATATTTGAGTAATTGATATTGTAATTTTTTTTTAATTTTTATATCAAAATTTGCTTAATTTGTTTTTTGTATTATTTTTAATTTATTTACAATAAACAGTAGAATAATTTCAATATAAAATTATTTTTTTTATTTTTAAAAAAATTGTTTAATGAATAGAATGAATTTTTTTATTTGCTGTTGTAAAATTATAATTTGATTTTTTCGCAGCTGTAAATGAAGCCGTTGGAGAAAATAATCCTAGTTCGCATTCTCAGTCTGAAGAGTCAAAACATAAAACAACTTCAACTTCGACAACTTCAACCACTACTATAACGCCTACGACTATTTCAACTATTCCTACTAAAACTACAAAAGCAACTACAACAACAACAACAACGACGACTACAACAACAACAACAACAACTACGCCGGCAACAACAACAACCACTGCAAAAACTACAACCAGTGGTCCAACAACAACAACTCCAGTTCCAGTTCCTACGGATAAAAAATGGTTTCTCAATGGAACAAATGAAACTTGTATTGTTGTTCAAATGGCCGCTCAATTTGAAATCACATATTCCTTAAATAAAACGGTAGGAAAAAAAATTTTATCTTAAAATAATTAAATTAAAAAAAAATTAATTAAAAAAAAATAAGAGAAAATAAAATTAAAAAAAAAGCTAATAATGAAAAAGAAAGGAAAGGATAATAGAAACTAAAATTTTCAAAAAGATTTTCCAGGAATTTTATTTGGTTTCTATTTTATTTCCAATTGGAAATTAATTGAATGTTTAATTTTTTTTTTTTATTTTCAGCATAAATTGACGCAAAAATTGAATTTACCAACAAATAATGTTGCTGTAAATGGAAGTTGTGGCGATAAAGAGCAAACTATTATTCTTTCATGGAATACGACAATGGGATCAAGTAACGATTCTTTTACACTTCATTTTAAAAAAAATGAAAAGAAATATACTCTTCATCATATGGAACTTGTTATTTTACCACAAGAATTACCAAAATATAATTCTACATCAAGTAAGAATAAATAAAAATAAATTAAAATTCAATTGTTTGTTAATTGTAAAATTTTTTCTCCTTTCTTTTTTTTAGATCAAACTTTAAAATTCGTACACGAGACTGATGAAATACCAACTGTATTAGGCAATTCATATCGTTGTATGAAAGAGACAAGTTTTAAAATGACCATGTCGGAAACGAATGATACATCAGCTATTGTCAAAATAAATGATGTTCAATTCCAAGCTTTTAAATCTGAGAAGAACACTGATTTCGGCCTTGGTATGTATAATATTATTTTTTATAATATAAATTATTGAATTTTTTGATTAATTTCTTTTTTTTTTGAGAATATTTTTTTGTCTAGAAATTATTTTTTAATAATCTCTGTTTTATTTAATAAAAATAAATTTAATTTAATGAAATTTTAAAGAAATTGATAATTTAGGAAAATTTTATTAATTAACAATATGATTTATATATAGCTGAAGACTGTGCATTTGATACACCAGACGTGGTGCCAATTGCTGTTGGTTGTGCCCTTGCAGCATTAGTTGTAATCGTATTGGTCGCTTATTTGATAGGCCGTCGACGTGCCCAAGCACGTGGCTATCTCAGCATGTAAATTTCAAAAAAAAAAAGAAGTCTCTTTAGATTTTTATATTTACTAATTATTAAAGTAAATCAATTATTCTGCCTAAAAAGTTCAACTTTACCAAAAGGCGTTACTTTTGTTAAGAAATAATTTTTTTTTTGAGATTCATTTTATACGAGAGTACTAATTCTGTTTTTTTTCTTTTTTTTTTTTAAGTGCTCATTCCATAATTTGTACTATTGATTATATATATATATAAATATTAGAAGTCGGAAATCCACGTGAGTTTTGTGGATTGATTAGTCATACGTAGAGAGCTGACGGCTAGTGAAAATTCATCCCACTTTTCTCGTATTTTGAATTTGTTGTAATTTTTGACAAATTGTAGAAAAAAAAAAATATTTATAACTATTTTTGTAAATTGAAATTGATTTTTGTGTGAATACTTTCGTAAATTCGCTAATTGACTAATCATTAATTATTTCTTTAAATTTTCCATCTGTGCAATTTTGAAAATTATCTATTTTTTTTTAAATAAACGTGACATTTCAAAATACGAATTGTCAAAAGGGGGTTTTGAATAAATACGTAAGATGTATTACCAGTATAGAGAACAGATATAAAGGAAGCAGGAATGTTGGAAGGGAAAAAAAAAAACACTCGTGAATTTCTAATATTTCCTTTCCTGAGATTTTTATCTTCGTATTTTCGTTCGTGAAGTTTGTAACGTCTTTTGATTCATTCAAAAATTGTAAATTCGTGTATGATTTAATCATAAAAAATTGCATAGGTATAGATATATATTTTTTTTTTTAAATACAAATTTGGACGATCTTTTTTTTTGAGCATTTTTGTTAAGCATTTTTTGTTCTGTTAAATTTTTTTCCTTTTTTTTTTTTAGAAAAACATTGCTTTTTCTCTGTATTTCCGGGTTGATCATAATTCACTTGATTCAATAGTCTGTCGAAATCAATTTGACTTGTGATATCTCGTGTTAGTAGAGTAGGAATTTTAATTAATTGCCCAGTGTGTGGCTTTTTGATTCAATTGAAATGTGATAAACTAATTATTATTTTTTGTCCTGTTTTTTTTTTTTGTAAGTATATAACCAGTTGTTAAATAAGACTGACTGAATCGAGCGAATGAAAGTCATCCACGGCCAAATGTGGACGGTAAACTTTGCGTAAAAATATGTACATATATATTGAAAAATAATATTAAAATGATAAACAAAAAAACAAACAGACTCTACTTTTCAATTAAAAAAATAATAATAATAATAATGTGTCATATTTGTGAAGTTACAACAAAATATCATTGTAAGAATCAGAAATTCTTTATATTTCCTGTATTCCGCGTAATATTATGGCAATAAATAATTGGAAAGTCAAACTATTTTATTTATTATTTCAAAATATTTAAAGTTTCATTCTATTTTAATTATAAAAAAGTTAATAAAAATTGTATTTAAGAATCATAAAATTATATGTAACAATTTTGTGTTTAAAAACGCGCGCCTCCAGTTGAGGATTTTCAACCAATCAACGGCTGAGAATACCGTGCGTTGATTGGCTGAATATTTCGAAAAGGCGCGCGATCAATTCGAATTTGAATTTTTCGATGAACAAAATTAATATAATTTTTTTTATAAATTAATAATTCATGGGAAAATTTATTTCGGTCTTTAAAGAATTGTTTCCAAATCTCGTCTAAATGAATATTATTCTGCGAATGGAAACATTCGAGGATGATTCTCCATCTGATTTGATAACAGCTGTCATATTATTATTATTATTTATGACGAACATAACCTAAAAAAAAAAAGTATATTGCCATAAGGAAGTGTTTATTTGTCACGTTTGTCACATAAGTGCATATAGCATAAATTAAAACGAAAATTGTTTAGTAAAAAAGATATATTTTTTTTTCTTTTTGTAAAAAAATAAAATGTAAATGAAATTTTTTTATCAGGAACACAAAAGGTGGAAGATATGTTTTGCCACGAAGACTTCACATTTGCATTTAAAAGTAAAGACGTGTCGATTGCATATTTATTTCAGTATAGAAAGAAATAGACAATAATTCTGTTATAAAAATAATATGAAAGAAAAATGAAGAGGAATGTAATTAGTGTTGTGAAATTTTTAATTCTCTCGATATTCACTATTTTTATTACTATTGTTATTTTTCGATTTTTGAGAAATTCGAAAATATCAGTTCAATCAGCTTCACAATTTGTGCAAATTGAAGAACCATTAATTAAAGAATTTAAGGACAATAATGAGGTATGTTATCGTTTCTTTTTTTTGAAATTAAATTTCCTTTTTAAAAAATTTTTATTTACATTTTATTATTTTTGCTTCTTGTTTAAATTTTTTTTAGTTACAAAAAAATGAAGAGAAAATTGATTGGCATGATTTAGAAAAAATACAACATGAATCAAAAAGAAAAGGAACTGGTGAACAGGGTATTGCCGCTTCAATTCCACCGTTTATGGATAATTTAAAAACAAAATTATACAGCGTTAATGGATTTAATGCGGCTCTAAGTGATGAGATATCGTTAAATAGATCAATTCCTGACATAAGACATCCACAATGTCGAAAAAAGAAATATTTAAAGAATCTTGATACAGCATCAATAATTATTTCATTTCATAATGAACATTTTAGTACATTAATGCGTACATGTTGGAGTGTTATAAATCGTTCGCCATCATCACTTTTAGAAGAGATTATTCTTGTTGATGATGCTAGTACAAAAATTGAATTAAAAGAAAAGCTTGATGATTATATTATTAAAAATTTTGCCAAAGTAAAAATAATAAGATTAAAAAAACGTTCGGGATTAATACGTGGACGTTTAGCTGGTGCAAAACAAGCAAAGGGAAGGATTTATGTTTTTTTAGATTCTCACACTGAGGCAAATGTTAATTGGTTACCACCATTATTGGAGCCAATAACGAAAAATTATAAAATTTGTGTTTGTCCATTTATTGATGTTATTGATTTTGAAACGTTTCAATATCGAGCACAAGATGAAGGCGCTCGTGGTGCATTTGATTGGCAATTGTATTATAAAAGATTGCCATTACTTCCCGAGGATTTGAAGAAGCCATCGGAACCTTTTAAAAGTCCAGTAATGGCCGGAGGACTTTTTGCAATTAGTGGTCAATTTTTTTGGGAACTTGGAGGCTATGATCCTGGATTAGAGATTTGGGGCGGTGAACAATATGAATTGTCATTTAAAATTTGGCAATGTGGCGGAGAAATGTATGATGCGCCTTGCTCGAGAGTTGGACATATTTATAGAAAATTCTCACCATTTCCTAATAATGCAAAAGGCGATTTCTTAGGTATTATATAATAAATTAATTAATAATTATTAATTTAGAAAAGAATTTTAAATAACTTTTATAAATTAATTTTCAAAACTTTTAGGCAGAAATCATAAAAGAGTCGCTGAAGTTTGGATGGATGAATATGCGGAATTTATTTACAAAAGATTGCCACATCTTCGTAAAATGGATGCGGGTGATTTGAGTGAACGAAAAAAATTACGTGAAAAACTTCATTGTCGCTCATTTAAATGGTTCATGGAGAATGTGGCATTTGATCTTGAAGATATTTATCCCTCAATTGAACCAGATGATTTTGCCTCAGGTGAAATAAGAAATATTGGTTTAAAAAATTATTGTCTCGATGCAAAAAAACGTAATCGCGATGAAGAAGTTGTTTTGGATTATTGTTTAAAAGATAATTTAAATATTATTGGAGAACAAAAATTTCGTTTAACATGGCACAAGGATATACGTCCAGATGGTCGTGATTTATGTTTAGATGTTTCACGTGGTGAAATTGAATCGCCAATTTCACTATATCCATGTCATGGCGGTATGGGTAATCAACTTTGGCGTTATAATGTTGAAAAAAAATGGTTAATTCATGGTAGCAATAATCCACGTTGTCTTGATGCTGATGTTGAGAGAAAAAAAGTATTTGTCGCAAAATGTGATTCATCATCATTAACACAAATTTGGAAAATAGAAAAAATAAATATTAAATCAATAAATAATTGGGAAAAAATTGGACCAAAAGAGAGACAATAATTTTCTTTTGCAATTTTCATTATAATAATTAATTATTAAATTTTTTCCGTTTTTAGTATTTTACAATTTACAGAAAAAATGTTTCAAAATAAGAAATTTTCAATGATAGATTAAATATAATATTAAGTAACTGTAAATAATAATAATAAAAAAAAAATTTCTTGAAAGTTTTTATTAACTTTTATAATATAAAAATATTTTTATTCGTAAATTTCGAATTTTGACACATTTCTTCTAATTATAATACTAATCAGTAAAATTTACTATTTAATTATTCTCTAAAAGTATTATAATGCATTTTTTTTTTTAGAAATTAAAAAGATTTCAAGTATTACTTAAAAAAAAAATATTAAGGAAATTTTGATAAAGTTTCAGCATTTCCAAAATAAAACCTTATTGTCTTAAAAAATAACAAGATATCAAATCAGGTGAATTATTATTTTTTTAAGAACTTATCAAAAGTCTCAATGAGATTCTTTAAGATTAAATTTTTCAGATTTATTTTTTTTTTAAAGCAAATATTTACTCAATTTTAACGAGACTTGATAATAAATTTCAAGACTTTTTATAAGACTTTTTTTAATGGTTTTGGATTTTTATGAAATTACATTAGAACAATTATCTGAGAATTATAACGAATATCTATATATACATATATATATATATATAATATAATAATATTATATAATTATAATGAATTATTTATGACAAATTATGTGCTCAAAAAAAATATATGAAATATTATTACCACTTTGTACTAGTCATTAATAGTGCAAAAAAAAATTGTACAATAAACGATGTAATTATTTTAATTATAAAAATTAAAAATACACAATTATAATTAATTGTTTACATTTAAAATTAACTTTTGAAATGAAATTGCATTTTTTTTTTTTTGTAGAGATTTTTTTCTATTTTTAGAAAAGGGCACTAATGAAAAATATGTGAAATTAAATTTGAATTTTTTCTGTTTTATTTACTATATAAATAATTGTGCCTTAAATGAAGGAAATTATTCGTAAATATTTAAAATATAACAAGTGATAATACATAAGGCTGTTGATTAATTAATAATCAATTACATCGGCTGTTAATTATTGTCTAACTTATTGAACTATTTGTATTTTTTAATTATTACTATTTTCTACATACTATAATATGTAAAATATCATCAACATATCGTAAGATATTAATAAAATTATAATAAACTTAAATTAATTTTGTTTTTTTAAAGGTTTTCCCAATATTATATATTAAATTTTAAAAATTAATATTTTTTTAAACAAAAGAAGAAATATTTTATGAATGAGGTTCTTTTTTTTATATAATTTAAAGCCGACTAAATTTGGATTCATGGCAAATCATATTTTTAGTAACTTCCTTTATGGATCTGCATCCTAAAATGTTAATAATGAATTGTATTAATTAAAATTTAATTAATTAATGAAATAATTGAAATTCTTTTTTTTAAATTATTTTAATTAAATTAATAAATAAAATATTTGCAAAAAAAAGAAAAAATATCGTAACATTTTTTTTCGACAAACCTGTTAAAGTAAACATGAGAATAATATCTTTTTTCATTATTTCCAAAATATTTTTTGCTCCTTTTTCACCTTCACAGGCCAAGGCCCATAATATCGGTCTTCCGAAAAGTGCCTCAAATTGATAAAGATAAAAATAAATAATGATAAGAATAAGAAGAAGAAGGGAAAAAAAATTATTTTACCATTTTAGCTCCCAAGGCAAGGGCTTTAAAAACGTCAGATCCTTGAGAAAATCCACCATCGACATAAATTTCAACCTTTTCTCCAACTGCCTTAACAATTTCCGGCAAAACTTCAATCTAGTTTAGGAAAATTTCTTCTTTTAATTGCCAGAAATTTTTAATAATTTAAATGATTTTTAAATAATTTAACAATTTAAGTAATTTAAATTTAATAATTTAATAAAATGAATTTAATTAATTGAATTACAATTTATTTTTTATATAATTATTAAATTAATATTCATTGAAACGTACCGTTGCAGGTGCACCGTCAGTTTGTCGACCTCCATGATTTGAAATTAAAATTGCATTCGCACCATATTTTATCGAAAGAAGAGCATCTTCAGCAGTCAATATTCCTTTTATTACAATAGGTAGAGATGTATGTCTAAAAATTAATTAATTCCATTATAAAAATTTATTTTAAATAATAAACAATTTTTTAATTAAATAATAATTTCTTTAAAGCTTTATGGCAATTTTTTCCGGAAAAGATATAAAACAGTTTTAAAGAAATTATAATTTATTATTAAATTGAGACAAAAAAATCAATTTTTGTCATTTTAAAAATTATTTTGAAAAAAAATATACTTTTTCAGCCACGAAATATCTTTCCACGAGAGCGATGAATCCAAACGCAGTGAATAGGGATAATTATTATTGAAACTATTTTCCAATGAATAGTCTTCTAAGTTTGCAAATCTGAAATAATAATAAAAAAAACATAGGTAAATTAAAAAGAGAATGAAATTAAAAAAATTTGCCAAAATTCTTCCTAAACTTTATATGTGGAGGTTTCTTGAAATTATTTCGTAATTCATTTCTTCTATTTCCCGCTGTTGGCGAATCGACTGTTACTACTAATGCTTTGTATCCAGATTTTTCCGCACGACGCACCAAATCAAGAGTTAATTTTCTATCAGGAAATACATAAATTTGAAACCATTTAATGCACTTTGGAGCCGCTTTCGCAACTTCTTCTATTGAAGCTGATGATAATGTCGAGAGAGTGTAAATTATTCCCGCTGCTTCTGCGGCTGAAAGAAAAATAATCTTCAATTATTCATATTAATTTTTAATAAAATTTTTTTAAATTAAAACATAAATTTTAAATAATAATATTAATTATTAATGGAAATTTTAAATAATTATAAATCATAAAATAAAAAAAAATAATAAAAAAAATTGTAAATGCATTAAAAATTTAACTAAATTTTTTGAATAATTTGAAAATTAAATATTAAACCTTTTGCATTGGCACATTCGCCATCGGGATGGGCCATTTTTTGCATAGCTGTTGGTGAAATTCCCAAAGGCATTGAAACTTTTTCTCCCAAAATAGTCGTGGTGATATCAACATTCTTAACATTCCTCATCATTCTCGGTAAAATTCGAATTCTACAAAAAAGTTACCATAAAAAGAATATTTAAAATTTTTCATTTTACGAATAAAATTAATTTATGAAATTAATAATTAATATTTACTTTCTAAAGGCTTCTCGATTCCATTTTAATGTACTTTCTTCTCCTGATCCACCTCGGAAAAAATCTCTAATATTCGGCGACAGAAGATTTAGAGCCTTTTCCTCATAATCCTTGACACAAACAAAATTCATCATTTCCTGAAATAATAAATTCCATTTAGTATTTGTAGTTTTTAATTATTATCTTTAATTTTTTAAAATATTTTTTAACTTGCCTTTTAAATAAAAATCTTGTTCCCTTGACGAATATTAAAATCTCTTTGTCGAGAATTTGTCTTCAATTGTAATACATAAGCTGACGATTTTTTTAAAACAGAACATCAAACAGATTATAGTATCAAATATGTTTGTAGAAAAAAAAAAAATGATTCTGATAACAATTTTTTTTTAGCAATGTCAATATTTTATGTCATTTTTTTTAATGTCAAAATTTTTGTTTTGTAATATATTTCCTTTGCCATTTGTATGATTCTAAATTTAGATTTTTCCTCATTTTAAAATTATTTTAATAATTTTTTTTTTTTTAATTTATAAAAGAAAAATTAATTTTATACTTTTTTATTCTATTTTTTTATTCAATGAAGTACATAAAATGTTAAAAGATTTTAATTTTATTTAATAATTATTTTATAAATGACTGTATTTCGATTCATGACAAACCATTGTTTTAGTAACTTCCTTTATAGATCTACAACCTATAAAAATATGAAAAATTATTTTACTTTTTGGTTTTTAAAATTTTTGCAACATAATCGTAAAAAAGAAAAATAATTTTTTTATTTTTTACAATACCTGATAAAGCAAATGTGAGATGAATTTCTTTTTTCAATAATTCTAATAGATTTTTTGCTCCTTTTTCACCTTCGCAAGCCATTGCCCATAACATTGGTCGTCCAATAAATGTCTGAGAATTTAAATATTTATTTATTTTCTTCATATTTATTAGAAGGAAATTTATTAAAATTTTATTTACCATTTTTGCACCCAAAGCAACGGCTTTAAAAACATCAGTTCCAACTGTGATTCCTCCATCAATATAAATTTCCAATTTATCACCAACTGCTTTTACTAATTCTGGTAATACTTCTATCTACAGAACAATTTTTTTTTTCTTTTATAAATGTTATTTTCATGGAAAAACTTCAGTTTTTTTTTAATTTTTATAAAAATTTATATATTATTTCTTTATATTTAATTTTTTTAAAAATTTATTACCGGTGCTGGTACTCCATCAATTTGTCGAGCACCATGATTTGATACTTGAATTGCACTGGCTCCATATTTAACAGATAAAATTGCATCTTCTACAGTTAGAATTCCTTTAATCACAACCGGAAGACGAGTTTGACTACAGACAAAAAGAATTTCAATTCACTGAAATTATTTTCAAAATTAAATTAATTTTTCAGAAAAAAAAAATTTGATACCTTATCAACCAAGTGACATCATTCCACGAAAGTGATGGATCAAAAAGTTTAGAAATTGATTCATCATTCAGCTTATTTTTTTTTACATAATCATCAACATTGGCGTATCTGAAATCAAAAATAGAAATCAAAAATATTAATTCAGTTAAAAAAAAAAAAATGTTTCTTCTTTTGCTTTTCTGTGAAAAAAAAATATTTGTCTTACTAAAAAATAAGATTAATTTAAAAAAAAACATACTTTAAATGAGGAGGGAGTTTAAATTTATTTCTCAATTCATTTCGTCTGTCTCCAAAAATTGGTGCATCGACTGTTAAAACAACAGCTTTAAAACCAGATTTCTCAGCTCGTTGAACGAGTTCCAATGTTAATTTTCTATCGAAAAATACATAAAGTTGAAGCCATTTAATTGCCTTTGGTGCGGCAGCCGCAACTTCTTCTATACTGCTCGTTGATATTGTCGAGAGAGTAAAAATTGTTCCAGCTGCTTCGGCAGCTAGAAAATAAATAATAAAATAAAATCTTTTTTTTTTCACAATTTTTGAATAATTTGAAAATTAAATATTAAACCTTTTGCATTTGCACATTCACCATCAGGATGGGCCATTCTTTGCATAGCTGTTGGTGCAATTCCCAAGGGCATCGAAACTTTTTCTCCCAAAATAGTCGTGGTGATATCAACATTTGTAACGTCTCTCAACATTCTTGGCAATATTCGAATCCTAAAAAGAAAAAAAAAAATAAGTATAGCCTGTATATAAAAATTATATTAATAATAATAATAAAAAAATAAATAAATTATTATTATAATTTTTTCTATCTAATCAGTTGAATTTTTTTTTTATTCATTACATAATATTAATAAAATTAGTCAGGATAAAAAAATGGTAATTAGATAAATAAAAAAAATTTTTAATTTCAAATTATATTATTATGAATAGATTCATTGTACCAACTTTGTGAAAGCTTCTTTATTCCACAATAAAGAACGTTCTTCTCCAGCTCCATTGTTATAATAATCTCTTGCAACGGGAGTCAAAATCTTCAAAGCCTGCTCCTCATAATCCTTGACGCAAACAAATGGGACCATTTTTTTTTTTCTTGAAAATTAAAATAAAATAATAAAAATTTATTCTATCAATAAATAAATAAATAATCAATTAAATACAAGAAAAAGTTTTTCTTTTATAATATAAATTCAATCTACATTGAATAAAAAAAATTAATTTCGTAAATTTTGTGCAAAGTTCACAATTATAATTTACTGATTATGATTGAATCAGTGTTAGGAAATTCAAAGTTGATTAATTGGATTTGATAATATTGTCTTTTGTTCGAATAACAAAGAAGGAATTTTTACTTGTTTCTTGACAAATAGAAATTTATTATTTTAATACAGAAAAAGAGTTAAAAATATAAATCAAAATTTCTTTTAATTATTAAATCAAAGAAAATAAAAAAATAATTCAAAATTAAATAAAAATAGTTGAATTTCTACATTTAAATTATGTAAAACAATATTAAAATAGATAATTAAAAACTTACATTTCGAAAATAATTTAATAGAAAATTAATCCTTTAGTGTGTGTCTGTCAGAATCCAAAAAGTGAACTGAGAAGTACTTCTGAAACTGAATTTCTGATAACAAATTACGTCGATATAATTATGATCCTCATATTGGCAATGGCATTGAATAATAAAAAAATACATTTCACTGATAACAGCATCTCGCATCTAAGAACACTATTACTATTTATTTTTTTTTTTTCACAAAACAAATACCTCAAAATTGACATAAAATATTTAATTTTTTTCTTAATTTTTACATTTCTAAAATTAAATTTCTAAATAAAAATTTAATTAAAATAACTGAAACTTAAACTCAAAATCAAAAAAGTAGAAAATCAATTTTCAATTAAAAAGAAGAAAAAGTGTTTTGATTTAACATTTTTATTACATTCGTTAGAAATAATACACAAACGCTATAGTTTCGTTTCCAAAATAAATATATAGGCTTACTTATTTCGGAGCTAAAACCTTTTTTGGCCGACACCTGACACCCATTAATATGCATATATTCGTCAATGATAAATTGTCGTGGATAAATAATCAAATATAATATTCGAAAATAATGAATGCAAAATATTTTATATATAATATATATGCGGTATGCGTTAATAAAATCATTAATAATAATATAATAATAATAATAATAATATAATAATAATAACACCAGGTTACAGGGCCGGCCTAACGAGGTTATCCAGGCAAAGTAAAATGCGTACATAAATGCGCTCTATTAACAAATGTTACAAAAATGACGTAATTATTATACTTTTTTTTTACACGTTCCCTTTAAATTCACTTTTTTTTCTTTTTTCATTTTTTTTATCATTTTTTTTTTTTTTCATTTTAAACGGGAAAAATCTACACAAGGACGATGATTGCTGGGCGGAAGCCACCTGCGCAATTTTCACTTACACTCGCGATCATTCATTTTCACTTTCATTCATTCTCATTTTTTCTTTAAATTTTTTTTCGTTTTTCTTTTTTTAATTATTATTATTTTTTTTTTCTTCTTCTGCTAATTAAATTATTATTAATAATAATAATTATTATTATTTATATCGCCAATCGTCGGCAGTACATATCTCAATGTAATTTTACCAGTCATACGTTGTATGACTTGATAAAAATTATAGAACCCTTATAAAAAAAAAAAAAAAAAAAAAACCAAAAATTCAGTTCTCCTCTTTTCATTTAATTAAAATTAAATTATTTTCGAAAATTAATTTCAATTAATTAAATGAAAAGTGGGTTACCAAAAGATGTGCTTAAAATGCACTTGGCTTGAACGCATCGTTGATAAATATAGGCACAAAGAATAAATGTTATTCTCTGACCTTATATCAAATCAAAGATCAAATGGTAACAACGATATAAAGTTATTTTAATTGCAAAACAAACTCTAAATTCTTTTTTTTTTTTTTACTACTCTTTCGTCCGTTTACTAGTTTTGCGTTTTATACGCGTATCGTCGCCTTAGGAACGCTCTAGGATCTTGTTAAGATCAAAAACTGTCTTAAATGTTTGTTTACAAATATTATCTATAATAATAATTTTGCAATGCAAAATGCACGATATTTAATTTTCTTTCTTTATTTCAATAAAAAAAAAAAAAAAATTGTCGACAAAAAATTTTTAATGTCAATAAATAATTTTCACAAATTTCCAATGTCAATGGAATTTCAAATAAATTTATGCATCTAGATAATAATTTTTATGTCAATGTTAATTTTTAAATCAAATTTTGTAAAATAAAAATAATATAAATAAAAAAAAAAACCTAATCTCTTTAAATTTCTTTTTTAAAGAATTTAAAAAGAAAAAATTACACGGTGTTTCGAATACATTGATTTACAAAAATAATAAAAAAAAACGAAATTTCAATAGATTTGTAAATTTAATTAAATGACAATTCATTCATATAATTAATTAATATTATTAATTAATTCATCAAAATTTTTTCCCGAAAATTCGTGATTTTTTTTTAAAAAATTAAAAATTCGTGTTTCTTTTTCTTGTTAAATTATAAAATAATATAAATTTTTAATGTTTTTTTTTTTAATATTATTATATCAACGTTTCGAAAAACCCATAAAGTAAAATTTCGATAGACAAAAATCAAAAATTGAATATTCAATTTAATTTGTCGACATAAAACGACAATATTCTTATAAATAAAAGAAACGTGCAAATTACATTTTTCAAAACCTACATGAATATAGGCAACAATCGAGATTTACTTATAATTTAATAATAATAATAATAATAATAATATTCATTTTTTTTTTTGCACGCAGCACGGTGGCTTCATCCGAATGTAAAAGCGATCAATACAATTATTGTATGGAAATATAGATTTCATTATTTACAAAAGGGATTACGTGGTACATGTAAGAGCAAAAAAAAAAAAAAGATTTTCAGAGGTAGAATTAAAAAAAAAACCCGAGGTTTTCCCATTTTTTTTCTTTTATATTTCACTAAATTGAAATAATGTTCCAAAACAGTCAATTTGAAAAAGAAAAAAAAAACCTCGAATTTTTTCCTCCTCTTGAGCTTCTTTTTTTTCAGATTCGCGTCGATATTATAAAAGTCTTGTAAGTGATGATCGAAGATTAGAGACAAAAAAAAAAGACTAGTCATTCGCAATTGAATCGCTGCTGTTAACGAAGGAACGAAAGAGTTTTCCTTTTTTTTTTTCTTTTCGTGGAGAGTCATAATTTTTTTTTTTTTTTTCTGAGAATTTTTCCGTTCACACATTTCTATGTACAATAATAAAAATAAATTGACACATGTCACTTTCTTTCGAAACGCAAAAAAAAAAAAATTTTCCTGTCAATTTCGAACTGATAAAAAGAAAATGTAACGGATAAATTGATTTTTTTTTAAAAATACGCTTTGGTAAAGAATTGCGTTCTCTCTTGTAGAAATTTTTGTTTTTTAAAATGAAATTATTTTCAAAAGGCAAATAAGTCGAAATGACGTTTATTTTTTTACTATTTAAAAACTTTGTACCAAAATCAACTTATTCGGAGATTGACTAGAGTTTCTGTCAATGGAGAAGAAAGAAGAACTTATTTGCCTTTGATTATAATTCCCTCCCATTAAATTTGACTTTTCTCAACAATCACACTCCATTTTCGTCCCAGCAATCTCAAAAAAAAGAAAAAAAATTCTCTCATCGGGCTAATCAGGCATTTTAAAAATTCCTTTCAATCTGACATTCCTGGAAAATTTGTTATGATTTTTTTCACAATATTTTCCTTTGAAAAATTTCGTGTCCCGTTTTTTTTTTTTTTATTTTTAATAACACTAATTTCTAAGGCATAAGAAAATGACACTAGTTTCATGACACAAGGGACCGCCTTTTTTTCTTTTTTGTTTTTTAAATATTAAATAATTGTCAACTATAAATCTCTCTCTCTCGCTCTCTTTCGTTCAATTCATACTCATTCACTTTTTTTTTGTTTTTTTTTTTGTTTTTTTTTATTCTCTCCACTATTTATATAAACTGAGAGAAATTGTGTGTACAAAAACCAGGATAGCGCCTCGTCTCGTATTATAATATAATTATCGGGTTTTTTTTTATTTATTTATTTATTTTTTATCACATATAAAAAGCGGTTGTGTATTTACATACAAATATCGAAATGAGGCTTTTTTTCTCGATATTTTAGGGATACCGGATGCGCGTGGATTTAGCAATTATCGAATAATGTTCGTGATTTTAAAAATTCCTGGTGTTTTTTTTTTTTAAGATGATTTCTTTTTATTAGATGACTTTTTTTTTAGCACGAACTTTGTGTTTTTTTTTACCAAATACGTTTCACTTTGCCTTTTTGCAATATTACATGACTTCGTTTTTCAATTGATAATTATAGAATTACATATTTATATAATATTCTATATATAACATACGTTATAAATTAAATCAGAGCCATGGTCAATTGACAGTCAAAAATTTGCGCTTTTTTTTTTGAAAAAAAAAACAAAAAAAAAAAACAAAAAAACGCAACCATAGCTCCGGTAACAACATTATTCCCTCAAAAATACTTGCGAAAAAAAATGAAATTATTATTCTCGACTGTCATTTTTTTTTCTTCTTAGATAAAATTTAAATTCTTAACAACATCTGACAACTCTCGCGCCGCGATTTTTTTTTTTTTTTTGAAACGATTGAAAGAAAAAAAATATAAGATAGAAAACACGAAGAAATGTCATTTTCAAAGGAAAATTTCGACCGCTCGTTTTTTTTTTTAAGTACAAAATTGACGGGTGTTTTTTTTCCGGTTTTTATTTTTCTGTGTTCAATTAGAAAGATTCATGTGCTACGGCAACAAAGCGGTGCTTTTTTTTTCCTCAAAAGCCTTTGGCCTTTTCAAGATATTTAGAAAATCTATTCAAGTATTTTTTATTATAATAACAATATGTTCACATTTACATAAGTGTACGGAGAATCGTGCTTATTTTTAGTCCTTTTCTTATTTAGCAGTGTGAATGATAACACTATTCGCTATACATTTATACAACCGTTTTTTTTCTTCCTTTCTTTACCTCTCTTTCTCTTTCTTTTTTTTTTTATTCTTGTTCATTGTCACAGTTTTTTTCGCGATGAAAAAACACAAGTGATTTTTTTTTTTTGTTTTGCACAGCACAAGAAAAAAAAAATTATACGTTACCATATGGTTGTCCGCCAAGAATAAATTACGACGTTAAACCAAATATTGATGATATTCCTTTAGGTAAAAAATATTTATCAAGTTCAATCAATGGGAGTTCTTTCCCATTGGGCTGAATCACAATTTGGAGGTGCATGTGAAAATGTTTTGTGAATCGGCGAAGGTCCCGGTTGCGATTGTTGTTGATTCTCCTGCATTTCCTCGCCCTCCGTCACTTCGATTTGAAATCTCCTTTATTAAAAAAAAAAGGTAAAAAAATTAATACATCAAATTTTTTATATTTTTCTTTCTAATATTTAAATTTTAATTAAATATTTGTTATCTAATATCAATAATTTAAACATTTAATATTAATAAATTAAATATTTAATATTAATAATTTAAATATTTGATATTTAATATTTATTTATTGAAAAATATAAATAATTTCCATACATACATATAATTTTTTTAATTATTCAATAAAAATAATTGAAAAAATCTTGGATTTAATAATAAAAATTATCTTCAAATATTTTAACAAATAATTGAAAATATCATCAAATTATTCAATCAAATGATTGAAATTATCTGCAAATAATAATAATAATAAAAAAAAAATTAAAATTATCTTTAAATATAATGCTGTAAATAAAACAATTGGAATTATGTTGAAAAAATTATAAAAATTAAATTTTAAATTAAGAAGAGTAGATTACACTTTTCATTTCCAAATTTGCATCATCCATTTTCAAATTAAAAAGTGTTTAAAACCTTTGTTGTAAATAATTATTTCCTATATTTATTTACATTCACAAAAAAAATAAAAATAATTGATTCAAGAAAAATATAATGAACTTGTAAAGTAAATACAATAATGAAAAAATTAAATTACTAATAGAATATTCAATTAATAGAATGATTATTTTAAAGCAACTGAAATCTTTTTATAAATTAATTTTTTCACAGTTTAATTTTTTAAATAATTAATTTTGATTGCTAATAAATTAATAATTATGAAAGCAAAAATTGATAATTATTAAAAATTACTCACGTTACGACTGGACACGATGATAAATCCTTCATAACTCTCGTAGTACCACGAGGTCCATAAATCTTTGGAAGTCGATCTCTCCTTTGTTTTGATGTTGTTGTCGTCATATTTTGTTCACCCTCTGATTCCTCGCTTGATTCACCAGCACGATAATTAATACCAACAAAATGTGGTCCTTGACTACGTTCACCTTCCGATTCAGTGCTACGATAATTTTTCGAATCAAATTGAATTGACTGTTGCTGCTGCTGTTGTTGTTGTTGTTGTTGATGTTGTTGCTGCTGCTGTTGCTGTTGTTGTCCACGGCTTCTTTCATTTTCCATTTCATCACCACCACGGAAATTTTTTGATTCAAATTGAATTCGTAGTTCACGATTTCGTTCAGAATCCTGTGTTCTTTCTGTATCATCGACACATTCTTCATTTGGTTCTTCAACTTCTTGTTCATCCTCTGGACAAAGTTCAAAAGCACGTTCCAATGTTTTCTTTGCGCTATTACTACGCTCTAAAAAATAGCCATTCGTCGATTCATTTGATTGTGTTGGCGGTGACCAGCCATGATTATAGGCGTGTGTATATGGTGCCGCTGATGTATACGGTCGCTGCTTAAATAAAAATTTTCATTCAATTTCAAAAAAACAAAAAAAATAACTTGCAAATATATTAAAAAAAAATTGTTATTCGTTAAAAAAGAAAAAAAGCAATTTAAAATTAGTTTTTAAATAGAATAGTAAAAGAAAAAACCTTGTCGAGTTCATCTTGAAGCCAGTCGATGGCGTGTACCCATTTTCTTTTTAAATCCTGATTCCCTTGGAGAACAGCGTGCGCTGGTCTGCATTTACTAAATAATTGCACCATACACTTGATACACTGATATGCACGCTTTTGATAATGATTTTTACTTCTTTGAATAGTTTCAAATAAACCTTCTCGTTCCTCAGGAACACCTGTTAATTGAGAAAAAATTCAGAAGGATTTTTCAATTTTTTTTATTAAAATTAGAGATTATTGTAGAGAACATTTTTTTTTTTTTTAAGAGAAAAAATTAAAGTTAATTTTTAAATAGAAAAGAAAATTATAAATGATTAATAAATATTGTACCTTTGAGAGCATTGTGAACCCTGTGATTTTGCCACGAATCTTCCATTAGTAACATAGCGAGAAGAAGATCTGTATGATGTCTAAGCTCATGTGTATAAGCATATCCAATTTGCCAAAGTAATTCACTTAAAACAGATCGTGATAAGTGAGGATTTTCCCAACAACAATACTGCAATAGTTTCACTGTATCTTCCGTTACATTTGCGTCTTCTATTAATTTCTTTATATAACTGTAATAAAAATTCCCCTTTCTAATAAATATATAATATATTTATAATAAATATTAAAATATAGTTAATTAAAAAAATTAAATGGACAGTAAAAAATAAAGAAGAAAAAGTTAATTTTTTTTGCTTCAAAAAATTACCTCGTTCTTGAGAAAAGAATTTCTTCGGCTTGCGATTGAATTGGCATAATATATTCCGATTGACAATCCTTATCGCCATATGGATTTGGCAGAGGCAATGTATTGTGACTCGATCGTGTTTTTGAAGAAACATCACAGCATCGAATAAGCATACTGACAACTTGATGAAGTTTCGTTAATTCAGGATATTGATATTTTATTGTCGGACCTGGACCTTCATCAATTGCCACCAACATAAACGTTACTGGCACGTTGAGCTAAAAATTGTCAATTTAGCCATTTTTAATTATACTATTAATTACTGTAATAAAATATTCGTTAAAATTTTCTTCACTCACCTTAAGAAGCTGAGCTTTTTCGTTTAAACCAAGTGTGGCGTATGTGTGAAATAACGTAAAATAATGAGGAAGATGACGTCCATGATCGGAAATTTCTCGATGCAATAACGAAAGCACTGAATGCAACAAATGATCACTCAACGTTGCATTTGGATCGTAGAGTATTGCTGTAAAGAATAATTTTTGTTTTATTTCTATTGTAACAATATTTATTATATTGTTTTTTCTTTTATTAAAAATTCACTTACAAGGCGCATTGAGAATAGGAGGTCCGCATGGACCGTCTTGAAGTGAAAAATGTGCTAGCAAAACGATTGTTTTCAAAAATGCTGTTCTCACCTCAGTACTCGGACAACTTAAAAGATACTCGCAAAATCTGAAGAGAAAAGAATCATAGAATTAAACTAAATTTCTTTTTTTAGTCACTACAATTGATTTAAAATTGAAATTTAATTGAAGCCAAATTTTTAATTTTTCAATTAATTGTCGAATTAACAATTTTTTTAATTACCTGTGTGGATGACTGAATAGAATGTTGTGAGCAAACCATGCGCGAGCATCTTTGCTATTTCTCAAATGAAGGCACAGAATATCGTACCAATCAGCTGCATTACCACGTAGACTTTTTTTAGTATGAAAACCCGTGTAAAAAAGAAATCTTGACTCCAATTGAACAGAGAGCATATCTAATTCCTCAATTTCAGAACTCTGAAAACAAAAAATAAATAAATATGAATTGAAACTAATTGGTTAAATAATAAAAACAAAATTCTCACCAGTTTATCATTGGGACTTTGTCTATTATATGTTGTATTGCACGCAACAAGTTTTCTAATAAACTGAAAATATTCAGAATTAAATTGATTTCTGTTGTGCATAAATTTAATATTCTGTTTTCTAACACTGTACTCGATTGCTGGTGGCATTTTTGTTACTCCTAATTTAGTATCTACAAAAAAGACAATTATTAAATTATAAAAAAAATAGAAAATACAATTAATTAATTTTTCCATAACTCACAAAGTGACAATTCGTTAACACTTTTCGTAAGGCAGTTTGGTTCCACGTCTAGTCTCGTATAAAAAAGCATATAGGCATTCCACCATCGCTTTTGCCTTCTGTAACTCATTTTTTTCAACATATGATCAAAAACTTCTCCCATATAATCACCACCAAAACATTGTGATTTCATTTCTTCTTCCTCTTCCATTTTACATTCCATTACATCGCCATCGTCAAATTTATACCATTTGGCTGTGCCATCATTTTGTCTACAATCAATCATTTTTTTTTTTCAGAAAAATTGAATTAACATTTAAAATAAAAAATTTTTTTTACCTATGTAAAATGTAAGAATAATAATGGCCTCCACTGGCTTGTCCACTATGAACGACAATACCGCTTAATTGGTACTTTGTACATGTTCCTTTAGCCGCCTCTTCATAATCGTAGTCTATTACCTCTCCTTCGAGTTTTGCAAGACCCGAAACAGTATAAGGTTCCATATCCAAGTCTCGCGGGAATTCAAAATAATCATTAAATTTAATTGCGCAAACACGTTCGAAATCGTATTCGAATCTTTTTAATTGAATTGCTAGAACCGGTGGTAATTTTTTCACACACAACCTTTTCACAGTGACAACCTTAAAATGAGAAATTGGAAAAATATTTTTAAAAAAACAATTAAGCGCCATAAAAAATAAGTAAATAAAAATAAATACAATAAAACAATTAATTTTAATTTAAAATTAAATATTTAATTGAAATATTAAAAAAATGAACTTTACTTTTTTGTTGCACTTATCACAATGATAAGCATCCGCGCCTTCAAGAAGCTCTCCTTTCACGTATTGCTCTAAAGAATCTAATAAATTTGAGTGATTTCTAATATCGACACTTATTACGCTAAACGGTTCTTCTTTAGAATATCTGTAAATATCAAAAAAAGTGAAACAGTTTTCATCGAGAATTCATTTCGAAATTAAAATAAAAATGTCAATTACCTATGGGGACAGCCTTTACAAATTTTCTGATCACTATAAGAACCTCCGAGTATTTTTCCCATTATTTGTTCATGTCCCAATGCTTTTAGCGCCTCATCTAAACTTTCTACTAGACTCATAAAAAATTCTACTGCGTCCTGTTGTTCTCTAAGATTAACGGGTTCACCTTGAAGTCTACATTAGAAACATTAATTACAAAAATTAAAATTTCAACGAATTTATTTAGTAATTTTTTCTAATTATTAAATTTAGAACTCACTTAAAATGTTTCCAAAGGCCACGTGGTATATAGTATTGAAGTTTACTGTAGGCCAAATGTCCAAAAATTGCCTGCACTTGCTTAAGAATTCCAATATTGTATTCTTTACGTGATTCATCGGCACCACATTTTTCTTCATTACTATCATTATCATTTGTTTCGATTGTCTGATCGCTTTCAATTCTCTCATCACCTGAGAAATCTTCATTTAAATCAATAGCCGCACCCTCAGCAGCCAATAGTCCAATACGAATACTTTCAACCATATAAAGTTGTTGTAACACTGAATTCATATAACATGTTGCACCGGCATTTTTTAAACCAACAAAACCTTTAATTGGCCGTGGTCCCACTGGTGGCATATAATCCCACTCGCATAATGGTTCATCTTTATCAGAATAAAACATTTCAGTGAGCATTGTGACTAGAAGTTTCATATTTGGAACACAACCAAAACAAAGGCTAACGAGTAAATCAAATGCGGCGCTCATTGTTTGTGGCGTTGTACAAACTGGACACGCTTGCAATCTATTTAATTCGCCTGTACTTCGTAATTGAAGCATTGAACGCGAAGCGGGAAAAATGAAATCCTCAACGAGTTCCTGAAAATCAAAATTTTTTTTACAAACTGTAAATTTATTTAGTATTCAAACTTACTTTTATTAAATTGATGCCACGTGTTTCATCAGAGCCAAGTTCGTATTTTTTACTCGGCGGTAAAAATGACAATAACTCCTTAGTAATACCAAGATGTCCTTCAAGAACGGCTTCATCAATTTGTGTATCACCTGTTTCTTTAACATTGTCACGTATTTTTTTCAACCATATTATTTCAATATTTAAAAGATTTTCAACAGTTGTAATTGGACACGATGACATATCGGCATAATTTAAAAGACGACAAAGTAATTGAAAATATTCATGACTTTGTTTTGCATTTTCCATTACTGTTGTTTTTAAAACTGTAAATAAAAGTGTAATGGCAAATTGTAATGGCTGATGTCCACTGCTACACCATGTTGATATTAAAAGAAATTGTTCAGCAGCCGCTATTCGAACTATTCTCGATGTACTTAATAAAACCATATCAATGAAAAATGTCTGCCACATTCTTTCCAAATTTGTTAATGTTTCCAATGCCGATGGATTAAGAACCAATGCTATTGTTAATACCTCCAAAGCTTCCTTGCACACTGAAATTAAAAATCAAATTACTAAACATTGAAAAAAAATTCAATTTTTTTTTAGAGACGAATGAATTCTATATTTTGTTACATACCTAGAACATCATTATTATCCGGTGATCTTTGTTCCCTTTGATTGATTTCATGTTGCGCGTGAAGTTCCTCAGTTGTTGCATTAATATTATTTAAATTACCCGTCGATGCCGCCCAAGCAAGACGAATAATTGCTCTTATTGTCGCAATATCGGGCAATTCCCATCGAACAGCTTGTTTAAATAATTGTTGACAACGTTCAGTTCCCAAATTACCAATCACTAATTTCATTGCTAAAACTTCACCTAAATTTGCGGCAACATTTCTCAACATATATTCCGTACTATGATTAGTGACATTTTGTAATGATTGTTTTAAAACAGTTATTGCTTTTTTATGTTTTAAAAATTGATGATCACGTTCACGATTTTCAGAAAAATTTGTCTGCTCCTCATCGTCAAGTGTAAGTACAACAACATTACCAATGACAGTCAATAATAATTTACATAATTTTAAAACAGTCAAATAAGCCGATCTTTTTGTTGTCTCATCGGCATTAGGGAGAAATTTATTTTTCGTCAACATTTCAAGTATCACTCCAGCCTCACCACTTTTTATAAAATTATTTTGAAAATTATTTGCACGCTCTGACATTGGATCTAATGCCGGCATCAATAATGTATACAACACTTCTAAATTGTATAAAACTTGACTGGGACTCGCGGTAAAAAATAATGTATCAACACTCGTTGCTTGTTCATTACAATGAGGATTTTGCGATGGTTCATTATCCATATAATGACTAAAAAGCCATTGTAATCTTGTAACAGTGAGTTGATCGGGCGGTACCAATTGCAATAAATTTCTAGCGCCATCACGCAATTGTGCAAGCTGTAAATTACAACCTAAATCGGCTAATTGAAAGAAAAATGTCGTATATTGTGATCTTTGTGACATAACAACGCCTGGTAAATTATTTTCCGCTCCCAAATTTGGTGCATCGTATGGCGAACTCGTTGAACTGTCCGAACTACTGTCAGGTGAACTCGGAACATTTGTATTAACTTGACTTAATTTCGCTGACAGTGTCATTTTATCTCTCAATGGTATTTGTGAAAGTAATTTACGATCGTCAGCCTGCTCCAATGATTCTCCATTAATAAAAAGATCAAGTTTCACATTCGAACCACTTGCTTTGATTCTTCGTAAAATTTGCCTTCTCAATGATGCCAATGTATCATTACTGTGCGTAAGAATATCAACATCATCAGCACTTCTTCCAGGATTAACAAAACGAATAACAAGCCCTAAATTTTTTCCACGCGCCGCACGATGTAATGGTAAAATTTTCCTCTCACCCGTAAATGCCGTATCACATTCATTAATATATTCCTGTAATACTTTCATAACGCGACACATTTTCATTGCTTCTATTTTTATTTCAGTGACACGTTGCTCAAGACGATCGTCATTTCCATCGAGAAATAGTTTATTTAAAATTGTAACAGCATCAAAATGAACTTTTAAACGATCCATACATTCGGCAATATATGACTCATGAAAAACAAGAATCGATGATTGTAATCTTGGTCCTAAATTTGTATTAACTTCTTTTAATAATTCAATTCCACGATTTGCTATTTCCTCTGGACTATTAGTGACAACACGCCATAAATATTCAGTGCCAATTAAATCAACATCGTCCATTAAAAAAGTTCTTCTTTTTAATTTTAATTTACCTTCCTTTGAATTTACTGCTTTAAAAAATCTTTCAAAACATTTTATTCCACTTTCTGTCAATAATGTTGGATCCAATTGTAGGATATTATTTTCAAAAAAATCTTTATTTATCGATGGATCTAAATCTGGTTCTTCGCCCATTAATTTTGAAAACCATTTAAAACATGCCTCACGATCTGATGTGAATACCGCTTGTTTTGCTAAACATTGCCATATTTGTTTTGCCTGTTCAGCGCACAACCACAATTGTCCATCCTGAAAAAAAAATTAAATTAAATTATTTACACATTGTTACAAAAATTATAAAATAGTAATTAATTTCTTTCAAATTAATAAATGTAAATTATACAATTATAAAATTTAATTTTAATTGAGATTAATTTAAAAAAGTGGACTAATTTCTATTTTACAATTTTATAATAATAACAAAATGAATTGGAATTTATCTATTATTACTGTAAATATTGCAACTCACCTTTAGCAGAAATCTTAAAAAATTGAGTCTCTCTTGAACCTGCATTATGTGATTATATCGATTATCGGGCATAAAGGTATTAGCGTCAATTTCCGGATTTTCTTTCACCAACTGTCTCACTTTTTCCATATAAGATGTTAAACTATTCGTTACTAGAATTACAACAGTGTGCTGATTTTGTAGACGTTCAATCACCTCTTGTCTGTGAAAAAAAACGTATTTAATACATAAAATTGAAAAAATAGAAACGTTTTTCACAAATATAAAGAGAATTAAAATAATATTTAAAATCAAAATAATAAATTTAAGAAAATTAAATAAATAATGAAACAGAAATAAAATTTAAAAATAGTTTTTTTAACCTGTAAAAAGCATGATGACTACGTTGACTGTGTCCCATATTTGGATTAGGCTCATATAAACAGCAAATTTCGCGAATTTGTTTTAAAGCCGGAAGTGCCCATTTATCGCCACTTTTTAATTCTTCCACACATTTATCGAGCCAAGTTGTTTTCTGTGCATCACGCTCCTGCGAGCAAGAATAATCCAAAATCTTAACATGAGCATTTAAAGCTTGATCCATAATTTCCGTTGGAACTTCGTCAGAATGTGCCAAATTCCAAAAGAGCATCAATACCTTAAAAAATAAGTAATCAATAAATTAATTAAGTAATTTAAAAAAAATAAATATCAATTTTATAGAAAAATATAAAACCTTGTGTGCCATAACTCCATCCTTATCGTCTTCAGCGAGTCTACGAATCAACTCTAAAAGTTTCTCTCGTTGCTTTTTATTGGCAGTTCTCCAACTCGACTGTAAAAAAAAAAAAGTCTCAGTTATTTTATTTTGCTTGTCAAAATAATTAAAAATGAAAATAATTTTCACCTGAAAACATTCAAAAAGATGATCAAGTTGTTCGGGACTAAAATCCCAGGCCAACTTTGCTAATAGATCATGTACATTTTTAACAATAGCTTCATGTTTTCCAGCTTGTGCTGCCCAAACAGCGTCTAAATCTTGAAGAGTTAATGCACGCTCCTTTATAATAAAGCGTAAAATTTTTTCCAATTTTTCCACATACTGCGGTTGATGCAACGAATCACGAAGAACAATCTCAAGTACCGAATTATCTTTAATCCATTTCTAAAAGAAAACAATTTTATTTTTAAATGGAAACAAATATCAATTTTTATTTTTAAATTTCAAAAAGAAAAAAATACAAACCGCCATTCGTTCAGCAGTGAGCCATTCTTCTTCCTCTAATGATGGATTACGATGTGGATAATAACTAACACTTGCAATCACTTTATTAACTTCATTTAAAGCATTCATTTTTCCATTAAATGATGAAATTTGTAAAAGCCTTAATATCATTTTCAGTCTTAATATTTCAAGATTTTTAATCATATCCTCCTGATGTGGTACACGTGAAACTAAACATTTAGTGCCTTTTATTATCGCTGATATTGCATCGTTATTAGATTCTTTTTTTGCTTCTTTCTTAAGTTCCTCATCTGTTAAATTATCCAATATCACTGGCACCATTTCAATAATGGGCATTAAATATTTCTCTATTGTATGTACTGTTAAAAATTCATGACAAAGACCAAATGGCCGAAGTAATGTAAATATAACCGGTACTGTTAGATTTCGTCCACTTTGAAATCTTTTCAATAGAATAACAAAACCATTTAGTGCACCGAATCTGTAAAATTATTAAAATCAATTAAATATAGTTTGATTTTATTTTATTTTTTTAATTTTCTATTTACCTATTTATTAAATCTACCAGCCATCCGCGAGGATTTCGTGAATCCGAAGGGGGACGAGCATAAAGTTTCTCATCAGGAATATTGCTTCCTGGAGGAACTGTTTCCGAACCTCTCGCCGCATTAAAAGTATGAAATCTGAAAAAAAAATATAAATTTTATTTTATTCACAAATATTCCAAATATTGTTATATTTACTTACTTGTTATTTGGATTAAAGACCATTGCGAGAAGATCGAGAAGAGGAAACCAGTCCTCATCCAATTTTAAAACACAAAGTTCCACTAAACGTTCGCAATTTGCGTTAATGCAACTATGAATATTTAATTTCCAGCTGTTAACAGCATCATCGGTGAGAATTTTCGTGAATGAAATAGTAAGTCCCTCACGAAAAAAGCGTTGACATGCTTCGCTCTGTACATCAATTCCTAGATGTGGAAAGAAAGGAAAATATATATTTTTTTTTTAGGAAATTCGAGCTTTAAATCGATTCGAAAGAAACAAAAGGGGGAATTTTTTTTTACCCTTTTTACAGAGATCGATGCTGGCTTGTAGTAAGCATTCTAACTCTTGTTCAGGTAAGACTGGCACAACCCATCTCGGACTAGATATTTTTTCATCTAATGTTGCGAGCTTTGCGTGTGGGAAATCGGGCTCCGAACGTTGTTGATTTCCCTCCTCGGCGGAGGTGCCAATCTCGCCTCCACTCTCCGTTTTTATTGTTGTCTCAGTTAACTGAAGGCCAGACATTGTCTCTACCAATTCCTGAGAACTCGGTGGACCATGCATCTAACAAAAAAATAAATAAAATCATTGCTTACAATCTATATTTAATAAAAAAAAAAAACATTTTCTTAATCTCAAGCAAAAAAACTATCTCCAATTATTTCAACTACTTTTAATCTTATGAGAAATTATTTTAATTTTAAAAATATTTAAATATTTTTGGTACTTAAAATTTCTGCAAAAATCTAACAAATTTTAATTTTTTTTTAATATCTCTCGAGTAAATAAAATTTTCGATAATAATAAAATAAATACACAATTATTATTTACCAAGTAAATTGCAATTTTTAAATTTCACCTTTTTTTGAATATTAAATTTTGAATTTTAAAATACATTGAACAGAATAGAGGAATCAAAAAAAATTGCACTTTATTGCATTATGCATAAATTTATAAAATAAAAACACTTCACAGAAGAAACAGAAATTTTTTCTTTTAGATGAATAAATTAATAAATAATAACTTAACTTCTATTAATGAAAAAAAAGAATTTAAAAGCTTTAATTTATTTTCTAAATTAAAGAAATTGAAATATTTTGCAAATTTCAAAACTCATGTTAAAAAAAAAAACGATTCCTTATTCTTTTTGTTACACTCTTATTTGTAATCTACCAAAATAATATTAGAATAAAATAAACAAAAAATTTTTTTTTTTTTTTGTTAGATTAATGTGATAAAAAAAAGAACAAAGTACGAACCTGTGGATTCTGCTGGTTTTCGGAAGGATCAATGTCAACTCCCCCTTGGCCTCTTGTAGCGATCGTCATTCTATGTATTATCTTTACTTTTCTCCAATGTCTCTAAAATTTCTTGATCTAAGAGTGTCGCACCGCCAACAAGCATTTAGCTCATTCACTGACATTAAATAATATCTATACCTACATTATCTGAAACCGAAAATAGAAAAAAAAAACAATTAAAATTTCTATACTGAAATAAAAACTACAATAAATGTGGTTGTCTTTGTTTTTTCCCCAAAAAAAAATTCGATTAGTTTCCTAAACGTCACGCCTTTTTTTTTTATTTTATTTTTTATGATCTAAAAACGTACATACAGGCCTTGAGATTTTTTTTAAAGATTAGATTATAAACACTAATTAACAATAAATAACGTGAAAGACAAAAAAAAAAATTAAAATTTCGTACAAGGGTAAAAAAAAAACAAAAATAAAAGCCATCAATCTTTTTTCAATTGTCAAAATGACTATTTTATAGAAAATTTTGGCAAAAATTTATTATTCCAACAATTATTGCAGGAAAAGTGATTAAACAATGCAGTCATTTTCGGTTCGAGGTGAAAATCAAGTTTTAAGAAAGTTGATAAATTTTTTCCTTTTTTTTTTCGACACTTAATGGATATAAATGGCAAAATCTGCTTTTCTAGTTTCGCGATCTCCGAAAGGAACGATGACGATATCATCTTCTTGGAATGCAACTTCATACGAGGGAGGGGGCGGATAGACGTTACAAATTTTTGATCTGTCACACGAAATATCAATTACAATTTTTCATTGTAATGAATTTGTAACAAGAAATTTTTCATTGGAAGTAAATAATTAACGCAATTAACATAAAGACATACACATACACCCCGCAAAAATTACGAAAACAAGTTAGCACGATTGTTCGCGCAAGCAAAAAACCACTGATGATGATGAGAACCAGCAGTGCAAATTGCGCATAGAATCCGAGCGTGAGCCAAAAAATTTCTATTTAAATTTGACTGTTGAGAAAAATTACAAAATAAATTATATTGAGGTTCGTAAATTCGTACCTACGCGACTTGAATGAATAACTGTGGTGATCACAGTGAGCCTATTTTTTTTCACCCTTTTCACATTCACCCGACCGGGCCTTCTCCGGACAAAATGGCGACCCTTGTAAAATTTAGCACTACTGAGTTGAATGAGCCCCCGGCCTTTTTTTCAGACGTTATCGCGTGCCGTCGTGCCGTATTGAATATTTAAAAATCAAGGCTTATGACATTTGTATCGTTGCACTAGATTTCAAAAACTTAATAACACACCTTTTACATAGTAATTTGTCGGTATAAAATCTGACGTGACGTTAAGAACGAACTCGCACTGCAAAATCTGTAAACATGACTTGAGGGCGCTGCGGAATGCCAACCCCCGTGACTATTAAGAAAAATAGTGTTTTTTTCCATTTTCACAATATTAATATTTATTCACTGATTAATATTTTTACAAATTATTTTATTTTTCTTTTAAATATTTACAATAAATTCGAATAATTATTTGTACATAAAATAATAAATTTAAAAAATTTTAATTCAATGTTTCTGACTAGGGTTTTTCATGCAAGTACTACATCCCTGTCAGTGCCGCAGTTCTCTCGAATAAAAACCATTTCCTTTATTTTCTCTTTGGAAAAATTTATTTAATAATCCGATATTATAAGACAATATCTTATTATTGACAATTATTTAATAATAATCTTTCGGTATTATGAATTACGATTTCAAAATAGTTAAACTTATTCTTTATTTCGAAATTCCCGGGGAAAAAACAGGAACACGGAATAGAAAAAATAAACATTTTTGATTGGATCAAAACAAAGGACAAATAACTCTATTTTAAAAAGGTTATAATATTATTAATTTTAGAAAATATAAACAATTTTTGAATTGTCGAAAATGGTAATGTTAAGTTTTTTAAAAAGAATATTAATTTCTATTTTATGTAATAATTTGTATTAAAAAAAAAATTACATTGACAGAAGGAATAAAGAAATGAAATATGGAAATAGCAGAAGACATGAAACGCGACAGTTGCGACTTGCGATATGGTCTTTGTGTTTCTGAAAATGTTAATCAAAACTTGAATAAAAAATAATATTTTATATGAAAAAGGTAATAACATTGGACTATATAATGGCGGGTTGTAAAACATTTTTTAACCGTCTTACTAGTTATGTAAGTAAACCAGTTATTCTTCAGACAAGGTAAATATTTCTACACGTGTACCTAACCTAAAAGTTGTGATATTTACATTGTGCCACAACGCAGTTTAAAAAAAAATAATTAAAAATTTGAATTTATATTTAAAAAAAAAAAAGAAATATCTTTCAATTTATAAAAATTTCCTTATTATATTGTCAAAAAATAAATTTATATTGTAAAAAAGTAATGTTTAGAAATGTATTTTCAGAAATAATATTCCTTTTTATCAACCTATTGCCAATATAAAAAATTCACAACTTAACAAACATGGAATACCAAATCCACCAAAAAGACCAAAAACTTCTTTTTTTGTATTTAAAGAAAACATATTGCCAGAAATAAAAAAAGATAATCCAGAACTTAAAATGAAAGAAATTGTTCGCATTGTAAGTGAAAAATGGGCAAATTATCCTATAGAGAAAAAAGAAGAAATGAAACAAAATGCACTTGAAGATTTCAAAAGATATCGAGAAAATTATCAAAATTATAAAACATCTTTAACAGATGAACAATTGAAAAAATTGGAGGAAGCAAAAGATAAGATTAAATTGAAAAAAACAAATTTAAAATTAAAAAATGTTAGTAAGCTAACAATTTTCTTTCTACTATAATTTATAAAAAGATTATTAAAAATTTTTGTTAATTGGTAAAAAATAATACTTTTTTTTTTAATTACAGAAAAAAAAAGAATTGGATAAACCTAAACGTCCCTCTTCTGCTTATAATTCGTTTTGTCGTGATAGATATTTTAAATTAGATGAATCTGTGCCATTCAAAGTAAGTATTTTTTTTTTTTACAAAATAATTTAATTATCGAAATTTAACGAAAATAATTTCTCTCTTTTTTTTGTTAATGTAGGAAAGAATGATATTATTAGCCCAGCAATGGAAAAATGAGGATGCAGAAGTAAAGAAAAAATACCGTGACGATTATTTAGAAAAAATGACTGTATATAATGAAATTTTAAAAGAATGGGAACAAAAAATGGTCGAATTGGGACATTTTGATATGATTGGTTCAAATAAGCTTAGAAAATTACATAAACAATTCCAGAAAAAGGCAAAATTATAAAAAAAAAAAAAAAATTTTTTCCCACCGAAATACTTTAGTTTTTATTTACATAATTTGAACGAATCAAAATAGATTTAAAATGTAAAAAATTGAAGAAAAAAAAACGATTTTTATACTCAGGATTTTTTTTTAAAGGAGAAAAAAAACAATTTTTTTTGTATACTCAAATTTTTCTGTCATATTGATAATTACAATAAATATATTCATACAAAAAAAAAATATATTTCTTTTTTTTAAATTTCATTAATATAATAAGTTTTCATTTATAAAAAATTTATTTCCCCAAAAGAACCATGATTTAATTTATAACATCAGGAATTGTTGAATTTTCAAATGAAATAATATCAAATTCATTCCAAATAAATGAAATAATCCAACGCATCATTGAATAACTAAATAGATATAAACTTAGTCCTTGAAATATTAATTTGCATATTGTTATAATTTTAATTAATCTATTAATTACTTTTGGATTCATATTACATAGTAATAAAACAGCAACTAACATGTTTGATCCCTGTAGTTTTGACCATTTTTGATGATAAATAATATGAACAACAATTAATGCAAAATATGGCGCATAAACAGTCTGAAAAAAGAAAAATAATAGAAAAGTAAATTTTTGCTTCTTCTTTTTTTTTTTGTTTAATTAAATAAGAGAAGAAAATAATTTACCTTGCCAAAAAAATTATCCCACTTTAGTAAGAACATAATATTTACAATTAATGCAAGAAGTGGATATGATAATTTACCAAATAGTAATTTATAAATCAATGAATTTTCCGATAAAGGCGGAGATTTACGTGAATTATCACGAGGTCCAAAATCTCCTTGTACACGAGGATATAAACGACTATCTAAATCATTGTCATTTTCTGATGAAGTTCCTACATAAAATTACAATATTTTATTGCTTAATAGAAATTTATTTTCTTGACATAATTCTTATTTCGAAAATGAATTTTAATTTTTTTTGAATATTCATTACCTTCAGCGAGAAAATCGAATAATCCTTTTCTATTTTCTGATAAGCCATTTCTTTCTATAAAGTAAATAATAATAATAATAATAAAAATGATTATTTATTATTAAATAGAGAAAATTTTAATTTTCATAACCTCTAAAAAGAATTTACTCGAGATTTCGTAATTTATAATCTTGAAAGTAAATTCATTTAAATAATTTATTCATGTTTTTAATTTTAAATAATAGATTTTTCGAGAAAAATCCAAAAAATATCGAAGAATAATTAGAAGTTTCTGATATAAACAATGATCAAAAAAAATAAATAAAATTTACCTTGAATAGGACTGTCGCAAACACGTCCTGTAATTTTTTCTAAACGATTTTGAGAATTTTCTAAAATTTTTCGCCTTCTGGCCTCTCTTTTTGCAGCTGCTTCAGCCATTTATTTGCATAAGTTTATTATTATTTATTTATATATTTTTTTATATTAAATTATTTGACCTGTCTGAACTGTCAGTGTCACTCTCCTAACTGTGTGAAGTTAACACCATATAATGAAATGTCAGTTGTCAAACCTGAAAAACCTAATCATTGTAGTGCTAACTTCACACTAGTCGCGATGTAAACAAAAATTCGCAAAAACACCGTGTTATTTATATTTGCGGTTTGTAATTATAAAATAATATTTTTTACACCCTAAAATACGTGGAAACATTTATTTCTAAAAGAAAAAAAAAACATTTTACTTTAAAGAAGTTGATATTTTTTATTAGTGACAATTCTAACCTCAAATAATGGACTCGAAATTCAAAAATTCACAACAATCAAAAATGAAAATGGAAGAACATGGAGTTATTAATGTAAATATCGTAAATATTAAATTAATATATTAATAAATATAAAAAATAAATATTAATAAATAAAATTATTAATTCTTATTATTTTTTTTTAATTCCGACTGGGAATGATTGATAAATAAATTGTTTGTTTTTCAAAAATTTCAGAATCTTGAGGAACCTTGGAGTTTGAAAAAATTTAAAGAAGTATATTGTTTTTTTTAAGCTTCAAATTTTTGAAAATTTTACTCTTCATTTTAATTGTTTTTAACACATTAATTATTTATTAATTCGTATGTAGAAATTCGCAATAAAAATAGTGAAAGAATCGGATAATAAAATGGAATTAGAATTCGATTTAATTGAATGTCAAACATCTTTGGCAAATGCAATTCGAAGAATTCTTATAAGCGAAGTTCCATCAATGGCAATTGAGAGGGTTTTTATAAAAAATTACAATAGTATAATGCAAGAGGAAGTATTTGCACATAGGTAAAAAAATATTTACACTATAAATAATTTTTCTAAATTAAATTTTGAAGACATAAATTTTTCTAATTTCTTTTTTTTATTATTATTCTTAGACTAGGTCTTGTACCACTTCTAGCTGATCCTCGATTATTCGAATATCCATCTAATGAAAAAAATCAAGATGACTATTTCAGTGCTCAAGAAAATTTAAGATTCGAATTAAAAGCCACGTGTACATACAATAAACATGCTTCGAAAGAATCTAGAAGACTCGATGAAATGTACATTAATCACAAGGGTAGATAAAATTAAATTAAAAAAATTTATATTTCAAAAAAATGTTAAAATTTTTTTTTTTGAAATAATTCGTAAAAAAAAAAGAAAATGTAATTTAAAAAGAAAAATTTTGTTTATAGTTTACAGTAAAGATATAAAATGGATTCCAATTGATGGACAATTGGAAATATTTCGAGGAGGAGATGAACAAGTTGGAGTTATTCATAAAGATATTTTGCTTAATGAATTAAATCCTGGTCAAGAGTTGCATATTTTTATGCATGCTGTCAAAGGCATTGGAAAGGATCACGCTAAATTTTCTCCTGTTTGTAAGTGAAATTTAAAAAAAAATACTTTAATTATAAAATAAATAAATAATTTTTATATTGTTGAAAATTATTTTTTCTTTAGCAACTGCATTTTATAGACTATTGCCAAAAATCACAATTTTGAGACCCGTTAAAGGTGAAATGGCAGAAAAATTAAAAAATTGCTTTAGTCCAGGTGTAATTGAAATAGCGAAAAATAAATCAGGTGAAAAAGAAGCTAAAGTAGCAAATTCTCGTTATGATAGTTGTTCTCGTAATGTTGAACGACATGAAGATTTAAAGGATTCTGTTCTATTGGAACGTGAACCGAATCATTTTATTTGTAAGTTATTTCGAATATTCGAATTTAATAAAATTATTAATTATTAATATTAATTAATTTAATAATTTAAATTTTTACAGTCACTATCGAATCTGTTGGAGCTCTTTCATCGTCTATTTTATTTATTGAAGCTGTTAAAATTCTTAAAGAAAAATGCAGGACATTTATCGACGAACTAAACGCTATTAATTAAGTATTACTTTTTTTTAAAAATATTTTGACAAAAAAATAATTTCCAAAAAGTTTATTCAGTATTTTTTAAATATTTTTTTTTTATTACTTTAAGATTATAAAAAACAAAAGTTATGTTTCTTTTTTTTAACATATTTAAACATTTATCTTTAATATTTTATTTAATCTGTGCAATTTTAAAAATAATAACAGTATTAAATAATTAAAAATTTAACCTTTTTTTTTTAATTTTCCAGAAAATGTGAAAAACATTTTCTAAATTTTTTTTTTAGGAAATAAACAAAAGTTTATGTTTGGTTATGTAAAGACACTTTTTTTTGACAGATTCTGTCTAGAAAAAAAAAGTTTTCAAAATTCTCAGTATTTACAATATTCTTATTTTTTGAATTTAAAATAAATTATGAAATTAAGTTTTTGGAAAAATTTTCCACTAACAAAACAATGGATTTTTTTGACATTAATGATGAACAACTTTATATGTTTGAATTTCTCATTCATGAAATTAATTTAACGAATGAATCGAAAAAATTAATTGGCAAAACATTGATATGTGTTCGTTTAAAATTTCTCGACTATCCAATAATTAATTTAATTCCCGAAGTACCGATAAATAGTAAAAAGAAGAAATCATCAAAAGATGATAAATCAAAATCAACATCTATTAATTTTAATATGGGAAAATCGTGTCTTTTTTCAATAAAACCCTACGATTTAATTCAAGCAATACGTTCAAAATCATTGAATATTGGAATTTATACAATGGATGAAAAAAATTCTGAAGAAAATAGTGAGGAAAAAGAAGAAATTCCCATTTCTCAATGTGATGTTCTATTATCGGGTTGTCTTTGTGATCAAATAATGATGTCAATGAATGATAGAAATCATCTTCCTAAACCTTATGTCTTAAAAAATACCTACAATCTCATTGGCGATGATGGAAATCCATTTGGGACAATAACATTATTTTTACGATTATCCTGCTGTGGAAAAACAATTGAAACACAATTTGCATTAAGAGAAAATTCCTGTTTTTTGAAAAATTCCACATCATTCAATGAATTTCAATGTATTCATTTTTCTAATGTTGCAAAAAAAGAAGAACAAATCATTAGAGAAAAATCAATTGTTGAAAATTTACAAAAAATTGATGCAAAAGAAAAAAATTCCAAAAATGAAATTAAAGAAAATAATTCACAAAATGAAATAAAAGAATTATTTAGAACACAATTTAAAACATTTAATGAGAAAGAAAATGAAAATTGTTCCAATTCTTTGAAATTTTGTTCCGGTGGTCTTTGTTTGGGAACAAAATTATTTAATTCTCCCAAAAATTCATTTTCACGATTGAGAGGCGGAGGATGCTACGCAAATAACGGAAGTAATTCTTTTTTTTTTTTTTTAATAGAAATTTTCAATAAAAATAATATTTGAGTTTAATATTTATTTTTTAAAGGAGAAAAGCAGCTGCAAGTAATGGATAAGAATTTTTCACATCAATTATCAATGGAAACATTGGCCCAAGGTGCTTGTAAATCAATTTGGAAAGGAAGTGCAACATCAAAAAAAAAAATAGGATGTGGATGTTTTGGAAAAGGAAAATTAAATTTAAAGGGAAATTGTTCAAAAAAGCCCTGCACTGGAGTTGATTGTTTTATAAGAACTTTAAAAGAAACACAAGAATTTGTTGATTCTCTGGGTAAAATTCCTGGATTAGCAGGTTTAGGACTAATGGATCCTGAAGAAAGTCCTTATTTTGGAAGACAAGAGGATGACAATATTGATACTTGTCAACAAAAGGGTAAAAAATTCTCCGATCAAATTCAATCTTCCGATGAAACAAAAACGTCAATTAAAAGTAAAAAGGTAAAATAACTTTTAATAATTTTTGAGACAAAAAAAAAAATATATTCCCTCGATTTCAGGTTGGAGAAAATAAATCCAAGGACCAAATAGAGACTCCAATCTACACTGCGAAACATACATTGCCTTTTATTTTAAATCGAATTCATTCAGACGAAACAAAAATTAAAATCAATCGCAAATCAAAAAAAGTTGATAATACAAAAGTAAAATTACAAAATACAGATCAAAAATTAGAGGAAACAATAAAAATCGAAGGTGGTCCATGCGGCGATTCAGAATGTAAATCAAGAAAAAAAATCGATAATGAAAATTCCAAAATTCCCCCTAATGAATTTTCAAACGCCTCCAAATCGAAAACATCCATTAAAAATGAACATAAAAATCAAAAAATCAAAAAACGAAAAAAAGGCTCCATCAATACAAGAAATTCTCGTAAGTATTTATCATTTTAATTTTAATAGAAAATTACATAATTAAAAAAAAAAAAAATTTACAGAAACATCCAATACATCGCCAATAAAAGTGAGTAAAAATTTAATGACACACATCTATTCATTACGAGAACGTAATCCAGGAATTGTTTATGGTCACAAAAATTGTTTGGATTTAAAATTACGTGTGCCAAAAAATATGGGATGGCTTTGGAATTCAAAAAATAATTTAGGAAGACCACCGGCAAAAATTGGTTGGAAACCAGGCGCTATTAATAAATATGTTTATTATCTATTGAAAAAAGCAAAAGAACAATCATTGGAATTAGATGATGATGATGACGATGAACCGCCAACACCTGTTAAAATAATGAAAAAAACAAATACACCTGGTTTAACGAATTTTCAAACAATTGGCGGTAGACATCATCGACGTGTAAAAAAAGAAGAAGAATCAAAACAAAAAATTGAATTACCACCAACTTTACATATTCATAGAAAAAATGGAATATATTATATAACAATGTATCCAATTAAAGCGGAAAATAATGGAAATTCTGATTTACAACAAACAGTGAAACCACTTCAATTTAAAATTACCAAAGATAGAGAAAATGATGATTGCACATCGGAATCATCGATTTCCGATATGGAAATTGAATTTTCACCACCTGCCGCTAATAATCGTTATCGTGTTAAACCCGAAACAAAAACAATTGGCACACAATTAAAACAACAGGATATTTTAGATGCTTATAATAAATCAACGAATTTAAAATCAGTTAAGATTAAAAAATAGAATAAAAAAAAAAAAGAATAACAAAAAGTTATTTTTCGAAAAAAATTTTTTTTCTATTTCTGATACAATTTTAAAATAATCTAATAAATTGGTAAGGAAAAAAAGAGTTTTTAAAGTCCTAGAATTTCTCAAAAGGAATTATAAAAATAATTTTCTAAAATTTTGAATAAAAACAAAATGAAATTTTTTTTTTTTTGAAAATTATCCGCTTTTATTTTTCAACATAAAAGAATCGACTACGAGAGTCGATTTAATTTTAAATTTTCGGGCATTTCCGCTACTTTTACTCTACTCGGTAATAATAATTATTATTGCTGACTACTTTTCCTCTCGAGTTTTTTCAAGTAACGACAAAATAAAAAAAAAAAAAATGACAAATTAAATGACTTTTATAACAAAAACAAATTTTCAAAATAAGAAATACGAAAACGTCTGTTAAATACAAGGTATGATTGTTTTTTCTTTCTATTTACATTGATTGATGAAAAACTAAATATATATTTATTTTTCCTTATTTCAAAACAAAATATTTGCTTTATTATTTTAAAATATGTAATATGTATTTTTAATAAATATTTCTTTTTCTTAAACTATCAAAAAACAGAGGGGGAAATTTTCTACTAGCAAAAATGTCAAATGAAGAAAATAAATTAATTGAAAATAGCAACGAACAAGATGATGCGAATGAAAATAATGAAAATGTCATCGATGAAAGTGTCAAAGAAAAATCATTAGAAATATTGCCAGATAATTTTACTAATAAACCATCAGAAATATTGTCCAATAATTCTCAGGATGGATCTACAGAAAAATCCTCGGAAGAATCCTTAGAATTAATTCTAAAAGTAACACCATCTTCATCAGAAGATTCTCCAAAAGAATCTACAAAAGAATTTCCAATAGAATCTACAGAAGAATCTACAATAAAATCTACAAAAGAATCTCCAATAGAATCTCCAAAAGGAACTCCAGAGGATTCAACGGACGAAGATTATGAAAATGAATACGGTGAGTAGAAAATTTAAATTATCAAAATATAAAAATTTATATTATTTTTTACAAAAAAGTAAATTATAAAATAGAATTCAAGAAATTATTAAATAGAAAAAATTTCCAAGTTATGGTAATAAATAAAAATAAAATTATAGAGAAATTACAAAAATATAAAATTTATACTTGAATAATTACAAGAAAAAAAAAAAAAATGAAATTAATGTTTGAAAACATTCTTAATATACCAAATTGATTTGAAAATATTTTGATTATGACAAAATTTTCAGATACCACGGAAAGTAAGGTCATCGTACGAAAGACAAATAAAAATAAACAATTAAAGAGATTAACAACACCATTTAATACACAATTAATGGAGGAAAATGCGATATTTCAAGCAATATTATCCGACAATTATAATTTAGTTAAAGTATTATTGGAAGATGGTAATATATCAGCGAATATTATTTGGCGTGGAACAGGTGAAACTGCATTACATACATCAATAAAAAAAGATAATATCGAAATATTTCATCTTTTAATAAAACATGGCGCTGATATTAATGCATGTATATCGCAAGGTAAAAATTGTCTCTATTTTGCATCGGGTAAAAATAATTATGAAATGGTTGAATATATGTGTAAAATTTATCAAAAAAATGCTGGACCAAATAATAAATGGAAAGAAGGATACGCGGGATTATTTGCCGCATCAGCAATGGGTAATGAACGTATTGTTAATTTATTAATTTCATCGGGGGTTGATTTAAAAGCAAGAACATATGGTTTTTTAACACCACTTCATGTTTCTGTTGAGCGTGGTTATTTGAAAATTGCTGAAATTTTATTACAAAGAGGTTTTGATGTTAATGAAACAACTGCCGAGGGTTATACAGTATTACATTATGCAGTTAAAAGAGAATCAATTGTTCTTATTAAAATGTTATTGGACGCTGGCGCTGACATGACAATTAAATCATTAAAAAATGAAAGTTCTTTCTTTCTTGCTATTCATACGGGAAATTTGGAAATTGTCAAAACTTTTATTGACTATGGAGCAAATGTTAATAAGTTTTAATATGTCCTTTTTTTTATTATTAATTATTATCGTGACTTTAAATTATTTATATTTTTTTATTTTTAATTATTTACAAATAATTTCTAAATTATCGTAATCTTTTCTTTTTTTTCTTGTAATTCGTAATTTCATTGGAATATTAATTAAAAGTTTTTATGTTATAATTATCAAATTATATTAGAATATAATTGATTTTCATTTTGTAATTAAATATTAAATTCCGACGCATACGAATTAGTATCTGTAGGTTTTTTTTTAAACTCCATTTATAATTATTTTTGTGACTATTTTATTATTTGTTTTTTGTAAATTATGCAAAATTATTGATAATTTATACATTTTTGTATTTTTTTATTCATGATTGAATATATTTTATTTAGAAAAAACATTGTCTTATTATTTTTGTATTTTCTTATTTATAATTGAATATATTTTATTTATTTTTATTTTTAAAAAATTCAAATTTTTAGCGGAGAATATTTTGGCAAATCAGAAAGACGAATTTTTAAAACTTTAAATTCTATTGGTTGTATTTGAAAATGATTTGATTGGTCGTGTAAAATTTTACCGCCATTTTGTAATATATATTTATTATTTTTATTTAAATATAATAAAAAAATGTAGATTATTAAATTAAATATTAGTTTCTTAATTCTTTGATATTAATAAATAAATTTTGGAGACGAATAATTAAAATAAGTGTGTTTACAGAAAAAAAATTTTCGAAAACAATTCCTAAAGTTTTACACACGCGCAATAGCGATATCAAACTGAATAGAAAGAAAGAAAGATTGAAACGTGCAACAAGTTAAATGTGAAAGTTAAACTTTAATTGTTTCAAATTAATTATGAATTATAGTAAACAATGTGATAATTTTTATTTCTCATAATTACACGAGTAATTGTAATAAAATTCAATTGTTACTCTATCAGCTAACAAAGAATTTAACCTCTTGAAAAATTAAAGGTTATGTTAGCTTCAAAAATAATAAAATTGTTTATAAAATCGTTTAAATGAAAGGAACTCTCGAGGTAATTTTTTAATTTCTATTTTAATTTCTATTTTAATTTGTATATTAATTTGTATTTTGATTTGTATTTTGATTTGTATATTAATTTGTATTTTGATTTGTAATTTAATTTTTTAAGATTAATATAGATTTTTAAGATTTATCTTATTCACAATTCTTTTTCTGTTTTTTTTAAATTTATTTTTATGTTTTTCTCTAAATTATTATTTCAATTTAAAAACAAAAAATGTTAATTTTGTAAGAATAATGAATCATCACTATTTTGTAATTATGCTTATAATACAAAGTTATATCAGTGATACTTGAGACGATAATAAAAGTTCATTGTAATTCTAACTTTTTCTCAGTTTAATTCTACTCTTTAATTATTAAAATTCTTTGTAATATTTTATCAAGATTTTCAATTAATTTTGTTTTGTTTCAGGTTTCAAAAAAAAAAATTTTTTTTTTCTGACAAATAAAATTTGCCAACAATATGGAAAATTACGATAATCTAATGGAGGAATTATACACGTCAATACATTTAAATGATTTGAATAATGTGAAAAAAATATCACATTATTTATTTAATTCAGAAAATTGGTTTCCAAATTATGAAATGCTTTCAATTGCCTTTTTACATAAACACATTGATATTGTGAATTTTTTTCTAACTCTAAATTGTCAAATAAATGGTAATAATGAAAAAAATTATCGTGGAAATTCATCACTTCATTCGGCAATTTTATATGGCGATTCATCATTAGTGAAATGTTTATTGGATAAAGGTGCTTCATTAACTATTCGCAATAAAGATGGTTTTTTACCTCAACATTTAGTTGTATATCGAAATTCAATTATTTCCAAAACTTCACAAACATCATATGAATTTAATATGGAGACAAGAAAAATTATAAATCTATTACTTCAATATAATATTTGTATTGATGATGTTGTGAATTCTTATGCAAAATATGGTTACACTTCACTTCATTTGGCAGCTGAATGTGCAAATATAAATATTATACCAATTTTATTGCAGGCAAATGCAAATTTTCATGCGACAACAGAAATTGGCCAAACACCACTTCATATTGCGGCAATTAATGGAAATTGTGAAATAGTTGATTATTTATTGAAAAAAGGTGTATTGGCATTTATAAAAGATCGTCGTGGTAAAACGCCACTTTGTTGGGCAATTATAATGGAACACAATGTTATTATTAAAATGCTTGTGAATCATAAAGTGAATTTAAAGAAACAAAAAAAATATATTGCCACATTAAAAGATGATTATTCATCAATATTAACAGCAGTGAAAATGAATAATTCCGAATTGGTTAATTATCTTTTGAGTAAAGGAGCAAATGTTAATGTTTCATGGAAAAATGGTTCAACTCCATTACATATTGCTGTGGAAAATTCATCGGAAGATATTATAAAAATTCTCCTCAATTATGGAGCCGATGCAAATGCAATTGACAACAACCGAAAAACACCACTTTATATTGCTGTCGAAAGGGAATTATTCGATATTGTGAAATTTCTTCTAAATTCCATTCCATCTATTACAATGACAATTTATTTTCCCTCTATTGATGGTATAACGCCACTTCATTTGGCAGTGAAGAAAGGAAATGAAGAAATAACCAAATTATTACTAAATTGTGGAAAAATATTTTTTAATCCCCAATGTGAGGAATCACCACTTCATATTGCCGTTAAAGAAAATCAAAAAAATATTCTTAAAATTCTACTTAATTCATTTTCTGATATGAGAAATTCATTTGGAAAAACTGCTTTGGAAATGGCGATTGAAAATGGAATTGTTGATATAGTAGAAGAATTTTGTGATTTTTATTTAAAGGAAAATAATTGGAATGAAATAAGTTATCAAGCACTTTGTGTTGCTTCATTAAATGGTCGGGAAAATATTGTTAAATTTCTACTCAATAAAGGTGTTGATTTTGATAAAAAATTTGATAATTATCAAATACCATTGATTGCAGCTGCTGATAAAGGATATATTAATATTGTTCAATTATTAATTGATAAAGTTGATGTTAATGAAATTTCAAATAATGGAAAAACTGCTCTACATTATGCGGTTGAAAATCAATATTTAAATATTGTTGAATTTCTTATTGTGAATGGAGGAAATATTAATCAAAAAGCATTAGGATTAACGCCTCTACATTGTGCAGTTTATGTTGGAAATTTGGAAATTGTTAAATTACTTTTGAAAAATGGTGCCGATGTAAATGCAAAAAATTTAAGTGACGCTACACCATTAATTATAGCGGTACAAAAAAATTACAGTGAAATTTTACAATGTTTAATTGATAATGGTGCCGATGTTTATGTACAGGATTACGATAGTAGCATTAAATCGTTTAATTTTATTAGCGATTGTATTTATAATTTTAATTCAATAAAAAGTGTAAGACCACTACTTGTTGCAGTTGACAATGGAAATCAAGAAATTGTAACAATTCTTTTGGAAAGTGGTTGCTATCCGGATGTGGTTGGTGAAAAAGTATCACCACTTCATCTTGCATCGGCTAATGGAAATTTGCCAATTGTTAAATTATTAATTGAATTTGGTGCCGATTTAGAATGGATTTGTGATGAAAAATATACACCACTTACACATGCAATTGCCCGTGGACAGACAAAAACATTTTTACATTTATTTAGTACGGGTAAAAATTTTCAAGATAATGAAAATAATTCACAATTACATATTTCATTGAATTGTCCAAATAAAGATAAACAAGTTGTTGGTGTTCTTTTGGATTTTGGCGCAAATGTTAATGCAAGAAATCGTGAATATAAAATACCTCTACATTGTGCAATATCAAGTGAAAATGGTAATGAAGAAGTGGAATTATTTCAATTACTTCTCGATTATGGATCAGATACAAATGCAACTGATTTTAATGGTAACAATGCATTACATTTAGCAGTTGAAAAATGTGATTTTCCAGCAACAAAAGTTTTTCTCGATTATAAAATAAATATCAATAGTTTAAATTACGATGGATATACGCCTCTAAATAATTTACTAAAATTTATTAAAGACGAATTAAATTTATACACTTATAAATTGGATTCACAAATTTCGCCTGCCATTCGAATTGGAAAATTATTTGTCACATTAATTGCATTTAAAGAATCAATTAATGAAACTGTCAACAATGAAAATTTAACAATTGTAAAAAGCGAGAAATTAAATTCATTTTATCAAAAATGTAAATTGGAATTAATTGAAATGAAAATGCAAAAAATTGATAAATTGTCGTATTATGATATTTTGACGGAAAAATATTCCAAACTCTTTATTTATTTGAGAAATGAAAAAATTGTTAAAATATTAAAATTTGAAAATTTAAAAAAATTATTTCCATGCTATGTGAATATGATTATAAATCATGTGGAAAAAATTAAAGAAAACCATTGTTTACTCGAAACAAGTGAAGAATATTTTCAAAAATTATTCAAATATAAATTACCTTCACTTGTAACGTATGAAATTTTCAAATATTTAAATACATCCGATATGAAAAATATCTATAGAGCATTATATCATCGACGACAATTAATAATGAAACAATTTCAAAAAAATTAAGCTCACAATCAAAGCAAAAAAAATGGCTGTTACAAAATATTGTATATTAATTAATTTAATTAATTAATATTTTCATTAATAATTAATTAAATTAGTGTATATATATAAAAAAATATTTTTATAAAATTAAATCATAAATTTTCTAATTGCAAATATGAACAAAAATTGAATTATAACTATAGCAATGAATTAATTGTAAAGAAATTAATTAAATAATTATTTGCATCGTTTTTTTTTTTTTTTTGAAAAAGAAATTTTATTTTACTGTTCAATTAAATGTTAAAACTTTTCAATTGTATAACTTCGTTATTATTTCAAAAGAAATAGAATATAAATATAATTACTTCTATTGAATTATTCTTTTTTCTCTTTATATTGTAAAAAAACATAATTGTTACTTTTGTGAAGAAAATGTATTAAATAAAAAATACATTTTGAAGAAAAATTTAGAATTTTATTTAATTCCAAAATAAAAAAAATTTTATTTGATTAAAAATTAGAAATAGGCAGAAAAATATCTATTTTATATATTAAAAATTTTAATATTGTATAAATTATGTAAAATTATAATATTTTTAGCATAAATTTTAATAATATTTGACAAAAATAATAATAATTTTCATAAAATTATTGACGTATAAGAATTATATTATAAAAAAAACGAAAAATGTTTTTCAAGGTAAAAGATACCGTAATATTTAATTAAAATTAATGTTTACTTAATTTTTTACGTTTAAGAGAAAAAAAAATTAACATTAAACATATTGTATATTATTTGTATAAGAAGAAATAATTTACATAATAATAGATTAAGGGACCGATTTCTGGAAACCTTGCAAAATGTATACACAAATACAGGTGTTTAATTTTTTTTTAAAAACGTAATTCGTAGAAAACAAAAAAAAATAATAATCGTGATTAATTTTACATATTAAGCTTTAATAAACAATGATAAGATTATATAGAGCAATTTTTTTTGGAATTTTTTTTCATTTAGTAAAAAAAAAAGCGTCTTGAATTTTTTTTGATACTCCTAATTATTTATTAACGCGATGTTTAATTTTTTATTAGGATTAATTTTTATTTTCATCAACGATGTCATTGCTGGTAAGTTTTTATTTATTTAAAATTTTTGAATTTTATTTGAAAAATTAAATTTTTTTAAAATTAATTAAATGTTAAATTAAATTAAATTAAAATTAATTATGATTAATAAAAAAAAAAAATTTACAGGAAGGAACGATTGTTACTTGCCATCAGGACAATTGGGAGACTGTGTTTTTTACAACCAATGTCCTTCTATGATAAATATTTTTAATTCTGCCGGAAATGATCGAACTTCATTAAATTACATAAGAGCTTATCAATTTTATGAAAGATCTAAATGTGGTTCAGTAGGAGGGCAAGATAAAATATGTTGTAAAGTAAATAAAAATTATTTTTTTCAATTAAATATTCTTATAGAAAATCAAATTTTGATAAATACCTGTGTATTATAATATGCAGAGATTTCTTTGTCAATTTTTCATTAATTAATTATTCACTTTTATTTTACTGTACATAATAAAAATTTTCAATTAATATTAATTTACACTTTTTGTTGTAAACATTCAAATTTAAATGCATATGACGTGAAATTGACCGATTACACATTACCAACATTGGAAAAATTTAAATTATGGAGTGAAATTGACAATAGTACCAATAGTAAAAATCAAATATGATAATGGCGCGAAATTCAATTTGTTTATTCTAAAGTATTGGTAATACTGATTTGCTAATCTATGACTAATTTCATCTATAGCTTCAACATGCACCGAATCAAAGTCAACAACCGAATCTACCGGATGTTACAAGACATCCTAATCTAAGATTATTAGATCATACAAGATGTGGACCTTACAGTGAAGAAAAAATAGTAGGTGGTGAAGAAACTGGAATTTTTGAATTACCCTGGATGGCTTTACTTACACTTCATCGTTATAAAAATGATCAAGTTCATTTTTTTTGTGGCGGTACAATAATTAATGCACGACATATTTTGACTGCTGCACATTGTGTACAAACAGTTAGTAAGTAAATTATATGTTTACGACAGTTTCTTTTCTTTTCTGTTTTTTTTTATTGATTCTTTTAAATAATTTGCATTAACATTTAATTCTCTTTGTGTATATTTTCATTTTAAAATTTCAAAATATAACCTATAATTTTTCCCTTTCTTCGCGAGACGCGCGTCAAAAATCTAAATACATATATAGGTTTAATTTACAGATCAAATTATTGAAGTAAGAGTTGGAGAACACAATACAAACACTGAACAAGATTGTACATATAATACATGGGGACAAACTATTTGTGCACATCATTTTCAAACGAGACGTGTTGAAAAAATTTTCATTCACCAAAATTATAGTTCAATTAATAATGTAAATGACATTGCTCTTTTGAGATTAAAAACTGATATTAATTTCAGTTTGAATAATGTCAGACCTATTTGTTTACCTATTGGAACAGCTAGAACTCTTTTAAATCAAGAGGTGTTTATATTTTTTAATCTATAATTATTTTAAGAATTTCTATTTTAATAACAAAAAGAAGAACAATTTTATGATTAAAAAAATAATTATTTTTTTTAAACATTAATCAATTTTTGAATATAATAATATAAATTTATTTTTTTTTGTCCATTTTTAATATGAAGAAAGAGTTTAATTTATTTAATTTCAAGGGTATTGTCAGTGGATGGGGAAGAACAAAAGTTCAAGCTGTGAGTACAAGACTTCTAAAAACTACAATTCCCATAAAATCAAAACAAGAATGTAATAGATATTATAATGGTTTGACTAATAAACAATTTTGTGCTGGAGGAACGCATGGATATGATTCTTGTACTGGCGATAGTGGGGGGCCATTACAAAATATTGCCAGATATAACAATCAAAACAGAATGGTTCAATATGGAATAATTAGCTACGGACCAACCGAATGTGGCAGTACTGGACATCCTTCTGTTTATACATCAGTTCCACATTACATGGACTGGATATTAGATTATATTAATTTAAATTCATTTTAATTAATTTTAAATTAATTATATACAATGAAATTTACTAAATTAATAAATTTAATTGTACAATTATTAGTCATTGTATTTTTGAGAAACTAATACCCCTTTTTAATTTTATTATCAAGTCTAGACAACAATATTAGAAATAGAAATCTATATTTATTTTCATTTAAGATTATTTTAACCTTCAGGAATAAAGACAATTAATTAATAAAACAATTGTAAAAAAAAATACTTCTGAAAAATGGATTTTAAATTAACGCTTGTAATTCAATTATTAGTTGCAACTTTAACCAATCGTAAGTAGAAATAATATTTAATTTTCCATGGAACTGTCCGGAATTTTTTGCAAATTTTTACTTCATAAATAAATAAAAACTACTATTTCCGGAGCAAAAATTTCCAGAAATTCACAGAAGTATAGTTTAGATTTTACTTTGTAAATAATGAAAGTTATTATTTTTTTCGTGTCGATAATTCTTTTTTTCGTATTTTTAATTTAACAAATTTCTTTTTTTTCAGAATTTACTTCATTTCCTCCTGATGTGAAAAATCATAAAAATTTACAATTTCTCAATCATGATTTATGTGGACCAATTAATGAATTCAAAGCATTTGGTGGGACTGAAGTTGAAATTTACGATTTTCCATGGATGGCTTTATTGCAATATGAAGTTAAAGATGGAAATAAAACATATCTTCGATTTTTATGTGGCGGTTCAATAATAAACAATCGTTATATTCTAACAGCTGCACATTGCGTTAAATTTCACTATAAAAGTAATGATTTTCAAATTATATATTTTTACTAATTGGAAAAAAAATTAATCACAATTACTGTAAATTTTCATTTTAAACCATTTTTATTCGTCTAAAAAATAATTTTAAATCTAATAAAATTCTTTAAAATGAAAATTGTAATTAATAATTTTTATAGAAAATTCATACACAGAAATTGTGTGTTTTTTTTTTTAATTTTCAGATGCTTTATTGAAATCAGTGAGATTGGGCGAACATAATTTAAATACAAATCCAGATTGTGATATGAATTATTATAACAAAGAATTGATTTGCGTTGAAAAATATCAGGAATATGAAATTGAAAAAATAATTCCACATCCAAAATATAATTCAGTTTTATTAGGAAACGATATTGCATTATTGAAACTAAATCGTGATATTGATTTCACTATTAATATTAAACCAATTTGTTTGCCCATTGGTCGTGCTTCAAATTTACTTCAAAAAATGGTAAAAGAATAATAAAAAAAATTAATTAACTATTTATTAATAAATTTTAATAATAAATTTTTTTTTTTTATTCAAAAGGTAACGGCAAGTGGATGGGGATTGACGGAAAAAATGTCATTTAGTGCTAATTTATTAATGGTGCACTTGCCAATAATTTCAAATGACGAATGTAATGTTATTTATAATAAATATTTGACGAAAAAAATTCAAATAAATAAAAAACAAATGTGTGCGGGTGGAATTAAAGGACGTGACGCATGTAGCAGAGACAGTGGTGGACCATTACAATCACCTGCAGTTTACAATAAAAATGTAAGATTTGTACAATATGGTATTGTTAGTTATGGATATCCACAATGTGGAACTGAAGGAATACCAGGTGTTTATACAAAAGTTTCATATTTCACCAATTGGATTCTAGACAATATTGATAAATAATTCTTTTTTAACAAAAAATAAATTAAATTAAATTCCTTTCAAATTAATTAAATTAAATTTTTTTCAATTTAATTAATTTGAAAGGAATTTAATTTATTTTAAATATAAATTATATTTTTTTAATTCAAGAGCCTATTGAACTTTTACCCGTTTTACACTAATGTAAAGATCCCGGGGAAATTTTTCTTTTAATTTAATTTAGGGACAAGAAACAAAAATTAGATAATATAATTGTAAAAATTTAAATTCTTAATTATCTTAAAATTTAAAGTAATTATTTTGATTTTTTTTCGTTTTATCCGAAATTGAAAGTTTATGAGTCCTTTGGCATAATATATTTTATGTATCGATACGCGAACTTTAGTTTAGAGTACAAACTGCAAACACGTTAGTTTACGGATGAACGGATCACGGTCAACTTGCGTTCAATTTTAATTGTGAAAAAATAAAACCATAAAAATAGAAAAAGTAATTAAAACTGAATTTAAATAATTTCTCCCTAGTATGAAAATTTCTTTTTCTAATTTGAAAAAAAAAATTCGCTTTCTTTATCAAAGTACAATAATAATTTATGAATAATGTAATTATAATTTATAAAAAAAAACATTTAAAAATAAAAAAAACTTTCCATTTTGAAAATTAATAATTTTAAATTATTAATTTATTTTCTGTTATATTTTGCAAAGAATAATTTTGCAAATCGTAATTTAAAAAAAAAAATTATAAGATGTAATATTATTTAAGATTGATAATAAATAACTGGAAAGTTTCGATGGAAAAAAAAAAAATAATGTGATAGTGTGTTATCAATCGCGAAATATTGTAAGTTTATTAGTAACATATAAAAATTAATTTCATTGATTCATATTTAATCTTTTTTTTTTATTTAATAAACAAATGTTTCCTCGAATGAAAATAAAGAAACAAGACTGAAAATTAATATACGCAATAAATAACAGTGCTAATAATGTATAATTAAAAATTTATTTATTAAAAATTGAAAAATTAAAATTTTATTAAGAATTAAAAGAGAACATAATAAAAAAAATTATAAATTGCAACTATAAGATAAAAAATCTACAATGATTTTAAAAAAAAATTTACCGTTAGCAATTATTTTTTTCTTAGTTCACAATGTTGCTGGAGGTAAGTGATTTAAATTTAATAATTTAAAAAAAAAATCGTGTTATTTGCAGTTTGTACTTGAACTTTTCTAAAAATATATTAAAAATCTAAAAATATATATATAAATTTTTTTCGGATTCATTTTTCAATATATAAACTTAACCGGTTTTATAACATTTTTTTTTTTTTTGGTCATATTTTTTAACTGTTCAATACTTTATAACTGGTTTTTAATTACATTCGAAGATTTAAAGTCGCTTTCAAAAAGAAACTTTGCAAAATTTTTGAATTAAGAAAAAAGAAAATTTCAAAAATAAAGACAAAAAAAAATTTTTTTTTTATAAAGACAAATTTTTTTTCTAATTATTAACTTTTATAATATAAGAAGGACAAAGTAATTTCTTTTGTTCAGAAATAATCATGTTTCCTGTAGAAGAATCCTGTCAGACATCGTCAGGAAAAATTGGAATTTGCATTAATTTAAATAAATGTGATGCTTTAATGGATACTGTTAAAAGAGAAGGACTAACATCACAATCAACTTTACAACAATTATATAGTGCTACATGTGGATTTGATGGAAAAACACCTAAAGTTTGTTGTGAAAATCAGGTATTTATGTTTTACAAATAATTTTTTTAAATAGTTTAAAAAGTTTTATTTTGTTTGCAAAAAATTTACAAAAATTCAGTTCATTGACGATATTTATATATTAATAAATAAACAATTATTAATTAATTATTATAGTGAACCATTTAAAATTATTTAATCACATAACACCTAAAATATTTAATAATCAAATAAATATAATTGTGTAAAAATTAATAAAAATTAACAATTAATAAAATTTATAACAACATAATATTAATAAAACTTTTTCAAAATTATTCATGAATATTAAAACTATATACTTATATTGATTTTTAATTCTATTGTAATTAATTTATAGTTCTATAATAATGATCTGATTTTTAATTAATATTTCACTTATAATTATATTTTTTTCATTAAATTTTAATTTTAATTTTAATTTAGTTATCGTTTTTATTTTTAATTTAGAATTATACCTATGCTAATTTGTAATCAAATTTAATTTCGGATTTTTGATTGAATTTAATTTTAATTGAATTAAAATCTAATTGAATTTCAAATTCATGAAATCAAATATTGTAATTCGTTGTCTAATTTTTTGTTTTCTTTTTTTTTAAGGAAACAATATCATTGGAACAGCCAAATAGAGTAGCTGAGATTCCAATAATGATACCAGATCCACCAGACGTGACTCAACATTCAAATTTAAGATTATTGGATTTAGATTTATGTGGACCAATAACAGAACAAAAAATTGTTCGCGGTAATAGAACGGGTGTTTTACAATATCCATGGATGGCATTAATTGCCTATAAAATTGGCGATTCACCACCAGAATTTCGTTGCGGTGGTACAGTTATTAATAAACGTTACATTTTAACCGCAGCTCATTGTTTAACTGATCTTCCAAGTGGTTCGTATAATTTTCATTTTATTTTATCAATAATTTTCTAAATTTATTAGAATATATTTTTACAAAATTATAAATATATTTAAATATAAATTTTATTAGAATATATTTTTTGTCAAGGCTTTTTTGCAAATTTTATTATAATTAATATGTATTGATAAATTTTCATTTATAAAAAAATTATCCCCCATTTATTTGGAAAATTAATTGTGAAATTAAAAATTCAATTAGTTATTAATATTAATTTTTTTTTTTTAGGTTTTAATGTAATTGGAGCAAGAGTGGGGGATCATGACACGAGTAAGGAGAGAGATTGTGATGTTGATAAATATGGTATGGAAATTGTTTGTGCCGAAAGATATCAGGATTTTGGTATGGAAAGCAGTCACATTCATCCTGAATATACAAAGTCAAAATTACAAAATGATGTTGCTCTGATAAGACTCGATAATGATATTGACTTTCGACCTGCGAATGCAAAGCCAATTTGTTTACCACTAAGTCCAGCGACAAAAATTACACAAAAAAAGGTTCATATTATTTTTTTAAAAAAAAATTATTATCTTAATAGAAATTAAAATTTTAAAAACAGTATTTAATTATTTGAAAATAATAATTAAATTAATTTTCTAAAATTTTTTTTTGATTTTATTTCTATAGGTGACAGTTACAGGATGGGGAATAACGGAAAATAGAACAGCAAGTGAAGTATTACTTCATGTAAAATTAAGTGTAGTGCCAGTGGAAAAATGCAGGGAAAATTATAAAAGTTTTGCACAAATTGATTATAAACAAATGTGTGCAGGTGGAAAAGATGGAATGGACTCGTGTCTCGGTGATAGTGGAGGACCACTTCAAAGTGTCACATTGTACAATGATAAAGATGCACGATTTGTACAATTTGGTATTGTTAGTTTTGGACTTAAAATATGTGGCGTCGAAGGATATCCCGGTGTTTATACGCGCGTCGATTATTATATTAATTGGATTCTAAATTCCATGAGAGACTGAGTTATTATTTTTTATAAAAAAAAAAGAGAAAAAAATTCGTATACATTTTTTTATAGAGTGGTCACTGAAGCAAAAAAAAAAAAAAAAAAAACATTTTGAAA